TACATAGGGTCATTCATTCATTCAAATATTTATTCGTTCTTCATTAATTCATTTTCATTCATTCCTTTGGCTACTAGACGATTGAAAATGAGAATTTTTTTCTCCATCAATCTTAGCCAGTTGTGTTGGTTTCGGGATAAAAGCGCACGCACAGAAAAACGCGTTTTCGTCTGGCTAAAATAAGGGCCGTGCATTTGAATCCTAATTTCGTGACTTTTAATTCTACAAGAAATTTCACACTTTGAAGAAAGTCTCGTCATCTGGATTTTTGAAATTGGAAATATGATTTTTTGGGTATATATTAAAAAAAAAAATAAAAGTCAAAAGTTTAATTTTTAAACTAGAACGTTTTTTACTGCAATTCGCACATACCTGTGACTATTTTTCAAGGGATAATATTTACATAAAATGTCACATCCAGTGAATATAATTAGAATGACTATGTAATACACGTAGTTATAATATTTTAAGCTATTTCCTTTTATTGGAATGTTTGCAATATTCCTTCTTGCTTAGTTTATTTCGATTAAACGTTTGTTTGTTCGTCTGTTCGTTCATTTGTTCATTCATTCACGCATTCATTCATCCATTCAAATATTCATTCACTCTTCATTCATTCATTTTTATTCATTCATTCAATCTTACACACACTCTTCAATTATTCATAATGCAAACATAGAACAAGGTAAACGTTGTATTCTCTACATTTCAAAATAGGCGTATAGTAAAATAGACTTGGCTACTAGACAATGGAAACCTAACATATATCCAACACACAGACTGCCAAACAGCAGAAAGCATTCATAAATTTGTGTGTGTGAGAGTGGTGTTTGTGTGTGTCGTATTGATAGGAGTAATTTAGATTCATAAATATTTTACCAACTATTTACCATCATAAATTTTATTATTTTTCTTATTTACTTATATTTTTTATTCGTTCAATCGTCCATTCATTTGTTTATCAAACGTTGTCTGCGTTATGAATGATTAATAAAAACTAAATCTAAATAGCAGTAAATACGACAACAAGATTAAAAATAATATGGAAAATGACAAAAGAATAATTCTTATGGACAACAAAGAAGTAAGAAACCCAACTTATTCAGTAGAGACCCCTAAACGTAAATATACCATGGAGACCGTTATATACAACATCAGGATCCTGAATTATAATATGGAGACCCAAATTAGGGGGATGTTTTAAATATTTTAGTATAGGCTCATAAATATTTAGTGGATATTTTTAATTATTTTCATGGTCCTACCTGTATTGTTTGAATTTCGACTCAAAAATATGATCATTGTCACCATACACACGTACATTAAAACATAGAATATAAATTTGAACTTATAAACCTCAAAAGTTTAGAAAGCAAATGTTAATCTACTGAACGCCTACCTCATTAATCTTGTGCATTTTATTGACAGATTAGGTTAGCCTGACGGAGCTAATTATAGCAAGGTGTTTAAACTGTTGAAGAGTTTATCTTTATTATATACATCTCTATTCATATGACCATATATATGGAGATGTATATAATATAGATAAACTCTTGTTATGTTATGTATTTGTAGTTGTTTGTGAAAAGTCCAAAAACCCGTTACCAGCATTAAAAGTTAGTCATGGATGGATTGGCTGAATGCAAAAACAGCGAACGTCCAGATAGTCATTTAAGCTGCACAACAACAATGAAGTTTTTAAGAAAATAATAAAAATGAAAATTATTTCACTAACTGTAACTCAAAAACCCCACCCAAACCAAATTCGTTCCAAGTATCACCATAAGCCTTAATATGATTTTTAGTCACAGTCCTCCCAAAAAGCACAACCAACTCATCATCCTAAGTTGCTTCCCAATCTTAAATAAACATCTTTGTTTTTTATATGCTTACAAACTAAATCAACATCAGACACGTTGTCCGCCAATTCTACTCAAAATTTACGATGTTAATGTCTCTTTCACCGACCTGGCATTTAATACTCTTTATTTTCAAGTCAACTAAATGTTCATTATTTCTTAGACCCGTATATTATCAGTTCTTAAAATAAATCTGGAAAAAAATTTGGTAATCACAAAATAAAGTTTAAAAAGTAAATTATAACATAGAGTATAGTTGAATTAAAGTTTTGTGATTCTTTTGAAGATATTTGCAATAACTGCCGGCTATCGAGCAAAAAGAAAATTTGACAAAGGTCTACACAATTTTAACACATGACACAATTCCAATTTTTGCTACATTTGTCTAAGCATTTGTCTAAGCATTTGTCTAAGCACATGGTTAGGCAAAAAATTGTCTCTTTATATTGAAGTAATTAATTAGTACTAATTAATTTTCTCCTGTTTTTAAACTATTATAAGTACAGAAAGAATCATATGTAAAAAAATTTATTGAGTGCGAGATAATTATTCACTAAAAGTTTAGTAACAGAAATTAAAAAAATGAAACTTGTGTCTTTTTTGATGTATAAAGTTTCATTTGACAGAATTAAACATTTTAATCTGTGAAAAAATTAACTGTTGTTCAAAATAACTGCATAACCGTTATCTGGCTTTCCATTGAAATGAAAACGAAGTTATGAAGATATTTTAAAAAGGTTACGACAAACCAATATAAATAGAACTGGTGCATATATATGTAATATACATTACATGTTATTATATATATATATATATATAATACACACACACAAACATATATATATATATATATATATATATATATATATATATGTTTGTGTGTGTGTTTGTGTGTGTATATACAACATGTGAATGTGTGTTTATGTGTGTGAGACTTCATTGTTTAATTTGCCATAAAGGATTAACATCACAGGTTCAAAGGTCGCCGTGCATTTCACACATTTGTGACTTAGTGTTGGTGCATTTGAGTCAGTGTGTATGTTTACGTTGTTTTTGTTTACAGTTTTGGTTGTCGGTTCACTTATATTTTAAAGTTTGCAGTCGTTATGTAACTGTTTATTAACACGTGGTTATGACTAACTAACACAATGCAAGCACGAATGTTAATTATTCATTAATTTTCTTTAATTATTTTATTGAGATGATATTTTTATTTATTAATGGTTGTAAAACTCAACAAAACTTGATGAATTGCGTTGGAATTTGTGAAAATATTTGCCCGGGGAATATTTCAAAGTACAAACAATGAACAACGAGCAGTCTTAAAGCAGGCCTCAATTGTTGGATGATCAAGGATCAACAAACGATCGGCAAATCAGTTTTGTTGTTATCGTTCTCTATACTATGTATATACTTCACCACAAACTTTGATTCAAACAAATGAATTCATTACAGGATTTTTAAAAACTTTTCTTCTTGAATGTTTTAGTAAATGATATCTCAAATCTTTTAAACTTCACTTCAATTGTAAGCTGTTTAAATGTGTTAATTAATTATTTTTCAACGAACAAAGCGTAGGTGTTTTAGAAGTTATGCATTTGAGGTTTAGAGTCCAAGTGCAACCACAACTAAAATTTGTTGTGTTTGTGACATCGTTATTGTAGCCAAACATACGCGTTTGATAATAATTCATTTGTCTGCGTTTCAAAAGATGTTTACAAAAGTGCAATTCTCATAGCAAACTGCTGATGCGTTCTGGCTCTGTGGCTCTTACGTAACAACGTGGTGTCAATGCTCTTCACTGTGCATTTGATTTGCATAATGAGGCTTGGTCGGTGATGTCCTATTTGAAAATTCGTTGAGATTCTTATTTGACACTGATGATAAATGTAATCTCCAAAGGTTCTAAGATCAATTGCACTCTTCCAAAGTTCATTGGTATCCACAATACGCAGACAGCGTGCATGTACAATTGCTATGGGATGCATCACAAGCGAGGGATCCTTTTGACATGTCATGCAAACCAACCCATCACTGCACGCTCCATCATCATTTCATTATTTAATTCAATCTGCATGATGCTGGCATGTAAGACTTGTGAAAGTTATGACGACGTCTGGCCTACACATCTTTCAACTTCAGACTTATTACAATCATTTATGAATTATTTCGCTACAACGATGAAGTCAGTTTTACGGTCGTCATTAATTTCCACTATTTCCATCATCATCGTCTTTATCACTTTTACTAGCGTCATCATCATCGTCGTCGTCGTCATCAGTATTTCTCACCGGTGTTATCATTCTCATTACTTTTTGCATCATTTTAACTCATGCGAACATCAACGTCACATACGTGCTCGTCACTACCAAATGGCCCCATTCATTGACGTAATATTTAGACTACGATTTTCGTCTGACCTCCAGACCTTGGACTCATAATTACTGATCGAGTGGTAATAATTTTACATCCTGATATAAAAAAAGTGTTTAATTGGATTTTTATTTGAAGATCTTTTAGATTTTCTACTTTCTTCTAGAAAGATTTACTGTTATGCGATCCTGTCAAAACAAAAATAAAAACATTTTTTCCTGGATTAAGTATGCACATAGAGATAGAATAAAATTAGAATTATCACGTGAAATAGCATTCACTCATTGAACGAAAATAATCTACCAATCGCGCACTTTTGTTTTAAGTATGATAGGCAGACAATTAAACAGTTTTAATGAACACAACATTAAATTTCATAAACACGCAATTAACGAGCAGAAGTTTGTTTTTTTTTAAATTACTCTAATCATTTCAACATTCATTTAGATCCGGTTTTCACGCGGCTGGCTATTTAATTTGTTATTTAGTCTACACTTACACACACACACACACACACACCACACACACACACACACAACACACACAACATACATACACATACAAACGAAAACACACACAAACAGATAGAGGAGAAAAAGAGACATAAGCACATGTGTTACTCAATATCCTTACCCCACACAACTGCTCGCACACAAACACACTCACCTGCATAAGCGCGTACACACACACACACGCCATGTGTGTATGTGTATATATAAGCGTCTGTGTGTGATTTGCTTGTGAATACAATGTTAACAGACACGTTGGCTCGGATGATTTTAATTAGAAACATATATACATTCATACATAAGTGATAGAACTCTGTTTTGATGTGTTAGTTTGAAGGATAAGTTAACCCTTAACAGTTGTGAAAATTTATTTTTTTAATTTTGAAAATCATGTGGTCAACTATAATAACAGTTTTTGTTTTCTTTTCAGGACTTGGTGAGTTATAAATTTGTTCAATAATTTAAAAATTTAAATAAATGAATTTTTTATTGCGCTTCATTAAACAAATTTCACAAAAGTCCAAAATTTTACTTGGTTGACCAATATAAATCATTGAATCATTATATTATTAAATCTCTACGCTAGGTCAGACGCAGAACAACCGCATCAACATCTGCTCCAACAATTACGTGGCCACACACGCAAATTCCATCTACCTGGTCAACCCTTCCTATCCATCAAAAGACAAATACTACGCTAACGTATGCTGGTGCTACGTATACTCAACATCCAATTCTATACTAGAAGCAAAGTTTGAAGAGGTCGAATATGCCAGCTACCATTTCAATTCCTACGCGTATGTCTATTTGCGAAGTTACGAGAGGAGAGTCAAAGAGTTCTGCCTCTCAGACACCAAACCATCAGCTACCATACTTGCACCGGCGCAAATCAACAACATCATGTTGAGTTACTCACGCAAGGTTACTACTTTTCCAAAACCGGGACATTTCAGAATTCTCGTGAAAGGTTTCGAAAATTTTTATAAATTTTATTAATAACTAAAATTACAAGAGAGCATTTAGAAAATTTTCAAATTCATAGAAAAAAAAATTTAATTCATTTGTAAAAAAATTTAATTCATTTGTAAAAAAATTTAATTCATTTGTAAAAAAATTTAATTCATTTGTAAAAAAATTTAATTCATTTGTAACCGTTATTGAAATAATGTTAAATATGAGAAAAATCTCATTCAAGCTAAGCCTGAAGATACAAAACTCTACGTGCAATGCAATCAAAAGATAAAACCGGCATTGAAGCCCAATGAAGCGTTGATTGAAACAACTACCACAACGATCACCACTACCACCACTACAACAACTACTACTACAACTACTACCACTACAACTACTACTACCACTACTACAACAACTACTACCACTACTACTACAACAACCGGAATGAGGAATGAATCAACTTCATCATCAAACATTCCACCAACGTCAGCTCCGAAGTCATTATTCCTGACAACTTGGAACGATGGAAAGCAAGACAGCAATGAATCTAACAACGAGTATTACGATGAGGAAGAACACTATCCGTCTTACGAAGTGCCAAACTGCACCGCTTGCCATTATTTACACAACATGACATGTAAATTTCTATTGCATTTCGTTCAAGATTAACGTAAAAGGGCGCCGTTTTTGTAACCAATTCGTAACTTTTCAACCTATCAATTATATAACTTTAAAAACATTTCATTGAAATGTTTAAATACTTTGCAGAAATTATTATTTTTCATCAAAATTTTCAAAAACATTTACCAACATTATTAAAATTTACATAATTAATTTTTTTTATTAATTCTTACAACAGATATAATGAAGGAGCTGAATGCACCAACGCATCCCCCTAAAAGTGTATACATAGCGGCAGCTGCAGTGGGCATAATCGTTGCTGCAATGGCCGCCCTTGTCGCACTCATTTTCGTTAGGAAGTACGTTGTCTTATGTTTTTAAAGATGAAATATTTTTATCAAGAAGTTCCCAAGTTGACATTTCATTTGATAAAACCAAATGCCTACACAGCTTTAAAGTGTTTTCATTTTACAAAGTGAATGTTTAAAATGTTTGATCATAAGCGTCAACGTTATCGTATTGAGACAACACTAATAACCACGGTATGTGATTACATTAATGGCAGATCTGTGTGGGCATGAGAAAAAGTCGCCAGCCTAATTTTGGTTAATTTCTTGGCCTCACCGTCAAATTTTAAAAACTTTTGCTTCCCTACCCGATAATGTTGTCTAGATCCGCCACTGCACATCATCATTTTTGTTTTACATCATGTATCGCAATTATTAAAACCAAACTTTTTTAGATTCAAGACCAGAAGATATAGAGAACCAATAGATGCAGAAAGTTCCAGCTCAATAATCTACACGAAAGATAAGACCTCTCCACTGAACACGCTTGAACAAGATTTCGATTCATATTAATCTGCTATGATCATTTCAACTGAATTTGTTTCAAACCATAACTAACTTTTAATTAATTTTGACACATTTATCTTATCGTGTTGTATCGTGTGTACTTTATACAGCCCAAATCATCTTGACAGTTTTGAATGCTTTTCAAATAGCATGTCAAATTTATTATTCTTTTACTCAATTTCATATAAAACAATTTTTTATTCAGAAATTTTTTGTTTTTATGATTGAAAATGGAAATTACTTAGTTTTTGGTTTGCTTGACGTTCTGTGTTGTAAAATGTTATTTGTTAAATAAGTTTTATTATATACACATCATTTTTCTGGAAGAGCGCAACCTTGTTTGGTTACTACACATCTGGCAACTACCCAGGCTTGCCACCTTCCCTGCAACGCCCAGGTATGGCACCGCCTTTCCTTAAGCGCCAATGTAATTAGGCCATACTATAAAATTCATTTTTATTTGAGACGGGAAGCGAGCGTCGACTGCATGCATACTAATTTATTCATTTCATCAAGCATTGTTTGAAATTCGATGTTCTTTATAAAAACGTTTGAATTTTTGATGTGGTAAATATTTTATATAGCTATTTGATTCAAAAATTTAATAGTCATTGCTCAGTTTTGATGTCTACTTTTCCTAAATGTCTCTTTTTAAACTTATTATTCATCCGTCGTTTTCATCATTAACTCATAAATAATTTTTCAAATTTTAATAAAAAATCACAGCATACAGTGTGTACAATACAAATGATTGAAATAAAACAGAAACGTTGATGATGTAAGTATAGGTTAGACGTTTGTAAAATGGGGAAAAAATAACTATATGGATAAAAAAAGCTGTTTTTTGTGAAAGAATTCTTTGTACTAATAAAATTCGGTTTGTCGTAAAAAACTTGAATGTATTCATAGTTGGAAGTTAGGACGAATATAATTAAATTGATGCAAAAGTGCTGGCAGAGATTATTGAAATATAAACAATTTTTTCTTTTTTATAGATTAAAATTTAGTATTACAACATAACAGTGTGTTTCATGAAATATGTTTGAAATTTAACTTCATAAGCTTGACAAGCAAAGCTAAAGTAATGTATTTTATCTCAATTATTTTGCTGCTATATTGCAACGCTAGTTTTACAAAAGGCCTGTCTAATTTGGAAAACGTGGCCCTTGGCAAAATGGTTAAAGAGAGCTCATTTATGGATTCACGTACTGGTTATCTGGCGGTTGATGGAATGTTCGACTCTCCCTTCTGTTACATTTCTCTGTTGCCATATTATCAGTGGATCCAAATTGATCTGCTTTGGTCGTATCGCCTAAATTTTGTTCAAGTAATCGGGAAACTAGAGCCAAGTAATCAAGTTTCTTGTTCGCATTGTAGAAAAAATTATAATAATAAAAACTTATTGCCAGATGTTTTTAACGTTGGACTGAAAAATGTAAGAATGGTAACCATTGCATCCTGCAACAATCTGACCAGCCAACTGAACAGTGTGAACGTGACATTCCAATGTCCAAATGATTCAAGTAGATATGTTACTGTAGATCAGAGTAACTTGTCAACTGATAAGATGAACATCTGTGAAGTGGTCGTCGTGGGACTATATGACGAGCGTTAGTTCATTCCGATTTCTTTCATTTGATATCTGATAAAATGTCAAGCAGTTTCCCTATTAACTTTTCATAATTGAATTTAAACTTTGACTTGATATTAATTTTAAATTCAAAATCGTTTACTATCTAATAATAATAATAATAATGAATAAATAAAAAAATCTTCAAGCTACGCTTGAGAGAAAAAATCTTTTGTTACAAAAAAACGCCACAATGAGTTCAACCAAGTACGACAACAACAATTTGATCAACCAAAAATTTGTTTTCGTCGCCGGTCTTGCGGTAGATGGCGTACGAGATACTTACCTGAGTCACGGTCATTGTGTGCACTCCACGGAAGGCGGATATGGAGCGAACTGGATTCAAGTGGACATGGGCAGCGAGTATTTGATCGATTACATTGCCTTCGTTAGCAGGAATACTGACGTAGATTATGGTTTGAACTTTTTCCTAAAAGTTTTTTTGATAGATTAACTTTGTTTTTTTGTGTTTTATTTATTCTAAGTAACAGAAAAATCTGAGAATTAGTTAAAAAACATATAAAATCAAAAAATAGTGTGAAAAAATATTTTATTTCGCATGAAATCATAATAAAAACATTCTAATAATTCCATTTAAAATCATTTCAGTGGCCCAACGTGTTCGCAACTTCATCATTGGACTGACAGCATACAACGTCAGTGAGGTTGCTCCCGTGAGAGGGCAGTATTCCCTGTGCAACACCTACCCTGGTGATGTTCCAGTATCTGCCAGGGTCACCCTTCAATGCAATGCCAACCTGCCTGCCTACCGGTACATCATCGCTCAGCAGGCCTATGGAATTACGGATGGATATTTTTCGTTCTGTGAACTGGAAGCCTATGAACCACAAAACACAAAACGTTAGTAATGTTGCCCTTTAGACATCTCACAAAAATTTTCTCTAAACACGAAAATTTTAAAATTGGAAATCGGAACGACTGTACAAAGTGACAAAATGATTGCACCTTTTAAAGGCCCAATTCAATTAATAATTTGTCGTGTTTAGAATTACGCAGATTAAGAATTAAGTCATGATTCAAATAAATTTCAGTAATTTAACTCTTTTTTTAGAAAAAAATTGGAACTCAAGAATTAATTTCAAACTGTCGGGTTATGAGTTCATGGAGTTTTCGGCACCCAGGCCATCCTGTTGCATTAGCCAGTGCATGCAACTTGGAGAGTCAGAATGTGATTCTTTCAATTTCAACCAACAATTTAACATCTGCCAGCTGAACAAGCACAGGAATAGTTTTGTGATTGGAAATTTAATGTTCAACAAGAGCTGGACCTTCTGGAATGCAACTTATCAGCATATCGGAAATCGCTAAGAAGGGATAAACTTAAGTTTCAAATAAGTTTTAAACTCTTAAGATTGATAGACTACTCTTTTAAAATCAATCCTAGTTGACACGTGCTAATATTTTTAGATAAATTTTTTATATAAAATAAATAAAAGTTATTTTGTCTGAAGTTCAAATTCGATAATGATATGACATGATAGGATCAATTTATCGAATGTTTTGTTTTAAACTTTATAAATAATTTTAAATAAAAGAATCGAAATATTTCTCAAAAATTATCGATCGTCTCATGAATATCGGGATAAAATTAATTAAAATGGGTAAGAAATGCGCAAGAAAACGTAGAAAAAGTATCAAAAGTTTATTAAAAGCTGAGAAAATGAAATAAATAATGCTCAAGAAACCTTTGACAACATTTAAGAAACTGCGAAGAGCGGTAAAGTTTATTTTAGAATTTGTCCTCTGTAACTAAACTAACTACAATTATCATTGATTTATTAATTTTTCAATAATTGAAAAATTTTCATTTTTATAAACTACGACATATTTCCAACTGAATGTAAATCTAGTTTGTAAATCGGCAGATAAAATACTATAATAAAAATTATGTATTTACCAACACAGTCGCTAAATAATTATTAAATATAAAGTGATATTTTTTCTCATTTCTTTTAAATGTTCATCCATGTTTTTACGTTTAAAAATTAAAAGAAATTAAGATCTTGAACTTTTAACAACACTTTATGTTTTATCAATCTCCCAGCTTATACGTACATGACTGACACTGTTTATTATTGGATTGGCATGTATCTAGTGAGATGTCTTCTGAGTGCGTCTAACCACAGCTATTGGCTCGATGGATCAGATTTCATTTTCACAAAGTGGACTTCAGGAGATCCGAATGAAAACACGTGCTGCTTCAAAATGGTATCTGATGGTGGATGGAGGGATAAACTTTGCAACGCTGGACCTCACTACTTTGTATGCGAGAAGCCATTAGAGAAATAAGTGAGCATTTCGAGACCAAAACTTTTATTTTAATTTTTACTGTTTTTATTACAATTAATCATATAAATAACACACCACACACGTTGCATACATTCGAAACCTATGCTTTGGCTGAGTGTCTTATTCGTCATACAATCTTTTTGAGAAAATAACCGAAGCAGACAAAATCTTGTCACAGTAAATTCGAATGTATTTGAAGACTTTACAAAAACATTATGTCAAAAGTTATTTTTTCTATCGCTAGTATTAGTTGGAATGGTTTGCTAAAATATTTTCCAATATACAAATTGATTTCAGCAAGTTAATATCCCAATTTTCTTTTCAAATTTGTAATGAATTTTTCAGCTTCAATTATTAATTGTTATGAAAATTAAAGAAGCATGTTATTTGTACTGATTTGACTAACAGTTAACTCACAGAAAAGATTCATCAGACGTTTGAAGGACGCCTACATAGTGAGTGACAACCTGAAGGTGATATACAACAAGAGATGTTCGCTAGGCTACTGCATGTCGGATTGCCTGCACAACTGGATATGTGCCGGCTTCAACTTGCGATCTGTGGCTTCTGGTAGTGGTGGTGGCTGCCTGAGTGAACTCAAAGATGCAAGAAGCTGGTTGAGTTTTTCCCATGTTAATAAAATTGGTGCTGGTTATTGGAGTTACCCTATTTTTGGATATGATAACTAAAGTTTGAAAAGTTATTTCTGTTTCAAATACTTTTTGCTGCGTTTTGTTGATATTTTTATGTCAAAAGTGACGAATGAATCTTTGAAAACTTTTCAAAATTTTCAGTATTAAAAGTTTTAAACTTGAAAACACTGAAGTGCAGATTAAATTATTAGAAGTCATACTTATCATTTTGTATTATAATATTTTCAATTCATGTCCATTCTGTTTCATTTGTGAAATTGTATTTAATTCAGTATTTTAAATCGACTTTCAGACAATGCAAATATTTTGTAAATAGAAAGTTTCTTATTATCCAAATTCATTTAAAAATTTAATTACATTGACGCATTACAACAACTTTGTCGTCAGCTAGTGATTTCAGTTAAAGCGTTACAGCAACAACTTCGTCGTCAATCAGAGTTTCTTGAAGAGTTAATAAATATTTCAGCAAATTTTATTCAGTATCGTCACATCACAAAAAAAACGTCCTACCTTGGGGAACTGGGTCTCTGGACGCTAAACGAAGATTTATTTATTGATTGTCACATCAAAATAAAATCAAAATTTTAAAAGCACTCAGTTATAGAGTTCAGTCTTCTCGTGAGGATCAGTTAATTTAGTTTCCGCTGAAGGGGCAAACATCAACAGCCAAAAACTTCCAAAGATAGAAATAACGATCGACACGTAGAACATGAGTCTGTTGATGACATTCGCTACTTCCATCCACATATGTTTGTTGGCCAAGGCGTTGGATTCGCTACTCAATGTTTCATCAACCTGCTAGAGTAGAGGTCTCAACTTGACCAGCATGTCGATCTCTTCCACTAAATCAAACAATCTCTTACCACTATTAGTTTTATTTGTTTTCAGTGGATCAGCATTAAACTGACATCTGTGGTATAAACATTTCTCATCTGCTTGCAAAATTATATTGCTAAAACTGACCGACTGGTCAAACGAGTAACTGGACACCGAAGTATTTTTATAGCCATAAAAATTAAAGTTTTTCAAACTTTTCATTTTGTCTAACAACTGATTTATCAACTTCATAGATTCGTGGTTTCCATTTCGTCAGTGGATTCCTAATGGATGCTCATGTAAATAATGAAGACGTTCTTCCTTTATTGTCACTTGTATAAATTGAGCAGATTTTTCAACAGTATGGTAAAGGAATTGTAGATGCTCAATTGTTCTGTTATTAGTTTCAACAAAACGGCATTTGTTAACTGTCCACGTTCTTTTCTTCTTCATGCCAAGGTACCAAGCAAGTTTCTTCAAAATGATACTCTGTAGCCAGGCAGGAGGAGGTGTGTCAACGCTATGATGATGAAGAATTAAAAACAGTGTCGTGAAGAACAATGAAAGAAATGCCACGAACATTACGAAAAGTAGGTAGATTGCTGCGTATAAACAAAACCAATCAATGAAAATTTAATTTAAATTTCTAAATTAATAATTGACTTATTACAACCAATTGTTGCAAAAAGGCTCAACAAAATTTTGTTTAACAAATCTTCAAAAGTAGAAATAAGAAAATGAACTCACTAAGGTAGGGAACGTATTCTCCGATGACTGCCAGAAAATGATACATTAAATTTTGAAAAAAGTTGTACGATAACAAGATAGTCACAGCAAAGTTAATCATCTGCTTTGAATCGGAGGGCATCACGGAAACAAAAGTGAAGAGTAGAGAGAATGTGAAGCATGGCAGCAGCATGTAGGTTATGTAGATCTGTGGATTTCTCTTCAGGGAAAGTTTGAAATTGACTTTCCATATTTTGTATTCAGTACAACTTTCCTCATCCAGTAGGTTTGCTGTCTGTCAATCCAAAATTCAAAATTGGTTGATTGAATTTTGTCTAATATGAAACACTGAAACATTAATAATTTTTTTTATTTCTTGCTTCAATTTGAAAGAAAATCTAATTGTTGTTTTGAAAAATTAAGATTGTTTCTAGATGTACTGAATTATCTGCAATAAATAAGGCTCTGAAAACATTTTAAAAAATTGTCGAAACTTGCTGGTCAAAAATTGTTTAAACACCTTCGTCTCTATAATAGCCCATTCCTCGCCGGGATTTTGATGCTCCAGGTTAATTTTGCTGCATTGGGTGCGGAAGACAACCTGGTAAGTTAGGAGGTGAAGAGTTCGTCATTTTTTAAAACTCTACAAAACCACAAAACATTTTTTTCGGGTTTTTTTGCCTGCCAAAGCCATAATCCAACCACAATTTTAAAGTGCTATTACGTCCAAGTTCTCAGCTCAATTTATAAACAAATGTGACTGATTCCACTGGGAAGATTAAAAATAGATTTAGATTTAGGAAGAAGAGTTTCTAAAAATGTTTCACTGTCAGTGTTTAAAAATTTAAGAAACTAGAAATAACTCAGGCGAGTAATTGCTATTCGACTGCACGGTATTTGCGCCTGCTTTAAAACGTTGAATAGTTAAGTTGTAGGTGACTGCAAATTTTGAAAAATGTCATTCACAAATAAATTACTTTGACCATTTAATTGAAACATAACCTTCATTCTAATGACAGAAAAATTTTTTGGTTAGGACAAATGAATCTAACTTCTTTGACGGATCTCCGACTTAACCCATTGAAGGTATAATTAAATAGAAGAATGAGTTAACGGAGTGCTTTATAACATTCAACTGACATTCAACGTTCAAATGAAAAATTTTCAACATATTTAAAAATGTCTAAACCTGGTCACTAATGTAAGGCCAAGAATGCAAAGAAATGTAGCAGGTTTGCACGTCGAACGGGAAATAAACCAAATTAAGCTCGCAGAAGGTTCTTGTTTCCTTGAAGATATTCGTGCTGACGATTCCATTTGACGTGACGACGACCTCATGCATTGACGTGTCATTAAAGTGTTCTATTATTTTGTCTTCTCTTCAGAAAGTTCAAAAACAGAGCAATTGCAAATAATTCAAGTAATAAAAGTAAATTTAATTTATGATATTTCATAATTAATTTCCGGATTGTAAAGAACACACATATACACACACAGTGCGCCTCTGAACGTTCTTCATAAAAGACGTTAAACAAATCATCAAATACAGAGTATACACACAGCGCATGCGGGTGGGCGTGAAACAATCCATCACGCATAGTACAATGTGACGTTTCGCCATCTCGCCACCTAATACAACGACTAAATTGAACTAATTTTGAAAGCTGAAAATTGTTAACTTTACTCGAATAAGTTTAATCCATTGATGATGATTGAAATGCAAAAACAGACATTCACTAGACTGCCGAATGGGAAACAGAATGTAAACGAGTGACGCGATGGCGTAACGGTTACAATTACGTTACGTTTGATGACTCTGGAAAACATAGAAGAGAGAAATGTGATTAATAAAAAAGTATATAAATGACTCAAACCCATTTCTGACAGAGACGTTAGGCGTCCAAATGTCTCGAGCTTTCGTGACGAAGAATGTTATGTTGCCATGTTCACTTTTGTCCCATCGCAAATATTCATCCACCCATTTCTGTCGAGATGTATAAAATAAATTCAACAAAGATTAAGAAAAATGATATGTACCACATATCTGTGGTTAACTAATTGAGAGTTATTCTCTTGGAAAACTCATTCCATACAACACTTCATCGTATACAATAAATTATGAAGAAATAAATTTTCAACGATTCTACTCAAAAATTTGAAAAAACCTTGCGTATTCATCACATTTCTTCTCTCGTCCTGATGAATTTGATTAAATTCAAATGAATTAAAAGTTATTTTAAAATCACAACGGCAAAAATTCACCAAAAAAATAGTTAAAAGTCATCAATGTAAATCTAAATATTAAAAAAAATATTAATTTCAAAGTAGTTGGCACACCTACAATTAAAACTTCGCCATATAAATGGTAGTCAACGTTAACTTCAACAGCAGATTGCATGTTTCTCACAGGTCGAATGGATGCATCGTAACCACGGAATAGCTTTTGGGAGAGTTCGACTTTTTCAAAGTTATACCTCCCTAATTGTTTTTTTTCATTAATTTTATTTAATAAATGCTTTTGCATTAATTATTTTTTCACCGTTAAAACATTAAATAAAATTGTTCAAGATATTTTAAAAAAATCAAATCACATTTACGCTGAGGTTAGTTTGGAAAAATTTACGAAAAAAAAACAATGGACATCTAACACGTTTAACGTACAAACACACTCACACACACTAATTCACACGCACACCACACACACAAACACACACATCTCATTCTTATATATACCTTGACAAAAGTGTTCAGAAATAACTATAATGAATAATATTATAATGTTAATAGACATTATAATTGGCTGAATTAAATTCCACAATTTTTATTTTGAAATAATGAAATTTAATAAGTTAAAATAATACACCCTTCAAACTTGCAAATACCTGGCTTTTATAACAGTAACTTTCCAAAAATACTTTCAAACTGAATTGGAAACATTTTTCTGTATGAAAACAGTTATAAAATGCAATGAATAAACTAATTCATTTGTACAATTCTTGGAATTCGTGATTAAATATTTGAACGTTAGAGGAAATTTCAAGACGTAACGATAATATTTGCAGAAGCATGCTACAGGTAGAATAACTATTGAGCCATTGTGTCATTTGTTTATTTTTCACAATTTGCATTTCAATTGAAAAACAAAAAATTCCTTAAATATAAAAAAATCTTTTTTTCTGATTTTTTCATTTAATTATTTTCAAGTTGGACCAAATTAGATTTGTTGAAGTTTTATTCTTAAGCAAAATCATTCCTAGGAATCATCGTTAATAATTTTTCAAATGTTTCCATTGCATGTGTTAGGAGGGGATCTATCTCTATTAAAACTGCAGTCACCCTGAAAAGATTGCAGCATTGTTCGCACTCTTTAATGTTATGTTACGTTATTCACCTGCTCGTGGATTATTCCTAATTTATTTACAATTCTAAAATATCAACCAATCTGGAAGTATTTCAAAAATTGAAGTATTTCAAAACAATATCTTGTCCTGTTAATATTTGAATATGTTTTTGACGATGATGGTTTTGGAGATACTACGAATATCTACTGAACTTCTGAATCTAACAGTTTTGTTCCGTCTGCTGAAAAAATGTCTAATCAAAGTCTAATCCAACTCTTTAATATTGAATTTTTTCAACTGTCGCTGAGTTTTTTCATAAATTCTGACATGTGTACTTTTAAACTCATATCATGTTTCTTCACTCAAACGTTTACTGAATTTTTAATATTTCCTGGCCAAATTGCAAAATTTAAAAAAAATCTCAAATTGCAGCTCGGTCCAAAATAACCTTTACCGCAAACTGTATTTTGAGTAATCATACTGCACTGATGTGATATAGGCAACGCAAGGTTTCAAACTAAAACATTTGTAAACATGAATGTTTTCATAAATATAAACATGGTCGCAAGAAGTGCTCTCAAAATTAAATTAAAATGAACGACTTCTTAATCGACTAAAACAAACAAAATTCGAGTAAATAAAAATTGAAAAGTTGTCCAACTTCAAAAATTCCTATGTAAATTATTTCAATTTTCCTATAGCTTATTAAAAACTGCAACAAAAATGAAAATTTTTCAATGAACATATCAACAATCACGTGAGGCAAAAAAATAAAATAGACAAACGTTTTGTACGGGATATTTTCAAAAGAAAGTATTGACTTTTTTTGTAATTCAGCATGGCGAAATGGATGTTTTATTCAAATTTCGTACGATAGCTACGCCCAGCAGAACTATCCGAGCCTGGAGTGATTGGTTCGGAACAATTTTTATGTCATTTTAATCAGGCAAACTGCACGGACTAAATCGAGCAGAAATCACAGCATAAAGAAGCTTTTTCTAAGCATGAACATATTTTATACCAATAGTTTTATTAAAAACAAACGAATTGTATATGTTTCGAATTAGAAAAAAATACAGATAATTATAGAAGTTTTCAAACTTTTGTAAATAATGAAATAACAAATTGTGTACCTGATTCGCTTCTCTTATTGCATGATTTTTCAAAAGGCTCCAACTTTCCAAGAATCTTGGGAAAAGTTATGTTACAATTCAAATGATCAAAAACTACAAACAAATTTATCTTGCCAATTTTTAATTACAAACTAATGTTCCTACAGTTATTTGTTGGGATTATTGCGAACTACCGTGATACATGCCTCTTCGGCCCTGTATCGTAGAAAACTTATTAATTAAAAAACAAATTGATGAGAATTTTTATGAGCAAGGAAAGGTTTCAAACAATGAATGCAAACGGAATGTTTTCTTTATTTAAGTTACACGATTTCTCCCTTCATAGATTTTTAACTTTTCCTCACAAAGCACGCACTACTAATGACTATTTCCACGCAATGTTTTCTATGGACAAACATGAAAAATGTTTGGGAAAAAGAAAAATGTTAAGAAAGAAGAACAATCTGTTTGAACAAGTCATGTCAAGCCATAACTCTATGCTAATTTGACCATTTATATAACGCATACGTCTAATATATAGTTAATCCACATAGCTTAAAATATATTTTTCATTTGGCCATAGCCAGAATTTTTCTAAACAAGACAAAATGAAAATGGCTAATTATTTTGTATTAGTTATCATTTTAGCTTTGAATTTTTATAACATTTCTGGCAATGTTAATATAGCTCTAGGGAGAATGGTCCGTGAAAGTTCATACAACGGTCCTTTCAACTCGTTCCTTGTGGTAGATGGACTTCTCAGCTCGCCTTATTGTTTCAAATCACAAACATCTGGCTACCAGTGGGTCCAAATTGACCTCATTTGGTTGTATCAAGTTGATTACGTTCGTGTAATTGGAAAACTTGCAACCAGTAAATCTTTTCATTTTTCATCATTTCAATATATCTATGAATTTATCATAATAGTTGAATGATTCTATCATTTATTTCAATATATCATTATTGCGAAAAAATTTATGACCAATATTCCGATTTTTAGATCTTTTAAACGTGAAACCAGAAAGCCAAAGCTCGAATACACTCGCACAATGCAACTGCCTAACCAATCAGCTGAACAACGTCAACGCTACATTTCAGTGTTCGAACGGTGCAGAACATTCCACCAGGTACATCACAGTTGACCAGGCTAGCAGCACCCCGGACGTTATGACCATTTGCGAGGTGCTTGTTGAAGGAAGGTACAACGATGGTCAGTTTAACTCATTCGTCAATTATAAAACGCTTAAATATCTTTAAGAGTGAAAATATTTCATCATTATATTTTTAAATTATCAATTTTTTGTAGTTTAGACTGGATCTATTTTGAAAAACGTATACAAACCTTTACAGTTGCATAACTCATTTAACCACTGAACAAAAAACTTTATAACACCAGCAATTTACATATTTAATTTAAAAGGTTTAATTGCTTTATATGAATATTTATTTCATTTAGTGGATATATTAAAAAAGATTTAAATATTTTTTCAGCTCTACCAGAACGAGCAAATCTTCTGCAAAACAAAAATGCTCTCATGAAGACAACATTTTCAATAGGCACCAGTAGCCTAACAAACCAGTTAATTTCAATGGTGGCTGGTCTGGTCGTCGATGGAATTCGAGATCCCACCCTCCTCCACGGACATTGTGCTCATTGTTATGATAAAGGATTTGCTCAGAACTGGATCCAGGTGGATATGGCAGCGAACCACCACGTTGATTACATTGCTCTCGTCAGTAGAGATACTAATGATCTATCGGGTTAATGATAAAAAACTTTACGTTCGTTTAAAATATTTTATAAAAAAATTTTGCATTTTTTTTGTGCTGTGTGAAAGGAGTGTAAACTAATATAGCGATAAACATTAAAACTACTTCTATAGTGTCTCTTCGTCTCTCAAACTTTATAATCGGTCTGACGTCTGATAGAGCTGATGGCGTCACGCCAGTCAGGGGTCAGTACCCCATTTGTGCCACGTACCCTGGAGATGTTCCACCGGCCACTCGAGTCACCCTGTCCTGCAACGCCAACCTGCCAGCCTACCGTTACATCTTCCTTCATCAAGCTTATGGGGCTGGTGATGGTTTTATTGCAGCTTGCGAACTGGAGGCCTATGAGCCAACTGTTCCATTTCCCGATAAACGTTAGTTGCATTTTAAATTGTATTTTAGACCTATAACGAAAAAGAAAGGATTTTTATTGAAAAATTGTAAAATATAACAATATAAATTGTTTTGTTCATTATGTTAATTCGTCCAATAGACCTCATAAAATCGATCCACCTCGGTTGAAATTTTCAAATATAATACGCACAAATGCTAAAATCTTCATATTCTGAGCTGTAATTTTATATTACAAAGTTTTTTTTTATAACTTTAAAAACATCAAAAAAACAATAACGAAAGCAGCTCAAAAACATTTTTTCATCAATGGTTCAATTCTACTTAATTTTACATTGACAAACATAGTTGCAGTTTTGTTTAGACTAAACTGTGCTGTGCATGTGCGGAGGATATTTTCATTAGGCATTAAATAAATCTTCTTTGTAAAGAACTGATTTCTTTAAGTACTTTAAATATTTGACACATATGTGAACATTGAGATTTTATAAAGTGTTTTGCACTTTGTCGTGAAGATTAATTCAATTGAATGATTGGTTAGGCTAGCTAACTTGCTTGTTTAATTTAAAATTGATTTCAACTTTCAATCAATCGCAGGAATCAAATGGAATTCGCTTGAAAACAGCAAGCTAATGAGTTACACCTTTCTGGAGATAAAAGCAGTCAAGCCTCTACATTGCATCAGACAGTGCATCAAATTGGGGGAGTACTCTTGCGATTCGTTTAATTTCAACAAGCAACTGAACATTTGCCAGCTGAACAAACACAGGAATGGATTACTGAATGGAACTTTGACTATTGGTGAATTGTGGACTTTTTGGACACCTCGTCATGATTTTCTCGGTAACGTTTAATTGATTGATAAGAATCGATTTGCATGAAATCTTAGAAAATTTTCGAAATTGCTTATAACGGAAAGCATGAGTATATATGATTCACTTTTGAAATGCAAGAAGGAACTTAAAATTATATAACCATATTTTGAAATATTAAAAAATTATTTACCTTTTCGTTGAACAATTTTTTTACATTTTAGTGAAAAACATTTTAGCATTTTTATCATCTTAGTATATACGATCCGATACGAATGCAAGTGATTGTTTGGCGCTGTTGATACATTGAATTCATCATTGAAGTTTGAGAGTGAACATGAATTAAATTTTCAGCTGTTATTTAAGTGATGTATTTTTGCAAACTAATGCGTGAAAATGTTTTTTAAATAATTTGATACGTTATGAAATCTTCTGAGAAAGTTACAGCTAACATATTAACTATTTTCTTGAAATTTTTATTCAAATTTACTTTTAGTTTAGTTGCTTACAAAAGGAAATTTACGTATTCGTTGTCTGAAAATGTATAAAATAAATTCAAAATCAAAACTAAAATTGACTCGAGTAATTGATTATACACACGAACACCACACACACACACACACACACACACACACACACACACACACACACACACACACACACACACACACACACACACACCAGTGCCATATTAACCATTAGGCAAACAAGGCACGTGCCTTAGGGCCAAAAAACAGACTATGGCCACAAAAAGTAGACTTAGGGTGGGGCAAAAAAGTAGACTTAGGGTGGGGCAAAAAAGTAGAAGCATTTTTTCGTCAGAGTCAGAAGTTAGTTTTGATTTTTATTCTATACAAACAGCCGAACAGGCTTCAGTGTTATTAAAAATATAATAGACAGCAAACACGTTTATTTACACATATTTTTAAATCGGTAGGTACTACAGCAATTATCCTATCACTCAGTGTATTTTGTTATTTAGGAGTTTAGTATTTTATTATTTAGACTTATTTAGGATTTTCTACTACTTTCAGTTGACATTAGATTAGACAAAATATATAATATCCAACCTACCAAAATATGCATTAAATCTCAAGTACAATAAGCGACGCAAATCTAAATTTAAATAAATTACCTTCAATTCATTTCAGTGTTTCTCTGTTTACAGTATCATTATTATTCATAATTAGGCATATCAACAGCTTGAAAGTATCTGAGAGGTTTAAAATTAAATCTGATTTAAAATATAAATTTTTTATTTGATATGTTGATATATGATTCAATATTATAGATGGTATATGGTACAAACTTTGTGGCATAAAGGTTTAAATACAGGGATGATGTGTACGAGGTTTTGTGTACGTCATATCTCCATAATGAATAACAACCAAAATCTTTGAAAAAATATTTCGTCCGTCTCAGCTAAAATTGTAAAATTTGAAACAATAAAAAATTAAGTAAGCAGTACTTCGTTATAAGTTTGTTTAAAGCATCCATGGAGAGATGTACATAAAATACTTTTCTACTTATTAGAAAAAATGTTATTGATTATACCGTCATTAATGTTATAAAGTATAATGTTTCTTCTATGGTAATACTGATAAATAAAAAATTATCAACGCGTTGCCAATTTTGCGTTTCTGTAAGCTCGTACTTTCTTGGCTCAGCTTTGAAATGCTCTGAAATTAAGTTTCCAATTTTTCTAATTTTGTTGTGTTATATCAACCAACTGACTGTTAAAAAAATAGGGTGTGGGTTTTAAAAGAAGCATTGCCAGTAAACTCGTACAGCAAACAGACGTGAATTAATTCATCATACACATGTGACGGACAGAAATTTTAAAACGGGCATATTAATTATTACCTAAACAACCAGACCATCCTGGCTAACTTTTTTGAGCTTATTGCGCTCAAATAACATTAGAAAATATTGTTACCATGTTGCAGAATGTTGTTAAATAACACTACAGTGCATATGCAAAAATCCAAAAAATGGCAGGTTTAGCAAACTATAAAAATTATTTTGAAAGAAATAATCACGGCAAAAACTTTAAAATGTTTGAAACAAAGCAGACAGCGTTGATGAATTGATGAAATGTAAAAATTGTATGTAGAATGAAAAAAATGACGTTATTTCATTATTTATAAAAGAAATTTTGTACGTAAAGAAAAAAATGATTTTGCTCACGAATAATTATTTTTCCGTCTGATGATTAATTAACACGTTGTTTCCTCACGATACAATAAACAATACAATGACACGTAGCGTCTACATGATGAACTGCTATGAAAAAATCCAACCGAGTTCAACAATGACGAATATGCTACCAGGTTCTGGAAAAATTAGCAAGACAGGTAAACTAACAACAATCGTTTGGATCCACGTGTTGCTAAACATGTTATAAAAGATTTTACAAGTTGCAGATGTTTGTATTTAAATTGTAGTTTTGACTAATGTAACTAACTAATCAACATACCTACAACAACAGACTTAGGGTAAAATGTGAACAAGGAAAAGCATGGGATATTAAACTGAGATACATTTATATAATGAGTCAATTTTGGTCTGAACGAATGAATAAACAAATGGACCAAACATAAACATAACCTAACCAATCGAGTATGTTTTCTCATATTGCTGCCTCTTCTTGTTTTATGTGGCATTTTATAAAATGCCTCAGCAAAGTCCAAAATATAGTACGTCTATAGCTTTACCCCTACCCAAATTATAATAAATCTTTTCAAAAAAAAAACTCCAGCAGATTTGTTAGGCATGATCTTTTGTTTACAAACCGTGTTGATTATTACCAATTATATATTATTTGATAAGTGTTTTATGACCCGGCTTTTGATTATATTCTTTAGTACTTCACTTATACAAGGCTTGTTCAGCTGACTGGTCTGTAATTGCACGGTTCACTTTGATCTCATTTTTGTATAATGGTATTACTAATGCGTCTTTCCTGTCGGATGGTATCTTTCCGCCTGAAATAGGATATCGTTGCCAGAGCCTGATTTATTTCCATTCTGACTTTCTTCAAGAAGTTTGAATAATAAACGAACGAACGAATAAACGAAAAAATGAACGAATGAACTGTCGAACAAAGGGACGAAAAAACGGACGAAATATTGACTGAATGTATTAATAGACAAAATCGCAAATGAAAAATAAGATTAATGTGTAACAATAGAATGGTTTATAGGAGTGTGCGCGTGTGTTTGTGTGTATGTGTGTTTTTATGTGTGTGTCTAACCCATACCTTGGTCACTCCACACTTGGAAATCTCTATCCGCTGCAAATCATCATTCAAAACAAAATACCCACTTCTTAGTGTTAGGAAGAAAGTTTTGTTGCTAGTGTGAGATCTTTTGAGTTATATGAAATTATTTGTATTTGTGACCTTCGGGATGGTCTGTGTAAATACGTTTTATAATATCATGATCAGTTTCATAGGTAGATGACGTTGTTTATGAAGTAGATTACAATATTATTGGCGTTGATATTCAAATTGGTTGCATTGGTGCTGCAATGATGATAATTTTATGGAATTATTTTGTCTATTTGTTATTATTGTGTTATCTTTATAAATTTTTAATTAACAAATTATATATAAAATGCGCAAATTAGAATTCTAATTTCAAAAGAAACGGCGTTATTAACAATCGCATTGTTCGAATATTGTTATATTGTTATAACCGTGCTATCGAACGCACTAGAACATTCTAGAATATGCTAGAATCGGACCATCTAGAAGAATCTAGAAACGTCGTTTGCGAAGAGAATATAAGCGCACGTCGCAAAAAGATTAGCGATTAGTGAAATTCGTGATTTTGTAAATTCGTAACTCTGTGATTTTGTGAATAGCGTTTCGGTGAATTATTTAAAGCGCTCGATATTTGATTTGTTTTGTTGACGTTGTCATAACGATAGATTTTGAACAATTTAAAAGTTAATTGTTGTGTTAATTTGAATTTGCTAGAAATAAACGATTAGTAGATTTTTTCTGTAAATAAAGTTTAATAACTAATAACTGTTTAGAGTATGTTTTTCAATCGAAGATTCGAACCTGTCGCATCGTAAATCGGTTACGACAGCGAGTATTATAACAATATCATATCAGTCATTCCAACGTTTAATCAATATATGTTGTTCAGACAAAGACGCGCGCTATAATAAGATATAATGTGTTTTATAAAGGTTGTGCACTTGTTCTTTATGCGGTTTGTGGCCTGAGTTGAGGCAGCTGGCTACTTTGAATCGAAAATGTTGATCAAATTGTTACTCGTTTTAATTTTCTACTTCAATTCTTTTGGCAACTGTCAAAATAATATTGCTCTGGGGAAGATGGTTCGAGAAAGTTCGGTGAACGGTACCTACAATGGTTTTTTGGTAGTTGATGGTGTGTCCAGTTTTCCATTTTGCTTCTCATCGCTGACCAGTGGCTACCAGTGGATCCAAATCGACCTCATCTGGTTGTATCGCATCAACAAAGTTCGAGTGTTCAACAAATTGGCATCCAGTACGTTATTTATGATTTTTGTTTTGCTTGTTTTTAGTTGGGAAAAAAAATGTTATTTCAATATTTTATTAATTACATTTTGTAGCAAGAACATTTTTTAAATAATTAAATTGCCAGATATCTTGAACGTCCAACTGACAAGTGCAAATCTTTCAATCGTTGCATCATGCAACAACCTGACCAATCAGCTAAACAACGTCAACGTTACATTCCAGTGTCCGGATGATGCAGAGCATTCCAGTAAGTACATCACGGTTGACCAAAATAATAGCTCCACCAACATCATGAACATCTGCGAGGTGGTTGTTGAAGGAAGGTACAGCGACGGTTGGTTCAGTCCTTTAAATCTTCGATTAACAACTCAGTGTTCATAACCTTGACAGTTTTCAGTACTTTATTATATTTAACATCATGACTTTTTTCAAATGTTTAAGATTGGCTGAATGCTTTTAGGCTGAATAAGTGTTTACTAAATTTAATGTAAAAAAAACAGCATGTTTTGTCCACCATGCCTTCCTAACTCAAATCTAAAATAATCTTATCTTTATCGTTAACTTAATTACTCGTAGTTATCACTTTTCATAATTTTTATACGAGAATTTATTTACAAAACAAACATTTTGAATCAACATAATAAGTTCAGCAAAAGATACATTCATTGAATTGCAGCCTATACATTAACACTCATTGTTGTGACATTTGACGTTCGTTACTACCAACTCCAATGTTATAACTTCAATTATCTCTATGTTTCCATCACCAGTGTTGTAGCTGTTTAAGATTTCTGATAAATGAACACAACTGTGTTTGTTGAACGTTTATTTGAATGCCAACAATAATAGAAACACTAAACAAATCCAAGTCAATATATAAATCACATTTCGTTTTCTCTGCTGACTTTCCAGCTCAGCCAGAACGAGCAAACCTTCTGCAGAACAAAAAGGCTCTCATGAAGACAACATTTTCAAGAGACACCAGTAGCCTAACAAACCAGTTAATTTCAATGGTGGCTGGTCTGGTCGTCGATGGAATTCGAGATCCCACCGTCTTCCACGGACATTGTGCTCATTCTAATGATGCAGGATTTGCTCAGAACTGGATCCAGGTGGATATGGCAGCGGAACACCACGTTGATTACATTGCTCTCGTCAGTAGAGATAGCAATGGCCTATTGGGTTAATAATAAAAAAACTTTACGTTCGTTTAAAATATTTTGCAAAAAAAAACTTTGCATTTTTTATGAGCTGTATGAAAGCAGTGTAAACTAACATAGCGATAAACATTCAAAACAACTTCTATAGTGTCTCTTCGTCTCTCAAACTTCATAATCGGTCTGACGTCTGATAGAGCTGATGTCGTCACGCCAGTCAGGGGTCAGTACCCCCTTTGTGCCACGTACCCTGGAAATGTTCCACCGGTAACACGAGTCACCCTGCCCTGCAATGCCAACCTGCCAGCCTACCGTTACATCTTCCTTCATCAAGCTTATGGGGCTAGTGATGGTTATATTGCAGCTTGCGAACTGGAGGCCTATGAGCCATCTGTACCATTTCCTGAAAACGTTAGTTACATTTTAAATTGTATTTCAGAAATTTTGAAATATAATAAGTACAAATGCTAAAAATATTTTATGCTCATCTTTAAATATATAATTAAAAGTTCGTTTTTTTATGTAAAATTCACTTGTTTTTAAAATTTTGAAAATAATAAAAAAAAACTACACGAAAGCAGGCTCAAAAGAACTTTTTATTAATGGTTTCATTCCCCAATGGTTCGGTTGTTTGAAGTTTGAGAGAGCACCTAACCAGGAAGAGCAATGAGAGAGAGAAGAAAAGAATAGTATTTGTTTGGATAGGCTGGACACGTGTTTTGTCCCTACCGGGGACTCATCAGCAGCCCGAATACCTATAAGAATAGTTATCGCAGTTTTTTATATAGCCCGTACAAATCACTCCATTAAGCATTAAATAACACTTTTTTGTAAAGAACTGATTTTTTTAAGTACTTTAAATACTTGACACATATGTGAACAATGAGGTGTTATAAAGTGTTTTGTATCTTGTCGTGAGGATTAATTCAATTAAATGATTGGTTAGACTAGCTAACTTGCTTGTTTAATTAAATATTAATTTCAACATTCAATCAATCGCAGGAATCAAATGGAATTCGCTTAAAAACAGCAAGCTAATGAGTTACACCTTTCTGGAGATAAAGGCAGTTAAGCCTCTACATTGCATCAGACAGTGCATCAAATTGGGGGAGTACTCTTGCGATTCGTTTAATTTCAACAGGCAACTGAACCTTTGCCAGCTGAACAAGCACAGGAATGGATTTTCGAGTGAGAGTTTGGCTACTGGTGCATCGTGGACCTTTTGGACATCTCGCCATGATTTCCTCAGTAACGTTTAATTGATTGATAAGAATCGATTTGCATGAAATCTTAGAAAGTTTTCGGAAGCGCTTGTGACTGAAAACTTACGATTGTATGATGCAAATTAGATTTATTATTAAAATGGAAGAAGAAACATAAAGCTATATAACCATATTTTAAAATATTAAAAAGTTATTTACCTTTTCTGCGAACAATTTTTTCTTAAAATATATTGAAGTCCATTTTAGCATTTCTATCACCTTAGTATATGATCCGATACGAATGCAAGCGATTGTATGACGCTGTTGAATCATTAAATTCATCATTAAAGTTTGAGAGTGAACATAAATGTGTATAATCCTTTTTCAAAATTTTAACATTTTTAACATTTTCTAATATCTTTCTGTCACCTATTTTGTTTTAGTGATAAACACTTTATGAATTTCTATTAACATTTGTATGAAAAATAAATTTTCAGTTATTTCATTGATATATTCTTGCAAGCTTACGCGTAAAATGTTTTTAAAATACCTTGAAACGTTATGAAATCTTCTGAGAAAGTTATAGCTAACATTTTATATCACTAATTTCTTGAATTTTTATTCAAATTTAATCATAGCTCCGTTGCTTATTAAATAAAGTTTCAAAAAGAGTCTTTGGTGGCGCCATCTCAAGCGTGCAAAGTGAGTCATTTGGAGAGAGTGGATCTTGTATGACAAATGTAAGACCGATTTAACTCTCCACAAAACCGTGAGCCATAGAAACGAACCACTCTCTCCTGACGACTCACTATGCACGCTCGAGATGGCCTGGTTCGAATGCTGTTGGCCCGGAACTCAAAAATTATCATACGCCATGAGCGTGTGATGCAGTGCTTGCTCGTACGAGCACATATAATGTGTATGTACGTCGTGTAGCCTGGATGGTACAGTCTTTGTGGCACATAGGTTTAAATACGGGAATGGTATGTACGCGGTTCTGCGTAGCTGCATATTAAAGTACAAATAAATCTTTGGGAAAAATATTACGTCCATCTCAATTAGATTTGTAAAATGTGAAACAATAGATGATTGAGTAAACTTCGTTACGAGTTTGTTTAAAGCATACATGGAGAGATGAACATAAAATACTTTTTTGCTTATTAGAAAAAAGTGGTATCGATTATTGCCAGCTTCAAATTGCAACTACCTGAAAGCTCGTGTACTTTAATGGCTCAGCTTTCAAATTCTTAGAAAAGAAAATTTCAATAATCCTAACTTTGTTGTGTTATATCAACCAACTAACTAACAGCTAAAACCAAATGATGTGGGTTTTAATGGAAGTATTACCAGTAAACATGTATAGCAAACAGACGTGAATCAACATCTGACATTAATTAGACTGACTTTTTTCATAAAGTTTAGATTATGAACGAACGAACAAACAAACAAACGAATGAACGAATGGACGGACGAACAAACAGATGAATTATTGACTGAATGAATTACTAGACAAAACCGCAAAAGAAAAATAAAATTAAAGTTGAACAATGGAAATGTTTATGGGAGTGTGAGCATGTGTTTGTGTGTATGTGTAAGTATGTGTGTTTGTGTGTATGTATCTTGGTCACTCCAGACTTGGACGTCTCTGTCCGCTTCAATTCGACCTTCAAAACAATATTCTCACTCCTTAGTTTTAGGAAAAAAGTTTTGTTGCTAGTGTGAGATCTTTTGAGTTATATGAAATTATTTGTATTTGTGACCTTCGGGATGGTCTGTGTAAATACGTTTTATAATATCATGATCAGTTTCATAGGTAGATGACGTTGTTTATGAAGTAGATTACAATATTATTGGCGTTGATATTCAAATTGGTTGCATTGGTGCTGCAATGATGATAATTTTATGGAATTATTTTGTCTATTTGTGACCTTTGTGTTATTTTTATGAATTTTTAATTAAATTATATACTAGATGCGAAAATTAAAATTCTAATTTCAATAGAAACGGCGTTATTAACAATGCCTGATCGCATTGTTAGAATATCATATCAGTCATTCCAACGTTTAATCAATATATGTTGTTCAGACAAAGACGCGCGCTATAATAAGATATAATGTGTTTTATAAAGGTTGTGCACTTGTTCTTTATGCGGTTTGTGGCCTGAGTTGAGGCAGCTGGCTACTTTGAATCGAAAATGTTGATCAAATTGTTACTCGTTTTAATTTTCTACTTCAATTCTTTTGGCAACTGTCAAAATAATATTGCTCTGGGGAAGATGGTTCGAGAAAGTTCGGTGAACGGTACCTACAATGGTTTTTTGGTAGTTGATGGTGTGTCCAGTTTTCCATTTTGCTTCTCATCGCTGACCAGTGGCTACCAGTGGATCCAAATCGACCTCATCTGGTTGTATCGCATCAACAAAGTTCGAGTGTTCAACAAATTGGCATCCAGTACGTTATTTATGATTTTTGTTTTGCTTGTTTTTAGTTGGGAAAAAAAATGTTATTTCAATATTTTATTAATTACATTTTGTAGCAAGAACATTTTTTAAATAATTAAATTGCCAGATATCTTGAACGTCCAACTGACAAGTGCAAATCTTTCAATCGTTGCATCATGCAACAACCTGACCAATCAGCTAAACAACGTCAACGTTACATTCCAGTGTCCGGATGATGCAGAGCATTCCAGTAAGTACATCACGGTTGACCAAAATAATAGCTCCACCAACATCATGAACATCTGCGAGGTGGTTGTTGAAGGAAGGTACAGCGACGGTTGGTTCAGTCCTTTAAATCTTCGATTAACAACTCAGTGTTCATAACCTTGACAGTTTTCAGTACTTTATTATATTTAACATCATGACTTTTTTCAAATGTTTAAGATTGGCTGAATGCTTTTAGGCTGAATAAGTGTTTACTAAATTTAATGTAAAAAAAACAGCATGTTTTGTCCACCATGCCTTCCTAACTCAAATCTAAAATAATCTTATCTTCATCGTTAACTTTATTACTCATTGTTATCATTTTTCATAATTTTTATAAAAGATTTTATTTACAAAACAAACATTTTGAATCAACAAAATATGTTCAGCAAAAGATACATTCATTGAATTGCAGCATATACCTTAACACTCATTGTTGTGACATTTGACGTTCGTTACTACCAACTCCAATGTTATAACTTCAATTATCTCTATGTTTCCATCACCAGTGTTGTAGCTGTTTAAGATTTCTGATAAATGAACACAACTGTGTTTGTTGAACGTTTATTTGAATGCCAACAATAATAGAAACACTAAACAAATCCAAGTCAATATATAAATCACATTTCGTTTTCTCTGCTGACTTTCCAGCTCAGCCAGAACGAGCAAACCTTCTGCAGAACAAAAAGGCTCTCATGAAGACAACATTTTCAATAGGCACCAGTAGCCTAACAAACCAGTTAATTTCAATGGTGGCTGGTCTGGTCGTCGATGGAATTCGAGATCCCACCGTCTTCCACGGACATTGTGCTCATTCTAATGATGAAGGATTTGCTCAGAACTGGATCCAGGTGGATATGGCAGCGGAACACCACGTTGATTACATTGCTCTTGTCAGTAGAGATACTAATGATCTATCGGGTTAAAGATAAAAAACTTTACGTTCGTTTAAAATATTTTATAAAAAAAATTTGCATTTTTTTTGAGCTGTGTAAAAGCAGTGTAAACTAATAAAGGATAAACATTCAAAACAACTTCTATAGTGTCTCTTCGTCTCTCAAACTTCATAATCGGTCTGACGTCTGATAGAGCTGATGGCGTCACGCCAGTCAGGGGTCAGTACCCCCTTTGTGCCACGTACCCTGGAGATGTTCCACCGGCCACTCGAGTCACCCTGTCCTGCAACGCCAACCTGCCAGCCTACCGTTACATCTTCCTTCATCAAGCTTATGGGGCTGGTGATGGTTTTATTGCAGCTTGCGAACTGGAGGCCTATGAGCCAACTGTTCCATTTCCCGATAAACGTTAGTTGCATTTTAAATTGTATTTTAGACCTATAACGAAAAAGAAAGGATTTTTATTGAAAAATTGTAAAATATAACAATATAAATTGTTTTGTTCATTATGTTAATTCGTCCAATAGACCTCATAAAATCGATCCACCTCGGTTGAAATTTTCAAATATAATACGCACAAATGCTAAAATCTTCATATTCTGAGCTGTAATTTTATATTACAAAATTTTTTTTTATAACTTTAAAAACATCAAAAAAACAATAACGAAAGCAGCTCAAAAACATTTTTTCATCAATGGTTCAATTCTACTTAATTTTACATTGACAAACATAGTTGCAGTTTTGTTTAGACTAAACTGTGCTGTGCATGTGCGTAGGATATTTTCATTAGGCATTAAATAAATCTTTTTTGTAAAGAACTGATTTCTTTAAGTACTTTAAATATTTGACACATATGTGAACATTGAGATTTTATAAAGTGTTTTGCACTTTGTCGTGAAGATTAATTCAAGTGAATGATTTGTTAGGCTAGCTAACTTGCTTGTTTAATTTAAAATTGATTTCAACATTCAATCAATCGCAGGAATCAAATGGAATTCGCTTGAAAATAGCAAGCTAATAAATTACACCTTTCTGGAGATAAAGGCAGTCAAGCCTCTACATTGCATCAGACAGTGCATCAAATTGGGGGAGTACTCTTGCGATTCGTTTAATTTCAACAAGCAACTGAACATTTGCCAGCTGAACAAACACAGGAATGGATTACTGAATGGAACTTTGACTATTGGTGAATTGTGGACTTTTTGGACACCTCGTCATGATTTTCTCGGTAACGTTTAATTGATTGATAAGAATCGATTTGCATGAAATCTTAGAAAATTTTCGAAATTGCTTATAACGGAAAGCATAAGAATGTATGATTCACTTTTAAAATGCAAGAAGGAACATAACATATATTTAATCATTTTTCAAAACTTTAACTTTTTTAACATTTTCTAATATCTCTCGGTCACTTATTTTGTTTTAGTGATAAACACTTTAGAATTTCTATAAACATTTGTATGAAAAATAAATTTTTCTGTTATTTCAGTGATATATTCTTGCAAGCTTTCGCGTAAAAATGTTTTTAAAATACCTTGAAACGTTATGAAATCTTCTGAGAAAGTTATAGCTAACATTTTATATCACTAATTTCTTGAATTGTTATTCAAATTTAATTATAGCTTAGTTGCTTATTAAATAAATGTATCAATTCAAAATTTGCAACTAAAATTCACTCGAATAATTAGTTGATTATACATACTCACCACACATACACACACACACAAACACACACGTGATGACTTTTTGTAGTTTTTTCATCCTGGTAAAAAATTCCATATTGAATCAAATTTAACCCAAAAAATTTTCATAACAAATCAATAAGATAAGTTACAAGTTGATCAAATGAATCTGTAGCATGGTCATTTTATTTTTTATTCAATAAAAATAAAATTAACTCCGAATCAATAAAAATATATGTTCAATAAAAATATATTCCAAAAATTAGTTAAAAATTAAAAAAAAGACAAATAAAATACTTTCGTAACTGTTCGAATAAAAATACTAGTGTTGATTTATATATATATATACATATTTATATACATATATATATATATATGTATATATATATATATATAATCATTTTATAAAAAAATTCAAGGAATCTTTAACAGAAATTTAACTATAGTACTTAAAATTAACACTGGCTGAAAATTGTGCGTCGTTATATTGACATCAAAAACATTCAATGTTTAGAGCTTTTAGCATGGTTTTTAATTGGAAAAATACAACAGGGTAATTCAAGTTTAAAATTTCATGAAAAAATCTCAATAGCGAATAGAAATGAATAAAAAAAATATTTGCCCTTCGTGGGTCTATAATAGATAAATATCCCAAAGAGAAGTGCACTTAACAGGAATTTCAAGTATCAAAAGTATTACAAAAAAACAGTTGAGCATATTATTGATACTAATAGGATTCGTCATATTCGTTCTCGAATTTGTTCATTTGGAAGGGCTTATCTCTGCTGTAGATGACTGATCTGGATTGTTCAGTGTCGTACGATCCGTTCTTTCTTTCTTTCATTCTGTTACAGAAAAACAGTGTTTCCATATTTTTGTTTCTATTTCAATTAATTTTCTTTTTTAGAAGCGTGAATTATGAAAAATATTTCATCCCACATGTTAGATGCTACACCAAAAAGAACCAATATGCTAAACTTTGTTTTATAGACAAAAACATGTTGGTATGAGAAAAAACTTTTTTGGTTTATAAGTTATGATCACGTGCAAATTTTAAGCATACTTTTTCATAATGAAGAATCCTGCAAGAAAAAGGATACTGATCAACCCAACGACTCCAGTGCACACCAGAATGATTGAAATGGTCGTGTGAACGCCAGCATTTTCAAGAGTTAGATGTTCTATGAAGTTTATTTGATTCTCATATTTTAATTTCGTAAATAACTGACTTGAAGATTTAAAAAATAACTGATCTGAAGTTTTAAAAGATAACTGATTTGAAGAGAAAATATTTAAAAAAGTGAAAGTTTTTAAAGTTTACCTTTTTTGCTGTATGCATGTCGGCAATCAGGGCAGTCATTTTCAGAAACCTTCATCTCATCGTCCAAACTTTCCCTGCTTTGTTCGTCATCGAAGGATGAAGAATAAGTTGATGTCGCTAGTGATGATGGCGATGATAACATATTTGCTGCATTGGACGTAACAGCCGGTGACGTTTTTGCAGTCGGTGAAGTTGTGGTAGTAGTTGATGCAGTAGGTTTTGTTGTAAGAGTGGTGGTAGCAACAAGTTTGTCATTTGGTTTTAAGGCCGGTTCGGACTTTTGGTTGCATTGCACGGTCAGTGCGGCGTTTTGCGGGTCGGCTTAATTAAGTGTATTTTGAAAAGTAATGCTCTACCGAATGAAAAAAAAGTTGCAAACGAATATATTTAAAAACTTTCAAAACTTGGTAACTAAAAATTGATACAAGAATTTTAAATGGATGAAAAATTGATCAAAACAATAAATTAACATATACGGCAATGCAACCTATGAATATCAGAAACAAATTGACCGCATACCTCTAACATGAATACGAAAATGACCTCCTTTCTGTAGAGTAGTTTTATCGCGAGTGAACCTTATAATGATATTATTGACAGGAGCGGCGTTCAGAATCATAGACGCCGGTGGATCCGAAGATGTAAGACAAATCTTTTTTTCCTCTTTCGCAAACCTTTTCAGGTAGATGTAAGCGTATGAATAAAAGTTGTATCTGGCAAATTCACTTTCGATAAACTCTACCGTAAATGCTGTCTTGGAGTTCGAATAAATGTAGCACCAACAATCAAATCTCAAATACAAATCCTTATTTGGGTACGAAGGGTTGACCAAATTTATGGAGCTGCCATGTGAGAAATTGTAATTGTTGGCACAGATGTTAATGTTAGGTTTAGGCTGGGCATTGCCTGAAATAAATAAATCGATAATTAAAAATTTTAGCACTGCAATTTTAATGTAAAATTATTATATAGTTTAGTTTTCACATGATAGTGATGTTATGTTAAAGTTAATTAAATGACACGTTGTTTTTTGAAAAATCGAAATGCGGAGGATCGAAATTATAAAATAAACGTCTACTTACAGTAAAAAAATCCTAAGAGGAAACACAATATTAGCATAGAAATCCACATTTTATAGCGATTATATATAATAAAAATAAAACAATCCTTCCTTTTTTAATTTATTTTTTTCAAAATCCACACAACGACAACAGCAAGAAGCGTCGAAGCTCGTGTAAAACAAGGCGAAGATTAAAAAATATTAGTATATATATAGAGAGAAAGAGGTAAAGAATATATATATATATATATATATATATATATATATATATATAGAGAGAGAGAGAGAGAGAGAGAGAGAGAGAAAGAAAGAAAGAGAGAGAGAGAGAGAGAAAGAAAAAGAGAGAGAGAGAGAGAGAGAGAGAGAGCAAGAGGCAAAGAGAGGAAGACTCATTCATCCAATGAATAGATGAATAGACATCAAAAAAATCTATTCTGGTATAAGAATGCATGCTATAAAAGCTTCCAGTGTTCAATACGTTACATATAATACACACCCATATATATATATATATATATATATATATATATATATATATATATATATATATATATATATATATATATGTAAAATATAGAAACATATATGTTTGTATATATATTATATTATTATATGTATATAAATATATTTATTTATATGTGAGATACGTTAAACAAAATCGGAAATAAAGGTAAACTGAACATTTGTACATTTCTCTTGCATCCTTTCTGCCTTTTCCACTTTCTCTCTTTCTTTAAATATATATATATATATATATATATATATATATATATATATATTAATATATATATATTACAAGATATATATATATATATAAATCTTATATATATATATATATATTTATTTATTTACATATATATATATATATATATACATTATATTATATACAAGCAAATATGCTTGTAAAGATCACATTGATCCTGTCGGTAAATGATAAATATACTTTTTATCAAGCAATGATAATGACAAAGCAATTACGTTGGTTTGAACCTGGAGAGAATGATTAAGATAAAACCCAACATCCAAAACGTTCTACAACGTAGTCCGTATCTGCCTTCTTCTTTTAACGCTCTCTGCTTCTCTCTGTTTCATTTTCTTTTTCAAATATACTTTTTCATTCGTATATAAAAATATTATAAATTCTATAAAGGTAAGAAACTGCCGTCAATGAACTTTATGTTAAAAGATTAGATGACCCGCGGTAGAGTTCTTTGTGTACTTACGCCAACGTGGAATAGATGTAAATCATTTCGTAAAATTGATATAAATCCACTTACATCGAGAAAATTTGTAATACCCTTCAAGTCGTTGTTGATAAAAAAAAGTACAAAAGATAAAAATAATTCATGTGAAATAATAAAATAATTAATGAAAAAAATATTTCAGTGTGTCAGAAGTTACCACAAAATAACAGAGAGTGAGAGAGAGAGAGAGAGAGAGAGACTTAGACAAACAGGATACAATCTCCCAGCTAAATGATGAAATCGGTTTAAACCAAGGCTGAACAATTATTTTTTATTTTAAATTCGCCCTGCTGATGCTGTTTACATTATCAAAAAATTATTTTTTTTCGTAATTTTGTTAAGATATAATTAAAATTAAAAATATTTGTGATTGACTGTTTCGTGAGAGTCTTATACGAGTTGTTGCTGGGGTGGAGTGTTATTATTACTATATAGTAATAATACTGAAAGAGTAGTAGCTGTAGTAGTAGTAGTAGTAGTAGTAGTAGTAGTAGTAGTAGTAGTAGTAGTAGTAGTAGTAGTAGTAATAGCAGTAGTAGTAGTAGTAGTAGTAGTAGTAGTAGTAGTAGTAGTAGTAGTAGTAGTAATAGCAGTAGTAGTAGTAGTAGTAGTAGTAGTAGTAGTAGTAGTAGTAGTAGTAGTAGTAGTAGTAGTAGTTATTGGTGCTATATTTCAATGATGTATTTTTAATTCGCGAATCATTATATGAGATATCTTTTATTAAATGTGTTTTTATGTTAATGTATGTTAATGTGCCACATTAATACTCTATTTATTTCTTCTGTCATTCCTTTTTTATGTCTTATTTTATTTTGGTCACGAATCATTTCATCTGCTTGGTCAATCATTTGATATTTCATTTATGTTACGTTAATTTTTATCGAGTTAAACATTCATACAACCGTAATTATTTTAGTTATTCATTATTTTGAAAAAAGAAAACAATAAGTTTGTACTATTTAAAAGTAAAGAATATGTCATGAATCAGTTAGTTTAGATTTGTGTACCATGTTTTTCAATCATACCGAGCAACATCAGCGCTTCATCTGATAGATCCACACAATTATACACAGGTTGTTTTTAGCTAGCCATCATTTAACTCTCATTATCATCTCCAAATGAATCATGTTCATATCTATCATGAATGTTGCTATCTATGGTGACGAGATGATGCTAAGTATATTGAAGGTGCGTTAAATGAGATTATGAAGAAGGTGTTGTTACAATGATGCTACAGAAAGTGATGATGACTAGGACAATGATGTGATGGGCCTGACATTCATCACATGTACCTGCCGTACATACCTACCTAGATGTATATATCCGCGAAAAAACTTACAATTAATTCATCATTTTAAATTTGACATTGATAATTTAGATTTGTATACCAAGTTTTTCAATCATACCAAGCAATATCAGCAAGTCATCTGATACATTCACACTGCCCACACAATCCACACAAAGTACGTGAATTATGAAAATCATTAATAAATGTTTGCTTATTTACCGAAAAAAGAAAGATATTTCAATCATTTCATTTCAACGGTGCAATGAAATGTTGCTGTAGCTAAACCACATAACAGCTATTAGTTTAAATGTTTGTAGGTGCTTATATCAAAGGCTTTTAAGCAGATTCCACTTATGAGACTGGTTTGTGTTCATATGTTCATATAATTATATTACTGTTACTGGTACAAATTTTTCATTTTTTTTGTCTAAATATTTAGATTTTAAACAAATCAAACTATATAGAAAACTATTCCATGTGTTTATATATGTTATAACATAAGCAGATCACACAATAATGAAACTGATCTAAGTGTTTGTGCATTTGTATGTGCGTTTATAATACATTATCCATTGACTTATAAACAGATTAAACAACAAAGAGATCAGCTCAGTGTGCTGGTATTTGGATATGGACCATGGTGCAGCCAAGAGAGCTGACACTTCTGAATGAAACGTAGTGTTGTTGTGTTGGCAGATGTTCATCCCAGGCCAGACACATGTGGTCCGAGTTAATTATTGTACTACTGTGTTGTTGTTGCATACATAATGCTGGTGTTTCTTGTTGTTGAAGGCATTAAGTTGGTGTTTTATTTTTAAGAAGATTTTGTTTGTATGAATGAAGTGTTATATTTTGAAGATTATTTTATTATATATTTTAAACGCTAGGTAAAATATTTTGCTCACTAAGAAACAAAAAATATAAGGAGTTAATTGCTTAAACTAAGTAGCTCCTGTGAGTCTAAGCATGAATATCTAATTTTTATAGAATTATCGATAATTTTGCAAGGTATTAATATTTGAGAATAATATAAAATATAATTAAAGTCTAGGCCTGTCTCTGTAAATAATGTATGATTGTTGTCGAAGTTACTGTCTCATTTCATCAACAAAATGTTGAAAACTTATTTAACAAAATTAGGATAGGTTTCACTCAACAAAACTAATTTAAATAAAAATTGTTGTTGTTGTCTAATAATGTGAGAAGAAGTATTCACATAACAATGACGACCATTTGTTTTGAATGATGCAATATTAGTTGGAATTGAGCCATGGAGATCATTCTACCTGAATGATCCATGTAATCATGTTTTCCTGCTAGCACACGTTCACAACACACATCCAGCTACGCACATTTCAATGGCATCTACTACTTTTGACCGGGATGTTGTTTATGTTTATGTCTATTGCTTACGAATGGCTGTGTTTACTTGAATAAGCTAAATGTATAAACGTAGAGACGGTCTGGTTGTTGTGGTTTAATAATGTGAAAAAAATAATCTACATCACATGACAATGGCGGGCTTTTTGGAATGATGCAATAGCTGTAAATATGAAGCCATAGAAATTATTATTCATGACGCTCGTTCGATGTGCTGTAGTTTTTATATAAAATAATTTATTACCTAATATTTTTCGTTTCTTATTCTTTGTTTGTTTTAAATTTCAGAAATAAATTTTATTTTCGAAGTTTGATCTAACTGGATCGGAAATTGCGTTTAATCCGTAATTTGAAACAACAGAACACGTACAATAAATAACTCTTCGCTAAGCACATTACAACCGAATTGAACAAATACAACCTTTGGACTTGTTCAATCATTTCGAGCAGCAAATCCAAGCACCAGTGTTAAAGTTCAACCGTAGGTAGGTACTTAATTATTGAAACCATGTAACGCCAATAGCGTGTTTGTGTTTTGTTTTGTAGTGACGTGTCTCTAATTATGTTGCGCGATACGTTCAGTTAAAGTGACGTCACATTTTATTTTATTTATTTGTAAGAGTTCTCCCTTCAGTATTCTTCAAAAGCATCAACAACAAACATATAATGCATGTGATAGGCGGGGATCTCATGCGATCGAATCCAGTTACTGCAACAGCAGTGCCAGCCTCTTCACCGTCACACCATCGTACGCAATGATTTTATTTTGTTTTTATCTTGGATCTTTTTGAAATACTATTACGTGATGTTTTTTTGTAAGTCTGGGCTGCAGCAAAGTTGGAACGGAGAAACTTTTTGTCAAACCTTTTATTGCATGGAATAGACGCTGTATGCTTTACGGTTTAGCCAACCACGTAATACTATCTCCTAATTTGCGGAACAGTGTCTAAGCTAACATGTAGGGTGGAAAAAACATTCTTTAGAACGCCATCTTACACTCATATTCTGATTATCATATTGATAAAGATCAGCAAACAGGAATTTTCACACACAAAATGCTGCACGAAAATAAAAATTTAGCCGATAAATAATAATCATAAATAGCCGTATGATAAAAAACTACGTACTTCGAGTTCTGTGAATTACATTTTTGCCGGGATTTACAAATTTTTCAAGTATTCCATGCATGCCATTATTTAAATCAATCACTTAAAGCATGTAACTTTCATCATGTTTTCTACCCACTTTGGTTTCGATATACGGAAATTTTTATGTACATATTTCCGTTAAAAAATCATTATTTTCGGATTTATAAAATGTACACACACACACATACACACACACACACACACACACACACACACTCACACACACACACACTTTTATATATATATATATATATACTGTTGCCACAAAAACGAAGCTGGATTCGAGAAAAATTGGATTCAAGTGAACATGGGCAAAAATTATTTCATTGATTATATAGCACTTGTGAGCAGGGTGACAACTTACACATGTTAGTGGAGAATTTTATTTTTCAAAGTTCAAACAAGTCAAATTCATTGTATTGGGTGCTAACATTTAATAATTTTATGCCCACCGTTTGGTATTGAAGTGTGAAAATAGTTGATTAGTTTGAATTTCTAACTAGCCTTAACTAGAGATGCATTTTCTCAGCCCACCAACTTAAAAAATGGGGCTGAAAATGGGTGCGGAGTTAGTGCTCCATTAGCACCGTATTTATTTTCGTTAGTGCTGGTTTCCTGAATGGAATACAGTTGGGGAGGTTCGGGGCATGCCAGCTTTCCCAAATGCCGCTAGAGACTTAATATTCATAGTATCGTTATTGCTACGTTAGTGCTTTTTAGTGCCGTAATAATTTTCGTTAGTGCTGGTTCCCTAAAAGGGGTATGGCTGGGAGTGCTCAGGAGATGCTTTTTCGAAAATGCGAATAACGATACTGTGAATTTAAAGTCTCTAACAGCACTAACGGAGCACTAACTCTACGCCCAATTTCAGCCCCATTTTTTAAGTTGGGGAGGATGGGGAAATGCACCACTTTATTAGCTGACCAGTTTAAAAATTGGGTTAAACTAAAAATTTTAAATTATTTGCTGAAAAAATTACATTCAAACTGTTGAATTTAATACCATCAGGATGTTCATATTTTTTTTAGAACGCTACAACTTTATTTAACACAAAAACCAGACTCTCCGCGTTTATCAAACTTCATCATCGGACTGACCCCATATAACGCCAGTGAGGTTGCACCAGTGAGAGGACAGTAGCCCTGTGCAACACCTACCCTGGGGAGGTTCCGACAAGTACAAAAGTCACCCTTCAATGCAATGCCAACCTGCCTGCCTATCGTTACATCATTGCTCACCAAGCTGTAGGGGCATTCGATGGATATTTTAGTTTTTGTGACTGGAAGCTTATGAGCCGATCTTTTTTCCACCAAACAAACGTTAGTAATTATTTTGAGAAATAGAAATTTTTTGTAATTACTATCCGGCTGACATTTTTCTTTCAGTCAGTGCAAATTTTTCTTATATAATAAAAAATTCATTGCCGTTTAATTATTACAAACACGTTTGTTACTAGCTAATATATCTTTTTTGTTTCTACTTTTTTGTAACGCAGAAATAATGTGGACACCTATGAAAAACAAACAACTGACCAATTACACCTTCCTAGCATTGCAGCAGTCGAGCCTCTACATTGCATCAAACAGTGCATCAAATTGGGAGAGTACTTGTGCGATTCGTTCAATTTCAACGAGCAACTGAACATTTGCCAGCTGAACAAGCACAGGAATGGATATCTTAATGGGAGTTTGATTACTAATACTTCATGCTCTTTCTGGGTGTCCCACTATTATTACTATGGTAATGTTTAACTTTTATATATACCATTGGAAAATTAATGAATAATAATTTAAATTGACAAATAAATGAGTTTGAAACTTCTAAAAATATTGCATTTTATTATAATTAAATGTTCAAATTCAACATCCAATCTTTAAAGAGCTTGTTAATCAAAGTATTGTTCATACATTTCTTTGTCTTTTTTTGTAAAAATTGCCCCATCATATTATAAAATGTCAGATGATTGAGGCATTCAAACGGTGGCAGGTGCACAGCGGAGCACAAGGACATTTCAGGTTGCATTTCAATCCGTGCATTCCTTTGTCACAAACTGAGAAATATTTTTATTAGTAGGTGAATATTTAAATAATTTTTGAAAAATCTTTATAACATCTGCCATTTATGTATACTTATGCTTAGCTTCTGCATATAATATATGGTAGCACGTTCATTTTATATGTTTTATATATGAACATTTGTTAATGTAAACCAAAACTATCCAACGCTATAAATTTGGTAGATATCATAAATTATCACATTAATTACGGTCTTTTACCATAAAATATGTGTTACTAACAAATTAATTAATTAATTTAACCAGAATAATTTGAATCGTTCGTTTTGATAAACCTATCCTCCAAAACTTATTTTAAAAAATCGTCACCAGAGTAAACGCTATTCATCGATGCTCCGCCGCAGATTTCGCGCGAATCACCAGAACACGTGTAACTGCATCCATTTCCAACTCCATACGCTCCGTACGAATGTGAACAGTAGCATTCGTTGTGATACTGGGAATCGTTACGGTAAATTATTGCAAGTAAGTAACTACGGTAAATTTGCATCACTTCAACTAAGTTTATGACAAAGTAAAATTACTAACTGAGTAACAAAACTCTTATCAGTCATTTTTGGTACATTTTTATAGCGTCAATTCTAAAAAAATAAATTTGACTCATGAGAAATATTTAAAGAAATTGAAAGTTTAGGTTAGAGATCTTTTGTGAGTTTAGATATGGGTTTTTACATCTATAACATATAAACTAAAAATTTATTACATAATTTAAATTTGTTAGAATAGTAATCATTAAAACGAGATAAATTAATAAAAAGTATTAAAACATCTTTTAGTATTTCTTAAAAATATCAACAACAAAGGCACAGTGCGCCAGATTCAACGCATCATACACACTGCATGCAATGGACTGGAATCTCTTGCCTTTGAATACAGTCACTGCGTCAGCAGTGACAGTCATCTTAACCATTACACCAACCTGCAGGCCCTGATTTCAAAAAAAAATATATTTGAATGTAAAATATACTTGTACTCCGAAGACTGTGTAATTGTGGCGGTAACAGACATCGCTGCAGAAGACGGGAGTCATTCGGCCGTCGATGCTACTGAACTGGAGGTCTCTCATTCCGGGTTTCTTGTCATCTGTGTAGCAGCCGATGTACCTCGGAGGCATTTCTTTCAAGATCGTTTGCAATTAAAGTGTTACTCTAAAGAGTTATATTAAATTAAAGATCGAAATTTGATTTAACGCCAAAACGCGTTTTAAAAATTATAAAGATTCAAAACAAAATTGCAAAACTTAATCATTTAAACACGTTGAAAAGATTGAAAGACAAAATTGTAAACAGCGAATTGGTGCCACAGAGTTAGAAAATAATTAACCTTTGTGCGTTAGTAAACTGTTTTTTCTCTGTTTCCATCAGAAAATTAATTTAATTATCTTTTCATAATTGAAAATAAAACAAAAAATTTAGAAAAATTATATCAAAATTTTTTTAAATCAAAAATTAGTTTACGCACACCTCATAAAACGTACACAGATCATTGATGTCATACTGGAGGACAACCTCCTTTCGATCCTTAAACAGCTGACAAGTTTTCGTACCACGGTGGTAGTTGCACCCGACACAACCGACCGCCGCCGAGCACACGGCGACACATTTGACGTGGGAATTGTAGGAGCAAACGAGCTGTACGTCTGCGTTATCTGTCACACACGTTCCTAGGCCATATGTGTTAAGAACCGGGATGAACAAATTAAAAACGGGTTCAAAATTTTCTATGAAAGTCTTGAGATACCCGAATGAAATGATAAAACTTATTATATTGAGGCTAATTAACCACTTAACCAGCATGTTTACAGACGTTGAATATTAGCAGGTTTTTCAAAATATAATTTTTTGAATAATAATATTGGATAAATTACTGACTCTAAAAAATTTTGCAAAACATTTTAAACTTAATCACTTAACTTTCTAGCCAGTTAACTTTATTCATAGTTGCAATAACTCAAAACATATTAAAAAGTTATCGTTTTGAATTAGTCTTAAAATTTTGGTGAAGAACAAACAAACAAACAAACAAACAAACAAACAGGCACAAGTCGTTTGTAGAAAAAAAGATAGATTCTTTTAAATTGAACAAACAATTGAACCGAAATAAAGAAAAATTTACGTCAATAGGCATGCATGCATCATTCATATTCCATTTCCACGCATCGATGTTTTTATTATTAGAATTACATGAGGCGCACGATACGTGCACTGTTGTAAACATAACAATTTCTGAAAAAGAATAAAACTCGAAAATTATTTTAATAAATTATGAGTTTTTCGAGTTTTTTTTTAAATAACTGTTTGAATAAATGAAAACATTTTAAATAAACAAGCCTGAACTTGTATCGCCGTGAGTAAAATTTTAACTTTCATCGACGAAATAGTAGGAAATTAATTTTAAAAAAATAAAAAATGTCTTCCGAATTAGCTCATTTTCATTTAGATTACTTGAAAAAAATTAGAAAAACTATTCATTCGTTCATACCCTCCGATTTAATCTCGCAAACACGAGTTTGATTTGCTTATTTCCACATTCCCAGAAACAGTTAACCTCAGTGGGTGGTGCGAAAACTTCACAAACATCAACCATTTGAACGCAGCAACGCTAGAGAGTCTGCAGAAGGGAAAGTCGGACATGTTACAAATTTTATTTTAAGGTTGGAACATGAACAAGACCATTAAAAAATATTATTATAATTAAGTAGTACGTTTAAATTAAATTTTTCTTGAAAATATTCAAAATTCAGATGGAGATGTAGATTGTAGGTGAAATGTAATAAAAATTGTTGCATCACATTGCGAAATGTTGTTAATAGTGCGGTGCATATTGCAGCAGCACGTTAAGTCATTGTCATTCTTGATTTTTACGAAATGGAAAATATTATTTAAAAAAAGTAGAACCATAAATACTAAGACATGGAAACTGTACAAACTAATAAACATGTTCAAACAACGTCTACTTTGAATGGAATGAAGCTTTTTCTTTGCTGTTATCCAGGAAAGAAAAATTTGACGCAGAACAAGGAATGTTTTCGTTCATAATTGTCTGATGGCGAAACAAATTATGAGTGCACGATGATTCGCGATTGAGCAGTAAATAAAACATTAATTACTCCCGGCTGAAAAATTTCTTATGAGTTTGGAAAATATTGGCAAAAAGCGTAAACTATGTGCAAAGGTGGTGTGGCAAGATGGTGTAATGGTAAAAACGTCTGGTCTATAAATATATATATATAAATAAATAAATAAATATATATATATATATATATATATATATATATATATATACATATACATATACATATATGTTGTAGTGATTGGATTCAAACGCAAAGGGACTCATGATTGTCAATCACTTGCAATGAATGTGTTGTGCGTATGTGCATCCTTCAAAATTGTTTAAAAGGAAATTAATTATTATAATGATAATGAGAAATTTTTGAATGCATGTAAAGTTGGAGATAGATTAATATTACATTTTATACTCTTAAGATATGAAACTATCACGTCATTACTTGCAACCATGACAATTTCCATAACAACCACAACAGCCACAACAATCACAACAACTTCAACAACCACAGCCACTTCAATTGCTAAACATATAGCAACACGTTTAATGTTAGAAATGTGAAAATAAACATGCTTCACACATTTTTTAAACGATTATTTTTCAAAATATTGAGAACGAATTGAAAAAAACAAATTCAAAACTCGAAGTGCGACAAACTTTAAAAAAAGTGATTGTAGATTAATGGAGAAGCTAAATCAAATTAACTTCCGTGAAAAAATAAAAATTAAAAAAAAATCAGTTATAGCTTTCGGAACATTTTTGTTTAACAAAAATTCCGAAAAGGAGTTTTTTTTCAAAATTAATGAAGTAAAAAGATGTTACTAAATTAAGAAAACATGTTTAATGCTGGAATTTTAAAGTTCCTGGACTCTTGTTCACTTTACCAAGCCCATAAAAACAAATTGTCAATCAAAATACCTATGGTAATAATATTGATTTAGAACCAGCATTGTTAGAATAAAATTGGAAGAACAACAGTCTTTTACAAAAATATTACAGACTACCAAGACAATCATCATTATTTCAACAACAAGATGAACAACAACATTCATTGCAGACCCACGTTGCGTGACTTGTTCCACTAATGCCTCCACACGATCATTTGTAGTTTGGGGTGTGTATGTGTATAATTTGTAATTTCGAAAAAAAAGACTAAACGAGGAATATTTTATAAGAGCCAAAGTTTGTTTCAAAAAGTATTTTTTTAAAAATTACTTTGCAGCTCATTAAATTTGAATAAAAATTTGAAATTACTGTCTAAAAATTGTATTTAACGATTACTCATGCGTACATATTACTATTCCGGTGCCATGCAATTCATACCTCAATTGAGTGAAGTTGCTATGTTGTCATGCTACTTGATTACATATTTTCACGAAAGCGTTATTGACGTTATAGGGGACATACAAATCGAAATGTATAGTGTGTGTTTATGTATCTGTCTACTATGAATATATACTAATCGTTGGGGATTTAATAATTTTTTATCCATTCACGTTGCAGTGTTTTTTCCTTCAGTACATTGAAAAATATTTCTTGCCAATGTTTGCCAGATCAACACGGGATTGATTTGACTTGATAAAAAAATCAGAATGATCAAATTGATCGTAATGTTAATATGCTGGCCAAAAATTTTTGTTGACGGCCAATCGAATGTGGCTCTTGGCAAGATGGTTCGAGCAAGTTCGTACACGAATCCATACACTGGCTTCCTGGTGGTCGATGGACTGGCCAGCTCTCCTTTCTGCTTCGTCTCACAAACGTCTGGATATCAGTGGATTCAGATCGACCTCCTCTGGCTGCATCTCGTTGAATATGTTCACGTTATTGCTAAACAACCATCCAGTAGGTTTTCTGTTCGGTGGATTTATTTTTTTACTAGCTCATGCATTATTTTTAAGTATTTTTTTTAACCACTATTAAAAAATCTCAATTAAAAACAAATTAAATTACTCCAGTTATCAAAATCTGAGTTTTATTAATTTTAACAGACTTCTAACAATTCACTTTTTATGAACAAGTTATGAACTGAAACCCAAAATTTGACGCCCAGGTGTCTTTAACACGAGATTGGCAAACTCAATGTTGACAACGTGCAACAACCTGACCAGTCAACTGGGCAACAGCAACGCTTCATTCCAGTGTCCAAACACGGCAGAACATGCGAGCAGATACGTCAGAGTTGACCAGAGCAGCACATGCGTCAACATGATGAACGTTTGCGAAATCGTCGTAGAGGGCCAATGGGCTGAAAGTGAGAGTAATTTTTGCAACAAATATTAATTTTAAATTAATTTATTAGCTACTTCTTGGAACGTTACAGTAAAAAACTTTACAAGTGTGTTTAATGGAACCTTGGCATCAGGTTACCGCGCATGACAGCGCAAGACGTGGCACTTCTAGAGACCGAGCTAACTAGCCGACTATAATTCCAAGCTGAAAGCTTAGTTATTCTAACCAAATGTATAAACGTGAAAATGTATAATCTTCATAGCCATTAATAATCTTTTATAGTTTTTTTAATTTTATTTTTTGTAAACATTTTATTGCAACATGTTTACTCGCATACGTATAAATTTCGTGCCTGCCACAGTCAAACCTAGAAAAGAAAATGTTCTTCTGCGCAAAAACGGATCAATGAGCTCGAGTATATACGCGAGCACCATCCTGACCGGGAGAAGTTATTTTTTGACGAGCGATTATGCAGTGAACGGAGTGAGAAATCCTTCAATAAAACACGGAGACAGCGCTCACACAAACGAAGGATCGACTGGAGCAAACTGGATTCAAGTGGACATGGGCAGAAATTATTACATTGATTACATTGCTTTTTTGAGCCTCGATACAACCGGTGTGAATGGTCAGTTGAAAGATTTTGGTTAATTTTTTCAATTCTTCGTTAAAAATTATTGTTTATCGGATTAAACTATATGAAAAAATTTTATTCTTCTATGAAAATTTTGTTTATATTGTAATAAGAGCTACGCAAGAAGTGAATTCCTACTGATTTAAATAATTTCCTCAACCAATTCGCTATTAAATAAAGATGCGTTTATACGAACTCTTTCTGTCAGATATTAAAGGCACAAAAACTTATAGTAAATGGTTGTTAGGAAATATGAAACTGTATGAAAAATTTTCAAACTTACACATTAAAAAATTTTGTTCAGTTGCCAGTCGGGTTACAAACTTCATCATTGGACTGACGTCAAACAGATCAGCCGATGTTGCACCAGCAAGAGGGCAGTACCCCCTGTGCAACACTTATCCTGGGAATGTCCCGATAGCCACCCGAGTGAGTCTTCAATGCAGTGCAAACCTGCCCGCCTACCGCTACTTAATCGCCCAACAAGCCTACGGGATGTCTGATGGATACTTTTCCACGAGTGAACTAGAAGCATATGAACCACAAAATGATAAAAAAGGTTGTGGATTTAGCTGTTATTTAATACAAAATTTTTTTGTAACCTGTATTCTTTGAATTTTTTAATTAACTTCAGATAAAATTTGGTGTTCACTGCAAAACTTTCAACTGTTCGGCTATTCGTTCAACGAGTTTCAAGCTTTCAAACCGCTATGTTGCATCATCAAATGTTTGAAACTGGGTGAAGCCGAATGCGATTCCATCAATTTCAACTACCAGCTGAAGATCTGCCAACTGAACAAGCACAGGAATGGATACACACGAACTAATCTGATACGTAGCATTACGTGGTCGTTTTGGAATGCTACCTATCTTCACATCGGCAATCGTTGATACGTTTAAAAATTTTTTAAGAATATTTTTACGGTTTAATCAAATTTTCAACTATTAGCTAAACCTTCAAAATTAGAGGAACGATCATTAAGTGGTATTTTTTTCTCGTTTAATATTGTGCCCTGTGATAAACAGAAGATACTTTTTGGACATTTAATCTGTGATGTTGATAATTAACTTTTTATTGTTATGAATATTTCAACTGTTTTTTGAATTGATCAAATAGAAACTGAAATATTTACAGTCTGTTTTGTTGCCTGAAAACTATAACCAATCATAATCATTAAGTTTTGTGATTCAACGTGGACAGTGATTTTCACGAATTGCAAATAAAATTATCGATTGCATGGCATTTTTCAATGTACTTCATACTGCCTGAAGATGTAAAACAATTTGCCGAATTGAAACAAAAAAATGAAAACACAAAAACAAACTTATATTTAAATGTACAGCTTAAATCATTGATTTATAACAGAAAATTATATGTTTAAAATAACATTTCTTCAAAATTCAATTTTTTGCGTAACTAAATGTAGTTAGTCAAAGCTGACTAGAAAAAAAAATTTCAAACACCACAAATTCGAGAAAAATCATAAAAAATATCCTTTTTTATCCCATGTTATAAAATAGATAGATAAAATATGTAGTAGATAAAATGGCCAAGATTAATAACTGTTTTCTGAGTTTCTTTATTGCAGATTTATTGAAAAAGTTTCTCCAATGAAAAATATTATATTGCTTAGTTAGATTATCTGTTATATGTTATATGTTTTGTTATTTAGTAATTTAGTTAAATATATGTGAATGATTTAGTTTTTTAGGTTCTTGTGGGTTTGATACCTTTCAAAACATTTTATTCATTTTCACACTAAAAGTGAAATAATTAAATATTTACAGTCTGAGTTCGTTTAAAAGTTATAATCAACCGTATTCATTAAGTTTTGTGATTAAACGTAAGCAATGATTTTCTGGAATGGCAAAAAATATCGATAGCATGGCATTTTGCAATGTACTACTTACTGCCAAGTGATGTAAAACAATTTGCCGAATTGAAACAACAAATGAAAACATAATTGATCAAAAGAATTCAAAAGAATAAAAATGTTTTACCTACCCATGATAATTTTACATCATTTCTCTCTCAATGAATTTACAATGATATCAACTATCCCCACATCTAATGAAATGCCAGACATTTTATAAAATTAAATGGTTGTAAATAATGTTCTGGGTAATCACATAAATAGTTTTTTTTACAATCATTTGAATGTATATAAACCCTCAGTTTTCTACACTGATTTAGTTTCTCAGCTTTCTAGTTCGAGAGCGTTTACAAAAAATCATTTCGATAACTTTGATAGTGTTGAAATAGTGAGTAATGGCTATCAGGATACCCAAACTCCAAAAAAAGATGTTCAGAGAATGCAATTTGGAATTCTTAGTCCGGATGAAATTGTTATTAATATTCTAATTTCTAAATTAAATTTCAAAAATTTGCATATTCGTTTTACTTTTCTCGATATTGTCTATTTATAATTAGAATATTTGATTTTAATAAATTAAATTATTATTCTGTATAATTAATTTCAGCGACGAATGTCTGTTACGGACAACGGTGGGATAAAGCATCCCGTAAGTACTGAAAACGGCTGTCCCAAGATAGGCGGATTGATAGATCCGCGTCAGGGCGTAGTCGACCGAACAGGCAGATGCTTGACGTGTGGGGGAACATGGCGGAATGTCCGGGTCATTTCGGACATATTGTCCTCTCGAAACCAGTTTTCCATGCAGTATTCTTGCCGAAGATCATTAAAGTTATGAGATGTGTTTGCTTCTACTGTTCCAGATTGCTCGTTGATCCGGTAAGTATTTATTTCACAATGTTTTTGTACTGTATATTTTATTAATCAGAAATATATTATTTAAAAATAAATTATTATATAAACGGTTTTCAATTTTTTCATCCAGGATCTCCGAAAATTGAACGAAGTATTTAGCCAAACTAAAAATGATTTCCGTCGCAGACAGAAATTGGTTTATGAACTGTGCAAAGTTAAGACAATTTGCGAATCTGGTGGCAGTGAAAAAATCGAAATGTTGAAGGAAAAAGAAGATAAAGTAGGCATTGTTAAAATAATTATCCATAAATGTAAAAAATGAAGAGCAGCATAAGTCTAACTATTAATTCAAAGGATGCTGTAATTTTAATTTCAATGCAGTATGGTACCAAAAATAATTTTAGCTTTAAAAAATAATGAGGCGCTGCACAAAGCAAAATAAATTTATAGAAATAATAATATTTAAATATATAAATGTTTCATATTTAGATATCAGGATGCGGTCGTCACCAGCCGACGATTAAAAAGAATGGTTTGGAACTGACAGCAGAATGGAAAGTTCTTAATCACGATAGCCAAGAAAAAAAGGTTTTTATTTATTTTTATTCATTCATATCTTATCAAAATGGAATTTTTTAACACTTATTTTTTCTACATTTTCGTATTTAAATGCAAATTTTTACAAATTGGTTTTCAACTAAACAGATTGTGCTGACAGCCGAACGCGTTCTTGAGATCTTCCGGGCGATCACTGACGAGACGTGCACGTATTTAGGAATGGACGTATTCTTGTTTTAGATCAACACGTACTACGACCTACCTAATATTGACTTAAGTGGCTTGTTACCATAGCTGTTGAGAATTCAGTTGGATAGGAAGAAAATGATTGATAGGAAATTAATTTAATTCTCAACTAGGATTTGGCGATGATTTGAATGTCATCTTCACTGACGACAACGCAGAAAAATTAACTCTTAGAATCAGATTGAACAAACAAGCTGACAAGGAAAATGTAAGTTTTGTTATGTTTGTTGTAGTTTTATATGCTCTGTTTAAATTTTTTGCATGTTTTAAATAATTTGTTTTCTTAATGAATATTTTAATTTTATTTGCCAACAGCAAGAGACAGTTGAAGATGAATTTGACAAAATAACAGACGACAAATTCCTCAAACTCATTGAGACCAACCTGTTGAAAGATCTAACCCTGCAAGGCATCAGCAACATCTCAAAGGTTGGTTTGGTGTTTAATGGAATGTTTGTGCGTAATGCGATTGAGATGGGATACTGTCTTTATATTTTAGATGCAAATATGATCATTATTATATTTTGGTTATTTGTTGGTTAACATTTCTGCTTGCATTAATTTTCCAGGCGTACATGGTTCATCCGACGTCAGATGAAAAGAAACGCATCATCATTGACGAAAAAGGTTACTATAACATCACAATTTTTATGTATGTATGTATGTATGTATGTATGTATGTATGTATGTATGTATGTATGTATGTTCAATTACACGGCTAGGGAGCAAGGTTCCGCTGCGGTGAAGGCTGCTGATTTCAAGAATACTAAATATAAAGATCTAAACGACAATACGAGAGTTTTTGTTCCGATCTGTGTGGAGACATTTGGTCCAGTGGATAAACAGACACAATTATTTTTTGATAACATTGGTACTAAAATAGTTGAAAAATCTGGTGATCCCAATGATAAAATTTATATAAAGCAAAATATGTCGTTGTTGTTGCAAAAGTTTAATTCATTTTGTATTTTAGAGAACATCGCTAAGTGCCCTTCTGTGCGAGACCCTGTACACTAATATTGTCTGTTGAACAGGGGTGAAATGATAGTTTTTATGGCTATTGTTTTTAACCAAGGGCTCGCACATATGCACACACACACATATACATACACACACGTACACATACTTTTACGTACGTACGTCTTACAAAAGATGGATAGTTAAGCAGGAAACAACAACTTTGCATTGAGTGAATCAATCAATCATCACTTGTGTGTGCGTATATGTGTGCTTGTTTGTTTGTATGTTTCTATCTGATACGTTCGTGTGTACTATTTAAAGTGCGCGCCAATTAAAGGATATCGTATCGAGGACGCCTCTCGGTACCTCTGACTGTAGTATCGGTGAAACTTTTGTCATCGAATATCAATTGATATCGCAGATTTTCTGGAGAAAAATTTTTTCCGAGAGTTAAAAAGGAGATGGGCGCGGACTGTATGTGTCAAATTTTGAATTAGTCATAAAGTTTTATCATCTATCGCGGCTCCATTTTAAAATCTCCATGTCCTCCAACCCTCCTTCACATTCTCAAAGATTATTAGTTCTTCTTCTCTTGAGTCCTTTAAAGACTTCAAAAAGCTGTTCAACTAATCAACAAATTTTTTAAAATTTTAAAGGGCAATTGATTAACAAAAACTAAAATATTTGCACTATCATTCTGCTGACAAATGTTTGAACTCTGTGTGCGTATGTTTGTATATACGCGTATGTACGTGTGTGTGTGTGTGTGTATGTGTGTGTGTGTGTGTTGTGTGTTTGTGTGTGTGTTGTGTGTTTGTGCGTGTGATCTTGGCCTATGTGTAAATGTGTGTTTTTATCACCTAGGTTAGTTTGATTATGTTTGATTATATTCGTGTATACTTGTATAATTAATGGCAGTGATTTTCAGCACGACGATAATTATCTTGCTCGTCGCGTGGAGGAATTTGACTATTTAAATTATTTAAATACATATGCAGCCCTTCAAAGGTTAAAAATTTCTCAACATCACTGCTAAACGTTTGCCCATCCCTGTTTTATATAGTTATTCATTATAATAGCACCAATGTCTTTTAAAATAGAAAAAAATTATTTCAAATAAAACCAAACTTGAAATGAATTAAATTCGCATAAATGGGATTTAGAATTTATTTCAAAATTTTCCGTCAATTATTTAAACAAAAGAAAGACATTTGAAACGATTTAACAAAAAAAGGCAAAGAAACAAAAAAGGAGTAACAACTTTTTAGCATTGCCAACAATTTGTTCGCATTATCAGTAATATTTTTAACGATATATTGAAAATATTATTTAATTAATGATTAAAAAAGGAAATTAGATAAAAAAAATGCTTTACTGAAAAAGCGCCCATCATAAACGTCATGTTCGTATTTGTTTGTATGTGTATGTGTTACGTTTGTATCATGTTTGTACCACGTTTGTATCATGTTTGTATCATGTTTGTTTTTGTATTGTATGCGTACTGCGTGTGTGTGTGTGCACAAAACAAAAACAGTCACTTAACGTGAAAAAAAGATGATACAAAGTTACCTACCAATCGTCGTCATTATATTTCTTTTAAATTTTAATCCCAGCCATGGCATGCCTCCGTTCTCTTAACTCAGAACTCACCTACCTACTTCCAATCAACTCAATCCCTAGCTTGCGTATTGTTCAACTCAGCTCATTTTACAATTTTTATTTATGATTTTATGTTAACAAAGTAAGAAAAGTTAAGAAGAATAGACAAATTGCAACAATATAACAGCTAACGCATGCATGTATATGTATATGTGTGTTTGTACGTTTGCGCGTATGTTTCAACTTATGTGCTTGGTAAAAGATCATAATTAATGCAGTAATCTATAAAATCTACCAAACTTCTTGCGTTGGATAGTTTTTTATTACATTTCTAAATATTTCTATCCAACGCTAGAAACTCGGTAGATTTCATAAATTCTGTTTTAACCTATGTACGTATGTGCTTGTAGTTCGTGTATGTGTGTGTACGTTTTTTAATTTATTATAGAGCTTTCATAAAAAAAAAACTAAAATATCTGAAAATGAAAAAGCGCATCTCACGAACGGCATTCAGTGAGAAGCCCCCTCGCCACGTCAAGGCAGCCGTTCATGAGGGGGTTAATAATAAGTGCACGCGTCTCAAATTAGTTATATAAATAATCCTATCTACCTATTCTGGTGCATTAGCTAATAACTTATTAGCCTCAACCTACTTATTTATTAAAATTAAGCCCTAGCTTACCTATAACTACAAAACTCAAGAGCCCAATTCATTCGCCAATCGGCCCCACCCCACCACCTACATAATGCCTTGGGCTCCAACTTAGTAATAATAATGTAAAACTTAAACCCTAAATCTATTAATGAGTATGTGTGTACAACGTAGCCTTAACTTACCTATTCATTACATTACGGGACTAGCTTACCTAAAATTACAAAACTCAAGAGCCCAATTCATTCGCCAATCGGCCCCACCCCACCACCTACATAATGCCTTGGGCTCCAACCTAATAATAATAATGTAAAACTTACAATTAACCTACCTATATATACACTTACAACGCTTAATTTACATTACAAGATTGTTCCTAGAATTACATTATTGCCCTTAACTACCTATGAAATTAAATTACTTTAAACCTTAGTAATAAGAAATTAGAATGTGTAATGAGAATAAAATTACGCTCAAATACTAACACATGTGTTTATGTATGTATTTGTGTGTGTGTGTGTGTGTGTGTAATAACGCTGATGCGTGTAATGTGGGTGCAAGAAAAATAGAAGCGATAAACTTACGCGTCTACCTATTCAACTACATTAGTGTTGGATGCTTTCTATCTATCCTACCTACAATTAAAATTACGCCTATCTAACCTACCTATGTAGCTACCTAATGTAATGTGTGTGTTTGAGTAGGTGTACTAAATGACGCATCTTAAATAAATAAAAATAAAAATGGTAATATAGAAAGAAAGAAAGATTAGGACGTAGAAAGTAAGACCTGTAATAAAAATATATTCAACAATCAATAAATAAAAATCCCAGTAAAACCAGGAACCACCGCGTACCTGCTGAATGTAATGTATGTTGTGAAACAATACAAAAACAAAACGAAAAACACACCACCAAGTAGAGTAACAGAATAGAAGTTCCTAACCTACCTATGTAACTAAATTACCTTATGCCCTAGCCTACCTATATAATAAATTAATTTTTAATCTCACCTACCTATGTCATTAACTTAACTAAGACTTACGAAGAAAGAGAAAAAGGAGTAAAAAAGAACATAAAATACTACCACACAAACAAACACGATGTATGTATGTATGTGTGTATGAGCAACCGCTAAAGAACCCACCTAAAAAAATATTACATACAAACCACAGACAAACATACAAATCACATACAAACATAACTCTATATAACTCTATATAGCCGCGAAACTCTATATAACTCTATATAGCCGCGAAACTCTATATAACTCTATATAACTCTATATAGCCGCGAAACTCTATATAACTCTATATAACTCTATATAGCCGCGAAACTCTATATAACTCTATATAACTCTATATAGCCGCGAAACTCTATATAACTCTATATAACTCTACATAACTCTATATAACTCTATATAGCCGCGAAACTCTATACAACTCTATATAGCCGCGAAACTCTATATAACTCTACATAGCCGCGAAACTCTTTATAACTCTATATAACTCTATATAGTAAAAATAAAAAATAAATAAATAATGAAAATAAATAAAAATAAAGAAATAAATATAAAAAAATGAGATCAGGCGCTCAGGCAATGGGCCAAAAGCGCCTGATCTGATTTCAACGCATTTTCGGCTCCTATATATACCAGTTCCATTCATATATTCTTATCATTTCAATCATTGACATTATTAAAAAACTTGATTTAATGTATAGGAAACATTATTATATGTGCTTAACAACAATATATTAACTATACTAAAATTAATTCAACGACCGCCTACGGACTTCCTGATGGGAAGGTTCGAGTATGTGTATACGTTTAGCTAGTTGAACTCCAAAGTAATCGAGATCGCTCCTTTTCTACTCAACAATTGAGAATGAAAATATGTATTTTTTTTATTTCATTTCTCTTATTTATCATACTCACAACCAATCATTCACATCAGTAAAAAATTTATTGATTTAGTGTTATTGGTTTTACGCCATACACTAATATTCTTGACAACAGAGCTTCTCAAACTAAACTGACGCCAAACGTCAACAAACGTCTTAGAAACTTTCTGATGGATTGATTGGATCTGCTGTATTTCTTTTTATCTAAACATATAGTCATAACCATTATTTGTATACATGGATTCTGGATACTTTATATTGTATATTTATTATGTAACTTCATTATAAAGCCAACGGTAATCTTACGCGGCTCAAATTATTCCGAGAGAATTCAAAATATTTTGACACCACACACCTTACTTCACTCTAATTGTATAATTTATTTGTATAATTTCAATGTATAAATATAAAAATATAAATATATTTAATAACTACACCTATCTATTAATTTAATTTTGTGTGCATATAATATTTGGTAGAATTTATTTCATAGGAATCGAATACAATGTTTATACCGGCTAATTCACTATTGTACATTTCATTATTTTTTACTATTCAAATGGCGCCATTTCCGCCGAACGATTTCGCACCAAAGTGTCAATCCTATATTAATGATTCTTTCGCCATTGTTTAGAGGGATTATCATTTCAGTAAGTTTCAAACAAAATTTTTGTTACGCTGATAATTTAAAAAGTTATCAGGGAAAAAAGTTGCATCCGGTTGGGACGTACACACACATTCAACGTTGAAATTATTGTTTGAGTGAATAGCTGGAAATATATGTACGGTACAAGTAGGATGTCGCCAGCAGTCTTTCTTATAAACATAATTTGTTGATGCTTCCATCCATCAGCGTTATTAAGCTTTTTATTTAAATTTCTTGATCTACGAACTAACATTTATTTAATTCCAAATTAAAAATAAATTTCATGAATGAATAGATGAATGAATGGGTGAATGGATGGATAGATTGATGGATGAATAAATAAACAAATATATGAATAGTCAAACAACTGAATGAATAAATAAATGGATGAATGAGTGAACGATTGAACAAACAAACAAATGAATGAATTAATGAATTATGAGCTTCCATAGATCAAAGAACTAGTAGCAGAAAAATGTTTACAATTCCGTATGACTATCTTTCCATATTAATGATTTTTTATTTATTTTTAAACTGTTTACAACTGTTTCTAAAAATAGTAGTAGTAGTTGCTGTTGTTGTCTGTCTGTGTGTTTGTATGTTTGTCTCTGTGTATGTTTGTGTTGCAACTTGTCATGCAAAGGTTTGAATTATCATCCGTGGTGAGTTATGTGAGGTAGCAACTGCTTCCTTATTTCCTGTTATGTTATCTGTCTGTTTGTCTGTCGGTCTGTCTCTTTGCTGTCTGTATGTTTGTCTGTCTGTATGTTTATAACACATAAGTACAAACATAGAAACCACATAAAAACATACAAACTCCTTACAAACATACAAACCACATACAAACATTCAAACACATACAAACTACAGACAAACATACAAACCCCATAGAAACAAACAAATCACAGACAAACACACAAATTACATACAAACAACATACAAACATACAAACATACAAACAACATACAAACATACAAACAACATACAAACAACATACAAACATACATACAAACCAACAAACATTTAAACATCGTTAAAATGTTTTAAAGTTCATAGAGGTCTCCAGTTCGGATGATTAGTAAATTTCTCTGATCTTTCTTCGCTACTTTGTATACTAAATGTACAAAATACACACACACACACAAACACACACACACACAAACACAAACACACAAACACACATACAGAATAAGAAGGGTGATAGGTTAAAAATTGAAAGAGGAACTAATGATGGACCTGAAAGTCAAGGTTTCGTTGAAAATTCTTACTTGGCCGGAATCACGCCTACTGAATTTTACTTTCACGCGATGGGCGGTAGAGAAGGATTGATCGATACCGCTGTCAAAACTGCTGAAACTGGTAGGTGTGTTTGGTTTTTAGCTGAGATTAAATTAAGAAAACATTTTAATTATTTCACGTTGTTCAATTGGCATTCTTTATTCCCGACTCCTCTGAACCCAGAAAAATTAACAGCTTTTTTTCTAATTCTTTCTTACCAATAGATAATCCAGCCAGGTAACGAACGACATAACGATGTTCAGTTTCCATATTCTCTATTACAATGTAATTTTATAAATAAAATGACAAAGCTAACAAATGAGATACTTTTATTCTAATGTTGAAACGTTCAGGCGTTTACCTGTTAAGAATTATGTTTAAAAAGCATCACATATTTATTATTTGATCGCTAGAGATTTGTTTTGCATAAACTTTGAGCTCTGATGTTGCAATTTAACATTATAGGTATGAAAATCACTTTCAAATGTAATTATTTTAATGCAAATGAATTTCTAACCAAAAATGTAGTAAAACACCACAAAGATTAAAATTATACTTTTATATACGACGCAACATTTGCTCAAGACGGTTGTAGGTAAATTAAAATATATGGTCGCGTTGTGGGACGGTGTAATATCGATAGACAGTCAAGTTAGCATCCTCATTGAAGGGTGACTCTGGGAGCGTTTGGGACCACCGTAGTGTACGTGTTGCAATGGAGGTACTGTCCCCTCACTCGCACAACCTCGCTTAAACTGAAGGACGTCAGACCGATGATGAGGTTGAGGGTCTTTACGATAGCTGAATTCGTTTAAAGATGGATTGTCCAATGACAGCGTTGAATTTTATTTTTATAAATATTTATTACGCTGATGTGGTAATTAAGATCAGAATTCCGGAATTTTTCGTTTGACTCTAAAACAATTTAATCATTAATTTGAAAAGTTTGCCCGTGATTATATTAACATTGAATCGCAATGAGATATTAATATTATTAACGTGTAAAACGATAAATTATTATAACTAAAACTGATACGTAATAATAATAATAACAATAAAATATTATTAAAGTTACACTGACGATAACACCAATAAAAATATTCATAGTAATAGTAATAATAATATTTTACCATCATGTAAAAGTTGATCCGAACAAATGGCAATTCATTATTCAAACTTGTTTCACATGAGTAAACTCTTATGCCACAGTGGCGACCTTTTTCAGTAATTTACATTTGGCTTGACTCGTTAAATGTTTGCTAAATGTCGATATAGCGATCGTTGATTTAGAGATTACAATGATGTAGGTAGGAGAAATAATTATAACCACTAATTCTGTATTTTTACTAGTTTTTACTTAATAATATTTTTTCTCATAACAACTTTTCTAATGTTAATGTTTTTGGAAGATACAATGATTCGAAAATCAAAATTTTTATATAATTTTTAGTGAATTGATTTTAAATTTTATTGAAAATAATCATTTTGCTGAGAGATTGCTCTGAAATGCTCCTTCCCTAGCTGGGCTACTGGGCTGGTACTTTACAATATGTGATAAGATCCAATAAGATCCAATCTCGCACTAAAAATGTAAATTTAAAATGGAAATTTCCTTCATTCTTAATAATTTCAACTTATCGCATCGTCCCATTCTCATGATTTAACATGTATATTAATCCTGAGTATGAAGAACATTTATTTCGTAACAAAATTCCTGTTAGAATTTTTTATCTCGTCAATATGTTTGAAAATAAACTGAAAATTACTCGCACAGACTAGAGCATATTATTTAATTTCTTTATTCAATTTAACGTTACCAGGGATAATTTATAGTTACAAGTTAAGCCACGTGTGACATAAAAAAAGATTTATAAACTGCATTCACGATAAGCAATAATTATTGCATATTTAAGTTTATTATAACAGCTTTTTAGCCGATGAAATCTTTAAAATATTTTAACAGATAATAATAACCTAATGCACTATTAAAAATTACGAATGAACAACAGTACCAATACAGTCAATAATACTAACACACACACAACAAACACACATAACAAACACACACGCGCAAACACAGACATACACACAAACTAATACACCTTTAATCACAAAAGTTAAACGTGCTTAGTCACTCAGAGTTCTCGGAGACCTGTTTTTACATATTTAAGTTCGCAAAACGTTTTACCCATGATTTGCATTAAACACTTTTACACACACACACACACACACACACACACACACACACACACACACACACACACACACACACACACACACATACACACACAACACACACAACACACACACACACATTTACACATATTCCATATTCATACTTATAAATACTATCATCTATAGGCCTATATAAGAAATTATTATTAATATTGTGTAAATATTCTCATATCCGATTGAGTGTTGGATTTTACGCGGTAAATGATAGTAAGGTCAAACTGTGTCAATATTTGTTTTCTTTTGACTAATAACGTTTTCACACAACTATGCACTCAATTGTAAAACTCAAACAGTACATAAACAGTCACTCTGCTGCTGAATTTTAATCAAATAAAATTTATTAAATTGAAAAATTGTTTGTTGTTTTATTTCTGTACTTTTTGATTTGGCGTCAAAAATAAGATGAAGAGTTTGGTTTTGTTGGCGCTGTGTTCCATTTCACTAGTTGTGGTAATGGAGTGTTTATCTCTGCAGGTAGATTTTAAAAATAATAATATATTTTAATTAATTAAATTCTATAGTTCTTTATTAATTCAGAAGTTAATGACTTATTTTTTGCTAATTTCCCTCTGATTTCTTTTTAATATTTAAAACTCAATACTCTATATATTCTTCTTTCGTGTTCTGGTGGGGAAGATGCATTCGTTAAAGTATAATTTTAATCTTTGTGGTGTTTTATTATATTTTGCATTTTTATTATTGATAGTTATCTAATCTTTTTTGACAGTTTTGATTGATTAATTATTTAATTTGTTAATTAATTTAACTAACAGGGAAACGAAGAAAAAGGTTATTTCAATTATTTGCGTTGGAAAATGAATTCATTTATTTAATTAATAAACAAATTAAGGTCTGAAACGCAAGAAAAGAGGCCTCGAAGTTCATGTGAGCATCTCCGGCTCATACAAAAGCGATAGCGACAAAGGTGGAGATGACAAAAGCGGTGACGGTAAAAGTGACAGTGGTGGCAGTAAAAGTGACAGTGGTGGCAGTAAAAGTGACAGTGGTGGCAGTAAAAGTGACAGTGGTGGCAGTAAAAGTGACAGCGGTGGTAGTAAAAGTGACAGCAGTGGCGGCAAAAGTGGCGGTAAAAGTGACAGCGGTGGCGGTAAAAGTGACAGCGGTGGCGGCAAAAGTGGCGGCGGTGGCGGCAAAAGTAGTAGTGGTGGCGGCAAAAGTAGTAGCGGTGGCGGCAAAAGCGGCGGTGGTGGCGGCAAAAGCGGCGGTGGTGGCGGCGGTGGTGGCGGCAAAGGTGGTGGAGGTGGTGGTGGTGGTAAAAAAGGTTAAACTTATTTAGAAGACAGCTTGCGGCTTATATGGATTCAACGACATTTCTATTAGATTTTTTAGTAGAAACAAACTTGAATATTATTGATTGTTTGATTGTTGATTTTTTTGATTTTAAAGATTGGATTCAATTTTAATTTTTTTTGTTTCTTTGAATATATTTATATTTTTGATTGTTATCATCTTATATTGCAAGGTCAAAAACTATCATTTCATTAACACGTTCTCGCACGTTCGTTAATAAAAATCTAAATTTTTTAAGTCTAGTTTTAATTAAAAAAAAAGTAAAAATAGAATTTTCCAAATTATATAATATTTGAATATTCGATTAAACAAAGGCAAAATTCTTCATAATGACATACTTTTGATGTTACGATAACAAAATCGAAAAAAAACTATCTACTCCAACTAAGAAACCACATTCATAAATATTAAATTGCTTAGAAAAAGTTATCCAATTAGTAGTAAGTACTTCAGCCCAATTACGCTTCTCAATAAATTTCACAAACCGGTGGGTCTTGAGATCCGCTCTAAACTTTGCAAGTGATGGAGCACTAGTTTGAAAAGGAGCTAGAAAGTTCCAGAGAAAAGGGCCAGAAAAAGCAAGCGTAGATTTAAACAGTACAAAGTTGCCCTTTATTACACAGTTCAGTCTTTGATAAATAGTAGACTGTTGGAAACTTTTTCCCAAAGATGTAGCTATGCTATTTTAGTGCACTTGTTGCTATTTTGACATAAAAATAACATTTTTTGTGAACGATGTTTTTATGGAAAGATTATGGAAAGATTTTGCAATAAAATAAAAAAGTTCAATAACCTGTTGGTGAATATATAATAATGTATAATAATCGATTCAACCTAAATTGCTTATTTATTTATTCATCATAATTGCCATCAATGGTGTGTTTGTGTGTTTGTGTGCTTGAAAGTATGTGTATTTTTGTGTGCGTGTAAATGTATGTGCGTGTGTACGTTAGTTTATGTAAATGTTCAGATGTCTGTGCGGTTGTGTGTGTATCTGCATGAGTGCGTGTGTGTGTGTGTGTGTGTGTGTGTGTGTGGGTTTTCAATTGTGCGAATACTCGCATGTGCTTGGATGTGTGTGTATGCAAACATTTTTAATTAAACTTCTAACCCGGAGGCTTTGAAATGCAAGACAAGAGTTCTGCTGTTGAAAATTCATCGCGTGGACTTTTTAAATTCAGGAGGTTTATGAATAGATAGTTTAAAAATAATAATTAGCTGGCGATTTTTGTTTCTGAATTTTCAAAATTAGAAGTTCGTAACTCGTAGCTTAAGGAAGATGAAGAGTTCCGCGGTGCTGATGGGGCTCTGCCTCATTGCTCTCGTTGTGATGACCGATGGCCTATCTGTGCATGTAATTACGAATTTTTTAATTTCTAAATTTATTTTATTATTAAATTATAATTAAAAAAATATATAATATAAAAATATAAAATAAGATAAATATAAGATTAACATTTATTTGTAATAATGTTATTACTTTTTTCCATATTTTCAATGAGTAGATACAACTAAATGAATAATTTTTTTATTCTTTAAAACGACGTTCGCATTCGCGATGTTGTTGTTAATCTAATGAACGAATGAACAGCGGTTAAATTTGAACGATTACATTTAAATAATTTTCTTCAAACAGACGTATGACAGAAGTAAGTTTTTTGTTTTAATTCCAAAAAAGAACAAAAAAAATTTATCAAAACGCATTGACATGAAATATCAAATTAATTATTTATTTAATTGATAAATCAATTAATTTATACATTAATTAATACAGTATTAAATAAATTATTGATAATTGACAACTGCAGAAAACAAACTAACAAATTAATTACTGACTTCAGATCTGATGCACCAGAAAAGGTCAGTGGACTTGTCGGGAAATTTATCAGGTTCTTTCAAGGGTGGCGACCGTAGCAGCAGTAATAGCGGCAAGAATAAAAGTGATGGTAGTGGTAAAGGTGGTTCCGGTAAGGGGGGAAATAGTGGTAGTGGCAAAAGTGGGAGAGGAGGTGGTGGAAAAAGTGGAGGGGGAGGTGGTGGCAAGAGTGGTGGTGGTGGAGGTAGAAAAGGTTAAAACATTATTCAACAGACAACATATTCGATATGTTGTCCTACATTAATAAAACATCACTTGGCAAACTACTTATTCAAATAACTCTTTGAGGTGAAAGATGACGTGTTAACTATTAATTGAATGAATTTAATTAACTGTTACTGATGCATTTTTTTATTGGTTATTGGTTTAATGACAATGCTTGAATTCCAAAAAGTGTCTCGATATATCTACGTAATATTTCGTTTCCTCTGTTTGAATCATGTTTCATCTTTGCAACAGAATACTACATTAAAGTGAAATTTGTTTTATTGTTAATAAAAATATTTATAAGAAATAATTGCAATTATCCAACAACACAAATTAAGAAAACTAGTATTGAAGTTTGAAACAGTTCCAGATCATAACTTGAACGTCGCCGATAAAATTAAATGAATGTAAAAGTTGCGTATGGTTAGCGAGCTAGCTCCGATCGAGAAGTTGCCTGGTATGTTTCAAGTGGCTGTATATCTGTGTGTACTTATATGTATTACTGTATTCAACAACCAGTTAAATTCTACTAAATGAAGTATGATGAACAAACATAATAATCGAATGTTAAAAATGTAAAAATTGGAAAAAATTCTTCGTTGTTAAATATTTTAGTTGTCCGAAGAAAAAAAAAAATTTTTTAATGCATTTTATTGAGCAAATCAAGTAAACTCATGTTAATAGTTCATATTCATTCATGCTCATGCCAATGATCGAGCAGCAAGAATTCAGTTTTAAACATCCTCTGCCTGGCAAAGAGCGCAAATTCTTTTGGCACACGGGTAATCGTTAGCCAAGAAAGTGCCGTCCGTTATAAACATGTGCATGAAAAAAAATTAATTATCTTCCAGACAAGAAATGAAAAGTAAATTTCTTTGACATTACGTGGTGGAGCGCGCTAATAAATTTGCGGGCAAATATATTTAATTAATTATATTTAATTGCGTTTTTGTAAATGTTGCCGGTATCGCGTGTATCGGATATTCTAGTTATTGACATATCATTGTTAATTAAATTTCAACTCATTAAGAAACTATTAGTCATGAATTTTTTAAGTTTCTAAATATACAAAAAAATGTGTTCAAATATTTTTTTAGCCAGCAAATGGAAACAAAGTATAAAAATGCATAACATTTCTCAGAAAACAAAAGTATATATTTATATACAATGACTAAAACAGATGAAAAAAATAGAAGATTACAAATGATCAAAGATATTATACAGCCATTAAAAAATAACAAAAACTTTTGAAAAATTATTTATAGAAGTGCTCGTTATAAAAAATATATTAACGGCTTCGAGCCGGAACGTTATTTTTTTCGTTCTGGTTTTCGGTTTCGGTTCGGCAAGCAAAAAATATTTCGGTTCAGTTCCGAGTTTCGTTCCGGCTAAAATATCGGTTTTTTCCGGTTTCGGTTCTGTTCCGGTTCGAAGCCCTGCATTATACCCTCAGTATATTATTGTCATTTTTTTAAAACTCAAATATATCTACTTTGGTACAATTAAAACATTTTCGCCAGACCTGAATAAACATAATATTTGAAATAATATCATACTATTAATATTTCACCACAGGAAACTGAATCGCTGTTTATATGAAGATGTCTTGAGAGATATCATGTCATCTTTAATGACGACAACGCAGAAAAAATGGTTCTTAGGATCAGATTTTTAAATAAGGCAAATGGCAAAGATATTGTAAGTTTTGTTTTGTTGTTGTTTTGCTTTTTTTCAGCTCTTTTATTAATTTTTGTGTATAGTTTCGTATTTTCGATAATACGATTATCTATTTTTAATTTTTTTTAAATAAATTTTCACCAGGTGGAAGAGATAGCTGAAAATCAGCCTGACAAAATGACAGACGACAATTTCCTCAAACTCATTGAGACCAACATGTTGAATGACCTGACATTACAAGGATTCAACAACATTTCAAAAGTTTGTTTGATGTTATTAGGAATGCTTGTGTGGGTTGAGATTGTAAAACAAATAAGTTGTATTGTCTTCTTTGATTAACTAATAATTATTATTAGCTAATTATTTTTTGATTAAACTTTTTGTTTGCAATTTTCTCCAGGTGTACATGGTGCAGCCAACGACAGACGACAAGAAACGCATCATCATTGACGAAAAAGGTTACTATCATAACACACACCAGTATTATTTAAAATTTTTTTAATTAATAGTTGTTTTTCAAGTTTAAAAATGGTTACTATCACAACAACCACACACAAATCACCATAACATGTTACAATATTTTAAATAAAAAACTGTACAACAAGTTTTTATCATAGTTTCAATCATCAATGAGATAGATCATTATATTGACGTTCATGATGTTTGTAATCAATTCATAACTCTACTTCACCTAGGCGAGTGTGTGTCGGGTACAAACAGTAAACCTGAATTGTCAAAGCGCAATGTTTAACTCAGCGGTGACATTGTTCTAGGAGTAACTCTGTCAGTTAAATATTTAAGGGCAACTCCTTTAATACATTTAAAAACCGTTCAAAATATCATGAAAATAACTCTTTTATAAACCGGAAGAGTAAAAAGAATTGGCTTAACGTGATTGTATTTAAGGCCAACTGATACCAATCTTACAGCCAAATTTCGAACAGACTGCAGTTTGGACATAATTACACAAGACATGCCGTAATATAAACTATCGCAATAGTCAATTTTTGAGTGGACAAACAGATGAACTATACTTCAAGAAAGTGCAGGTAACCGTTAATAAATTATTCTTGCTAGTATGACAGTAATTTTAATAATAATGATGATGTTAGAGTAATAATTATGGTTACAATGTTAAGAGTATTGATGGTTTTTGTGTAATGAATTGGTTTTGTTACAAAATGTTAAGATAAATCACATTTGATTAATTTTTTATGTCGTAATAATTGTATCATAAAATATATTTCTAGTCTCGCAATTTTATGCTGCTGACTCTAAAACTAGCTGACTCTGTGAACATAGTATCACCTCAAAAACAAATATCAACGTTAATCACCAAGTTTATTATTATTATACCTTTATTTTTCAAAACGAATATTAAGATAATTCATTGAGTCAGCATTAAAAGTAAAACATTAATCCGATTTCCGCTTATAAAAAAAATAATCAACATATTACAGAGCTGCTAACGTAAAAAATATATCAAATATAAATCACTACACTCACTAATTATCACTACAAATGTCAAATATATAAAAATATGTATCATCTTATATTTTGATCGTCATGGCGAATGATAAACAAGTTGAATTCATTTCTTAATGTCATATCACTTCCAGCTTCCCTGCTTGAATCTTCTCGCCAAACATCGGGAGGCATCGTACGAACGGCGTGTCTCATAGACTTGCTGGAACTGTCCAGCATCACGGCGTGTAAGCACGATATCACGTGCTTACACGCCCTGATGCTGGATAGTTGCTGCAGGTATATGAGACACGATATCATTTTCCATATTTTCACTAACAGTCAAATTGTCGTTTCATTTATTGTCAGAGCATTCTTTGGGTCATTTATCTGCTCTGATCACGACTTTATATTCATCACTTGACATGCGGTTCAACGTCGCTTCGAATAGCTGGACCAAGGCATGTTGTTCATGAAGTAGTTGGGGCAAGTCCGTTCTCTAGCTATAAAAATTCTACGTTTAGGCTTTCTTCGGATATATATATATATATATATATATATATATATATATATATATATTCCGCGTTAGTTAGTTTCCTGTTTAGCCAACTATATATATATACATACTTATATATATATAAATATTAAGTGCGTGATTAAAATCTACGAAATTAAAAATAAATAACTTTTATCTGAATCATAAATTATAAACTGCAATTAAAATATACATAAAGACATTTGAAAACCATGATATTATTAAAATGCTAAGTTTTGAATCACATTCCTCATATGTTGTTAACTACTAAAATACTAATCAGATTAAAGTTAGCAGGATATCAAATTAGCTTCTTTTTTTTGCAAACTCATTTCATAGCATCCATGAGAGCTTTGTAGTAGTAGGAAACTCTAGTAAAGACACTGATTGGACAATAATCTATCTTGGAGTCATCGCCGTAGCTGACTACTCCGATCTGAGTCCATTGAAACCGGGAGTTTCTGCACATCAGAGGTCCTCCGCTGTCACCCTTCAATTTGAGTATTGAATTATTTGCATCAATTTTTATTCACATTGAATTTTTAGTATTTTTCGTAGGTGTAACGAACGCCCTTGATGAATCTTTGCATCAGATTCATTGCATGGGATTGGCAAGGATTAATTTTCATTTAAAACTAATCCCTGCAACAAGAGAACCAGAAACACTAACCATTACACTAATGGCATAGTCATTATCACCTGTTGGCCATTCAAAATGATAGTTGTAATAAATGAAATAAAATGTTATCTTATTTAGCAAATATAAATTTACGGAAACCATCCGTGAAAATGCGATTTTTTAATTGGAACAGTGAACTAAAAAAACAGTTAACAAAAATTCATTTTTTGTTTGTTCGTATGCTAATGTTAAAAATTAATTGAAATTGGTTATGGTACACATTAATCACAAATTCATTAAATTTATATAGAACGTCAGTTAAATCGTAATATTTCAAAAATATTCTACAAATATCTTTGAATCGTTTCAAAATAAAAAATAACCCAACCTCCATTGGTCTGATTCCTATGAATGCTGGCATGAGGCCGGCGCAAAACTGTTTCTCGTAAGTAACGTTAAACTCATTCTCGCTCCTTTGAAGTATTTCAACGTAGCTGGCCAAACACTCGGAGTGAGTCATTACGTTCATCTTGCCTTGCAACAGCAACTTACTCGAAGATATGCCGTCCGCTATGAGAAAGGTTAAAATGTACTGATAGCTTTAATGATTTTAGGAAAGTTTCTGTTTTTTATTCATTAATAAATTATAGTTTAGTTGCATACTAAAATGTTATAGTTTCTAGCTATTCCATAAACTATTCAAAAAGTTTAGTAATTTTATAATATTCTGTAGAAAAATTTTAAACATTTCACAAACCTGGATCAGTTTTCCCGTGCCCAGTAACAACACAAACATCGTAGGCTTCGACGATATTGGGTTGAGCCAGGCAGATTGGTTGAACTGTTTTGTTGAATGTCAGCGGCTCACTAAGTTTAATCAAGGCTATATCGTTAGCCGCAACTGAGGAATTGTATTGAAACAACTTCACTTCATCGACTGTTAATTCTTTGAAGCGCTTGTCAAATAGTCTGTTCGTTCCAACCTGGATGCGATACGCACTATTCTGCCACAGTTCATCTCCACGGCTTGAGAAAGCAAATTATTTCAAATCACCTTGCTATAAAACGCAGTATGATAGACTGTATTAAACGCCGAAATGAAATTTTTTATTTTAACAAGCGTTCGAATAACTTTCTAAATATAAATAATGAATCACTGAAAACAAAGAACAATTTATAAAACTACAAGAGGCAGTGAGCCGCGGTTAGGATCCATCTTTCGCTTAGGATAGTTCCTCCACAAGAAAACAGCGTTTCATTAATGTCAATTATATTTTTGTACATTTGAATCTGCCAGGGCCAGGCGGAATCTTTTGCGATGAAACCATTCCGAATGTAAGTGTCCTTCAAGTCGAAGGAAGCATCTCGCTTGCCGCATTCTTAGTTGAAAATGTATTATTTACTGATTTTAACGTTGAATTTTTGTAAAATATGCATTTTTCAATTAAAAATCTAAATAAATTCCTTTGTGAGAATTGGCAACTTGGAAAAATTTTAACATTAACCTTGCGTGTAACAGCTCAATTCAACATAACGGTTGCTCGGACAGTTGGACCTTGATTTTGAAATGAAAAATGAATGCATGCTAATTTCAACATAGTACATCTTATAATTAACTCACGACGGTTTGAAATTAGCCAAAAAATCAGTTCCATCTGCAAACTTTCCTTCAAAATTTCTCAGCGATTTTGCCGAATTCTGGTACACGGCATTGAATCTAATGCTGCGACTTGAGTTTAAAAATAATATAAATTAAAAAAATTAAATGTAGTAAAAATTTAATCTAATAAAAAAGAATAAAACAAGTGCAAACCTGTATCCCATATTTCTGCAAGCCGCATCGCTGTGCTCATTCAACCATCCGTCAGAACATATAAGATAACCAGACTGATTCTGGTAGACACTCGTCAATAATCCGTATTCATTTATACTCACTTGAACATTTTTATATTTTTACGTGCGATTAAACCAGCTTTTAACTATTCTTATTATTTTGATTCAAAAAAGTAATAGTTTGAAAAAATATATAAAAAACTTTTTTAATATTTTGAATGAACGTACAGCAGTTCTTTTCATCTGAGAGGTCTGAACATTCCGACAAACCGTTGCATCTGAATTCGTTCGGTACACACACCTTCAACTTTTGACACTTGAACTGGTTTGGTCTGCATGTGACTTTGTTGGAAATAATTTTTAAAAAAGTTTCTTAAAAATTTTCAAGTTAGGGTTAGTTAGCAGTGTATAAAGCTGGCATAACTGACTGTATTTGAAGTTTTAGGTACATATTTTAAAAAACTGTTCTAGAAAGCTTCAAAAATGTTGTATAAACTTCTTTTATATAAACTTCTCGATTGTTCTATAAGGTTACACATATTTAATAGAATCTCAAAGTGTAAAATTTTAAAATTATTTTGTAGTGGTCATCGTTTTTTGAAAAACAATTCGATTAATGTGCTGAATAGTTTTCATACAACAATTCTTGAGACATGTGACACGATGTATATCATTTGAAATACGTCAAAAACAGGATCTTGAATAAAAGTTTGTGATATTATTATTTTTATTAATGCTTATGAAACTTAAATATTTAAACTTCTACTTTAAAGTGTTTGATGATAACTTTGAAAACTTAATAGTTCTTATTAAAAAAAAAGATATTATTAAAATTGAGTTATGCACGAATATTCTCGACTACAACAAGCCGTTCACTACTTCAACAAAATGCTTTTATTTAACATATACAAACACAAATGATTCATTGGCCCGCACGTACACACACAAAAAAACACACACACACTCACACACATTGAGATAAATAAATCTATCAGCGTACACACACACACAAGCACACACACACACACGCATTCACGAAGAATTAATCCCAAGTGATAATATTTAAGCTCTGTCTGAAACCATTAAGACAGTCCAACGCACAACCATCCATTATTATTATTATTTAACAGTTGTTAGCATTAAACGTAGATAATAAATTATTTTTTAAGAGTTTAAATATAATTTAATTAACTTTCTTATTTTGGTTTTTCATGCAGTATATAAGTTATGTTTCAAGTTTTTTTAAAGAGAATAAATACAAAACTCAATAAAATAATTTTAGTTGTGTTATTCATCAATGTTTACCCAAAAAAGGTTTTATTTCAATATTTGTTTGCCAAGCAAACACATCTCAGTAATTAAACATCACATGACAAATGGGAGCAAATGCACTTTTCAATTTATCGTTTAAACCTGTTAAACCTGTTATGTTTAATATAATAGACCAATATTTTTTGACTTTATTCATTTAAATATGTCAGCAACATATTAATATTATATCAATCTTATAGGCATAATATTTTTTAGGATAAACAAATATTTACGTTAATGTTGTCGAGAATGCATTTGCCCCCTTATCTCTATTTCCAAGTCTACGCTTAATTTGCAATGTTTATTTAGTTTTAATTTCATTGTTGTTTTATTATTATGTTACATACATGTATGTTTTTAGCTGAATATGTATTTATTATTTCTTTTTTATTATAACTTTTTTGTGTATCTGTTTATGGCTTTGGATAATTTCATAGGAACAGAACTTTATTGATTCAACTCAAAACATTTACAATGTCGACTAGTAGTAAAACATTTCAAAGATCTACTGCGAAAGAAGCAAAAAAATGATATTAGAATTAGATATCTCGTCATCTGAGGCATGTGAAGATGGAAGTTCATGGAATGAAACAGCAGACAGAGCACGCTCAAATTGTTGAAACTAGCAAAGATGTATCCTCTAGACTAGTCTAGTCTAATGAAACTGGAAGTGTAAATTAGATGATGAAATTGACACAATCAGAAATAGACAGAGATTTAGATAATGATTTAGATTTGATGGCTGCTCATTTGTATGAATCCAAAAATGGACAAAAGGTTTGGTTGAAATCTCCATATTTACCTGGACGTCAACCTAACCAAAATGTCGTGAAACAACTGCCAGGTCCAACTACTTTTGCTCGAACTAAATCGGATTCAATTGTTTTTAAGTTGAATGTGCTTATGACAAAACATGATAAATACTATTTTGAAAATGTCAAACATCAAGGGCTTTAGAGTGTTTGACAACAGATGAATTCAACGCATTTATTAGCATCTAAATAGTAAATGAGAATATTTTGATGAATTATGAATTTTTTATTATTATTCATCTAGGCTTTCTATTTTTGGTTTGTCTTATGATAGCATAGTCGCTAGAAGGTTAAGTAGTTATGCACACACAATAAACTCGTTTCATACTGAATCAAGCACGGTTACACGCAGCCACAAAGACACAGACACACACATAGCTACGCATACGCACACTAACTAAACTCCAACGCACATACATTCAAGTTGACACAAACAAACAAACCGCGCAAAACATTTCAATTACTAATTTCAATTTTTTGGGCATATTTATATGGAAAAGTTTGAAAATATCCAGAACTTACTGCACAAACTTTCATTTTCGTCGTCACCTCGCGGACAATCCTTGGATCCGTCACACAGCCAGTCTCGGTGTATGCATTCGCCAGAGATCGAACACTTGTATTGAAATGTCATGCAAGCTTGTTTTTGAATTATTTGTTAATTTCTCGTTAAAACCTTCCTATCACAGTTATTTATATTATTTTTTTTTAAATAATTCTTAGATGTAAGAAGTTAATAAACATTGGATATTTGAAATTATTGAAAACAACAAGTCATCATCAAACTGACTGCATTCCTTCTCGTCTGAATTATCCGGACAATGTTTTATCCCATCGCAAATGTAATTCTTCGTGACACATTTTGAAGTATTGTAACACCACAGGTCCCCATATCTCATACAAGTTTGACTTAAGTAGTTGTCTTGAAGTTGATAGGGAAAATATCTAGTTGTCTTATCAAATCAACCATTTTAGATTATGTGTAATAGGCTTATATTTATTAAATTTTTCAATTAACTTACTCTATAAAATGTAAAATGCTGATTAAAATGTATATCTCAAATTGAAAAATCATAAAATTTGAGCACTAAAGTTCCATGACTAGAAAATAAGCTTTTGGTGAGGGCATAACTAGTTTATAACGGTCCGCGTCTTTTTTTAAAAATGGTTTTTGTCGAATTCTCATTTGTTCAATACATCAAATAGATAATTTTATAAAGTTCATGCAGAATGCTATCAAAACAATCAAAACAGGTTAAAATAAAAACAACAGAATATTTTATTAGGCTAACGTACCGCAATTATGTTCATCCGAGTTGTCTCCACAATCGTTTTCACCATCACAAACTTTGTTGTTTGGGATGCATTTTTGGTTGATTGGACATGTAAATTGACTGGATGTACATTTCTTTTTTTCTTAAGTGATTGGAATTTTTATTTCTTGTTTGTGAAAAATTTTTGTCTTTCAGTCTAACGAATCAAATTTGCTATTGAAATGAACAAACCACTTCCATTTTGAGTAAATAAAAATTGTTATCAGCACAAGCGATAAACTTTTTAAAAACTTTCTGAATTTATACCGAACGATATTGAAATAAAAATAAGTTTTTGAGGGCAACTAACGACAATCGCTTTCGTCAGACCGATCCTCACAATCCCTAATTCCATCGCAAACCCACTCCTTTGTGATGCACTGACCACTGGAGCATTGGAACTGATTGCTATAAGGGCACGATGCTACCGTTTCATCTGTTTTAATTTTTTTTGTTAGAGATTTTGCAAAACTCATGAAATATATATATATATAAAGCAATTGAATATTCTTAAAAAAAATTATTATCTTTATAGAATTATTTATTTTATAACAAAAACACGACTGTAGGTATGTGAAAATGAAGATTTAAAGCTAAAAAGTTACTTCGCCCATATGAAAAATAAAAGAATAAATTATTCCAATATTGAATGTTCAAACAATAAATATTACAAAAAAAGAGCTGAGAACAATATTAACTCACGAATGCATATGATGGCAAGAGAGAGAGAAACGCAGATCCCATAAAAAACTGTGTTCAACATCGTCAATCAAAGTAATTTTTTATCAACCAAAAAAATGTAGGTTGTCAAAATGTAATTTATGAAAAAAAAAAACCGTTTAATGTATATTTTATTACCCAGTAGCATTTATAACCAACATTTAACACTTAGTTAGTTATATAATGCGAAATAAAAAGCTACCTTATATTTTGTTACCGTAAGCAAACAATGGATCAGCTTCGAAAAGCAGCCTAAACCCAACTTAGCGCTATATGAGAATTCAGTCTAATATAAAGAAACCTATAGTCGATACATTCAACTGAGTGCAAATTTACATATCATCTACCTACATCTATTTTGTTGAGCTCGATCGAATTTACCTAGTTGTTTTAGTAAAGATACATGATTGCACTTATTTCAATAACAAACAAAATTGGTTCCAACACGCTACCTTGTGGAACCCCATTAGTAACACCAAAGTTGTCTGACGAAGAAACATTATTTTTCAAATAATCAGCGATCCTAACCAAATCAATCACTCTGTAAGACTTTAATTTAAGTATAAGCTTATCATGTGGAACTTTATCAAAAGCCTTCTCAAAATCAGTATATATAACATCCACTTCTCCACCCCCATCAATTATCAAACTTTATTCATCCAACATCTTTAGCAACAACAAAACAGCAGATTTCCCAGGCATAAATCCAAATTGTCTACAATTAAATTATTGTCCTCAAAATGATTCATCAAACGATCTTTAATTACTGACTCCAAGACCTCCAAGAAATTTATAATAAATAAATTTTACATAACACTTATAATTTTTTTGATTAACTCTATCAACAGTATACCTTCAATGAGCGTTGCAAACAAACCAAAAACGGCCGTCAGAGCTAGGAATTGTTTGGAACAAGACTACATTTCTGAGATTTCCAAAAAAAGAATACATTCACAGTGCTAGACATGAGAATTTTTATATAGGCTTTTAAATGATAAAATATTTATTGAGTTTTTGTTGAGTTTCTGTTCAAAAAGTTGTTATTCACAATTTTTTTGCTCAGACGCGTCGAAATGGCGTGCGAGCTGAATTAAAAAATTGATTTACGTTACGAAGAAGCAACATCAAGACAACAAATTTAAAACAAAATTTTTTTGCTTGGTTAGTGATAACAAAAAATAATTTTTTTATTGCCTTATAATTTTCTAATGTTTTCACATACCCTGCATTCACTGCTCATTGACGATTACTACATTCTACTGGTATTGTTATAGCGCTTACTGATTGTATACAGTTTCAGCAAACTTATGAAAATACTTTTGAAAGAAAATAATAAAGAGATGTGCTAAAACAATGTAGAAAAAATCTTAAGAGATATGTATAAGATTGGAAAGTTAAAAAAAACAAAAGCAACAATGTATTTTTTATAGCTTACGGTGGTGATAACATGATCTAAAGAATGAGTCCAATGCATTGATGTGATAATGAATAATATTGAAAACAACAGCACCAACAACAACAACATTAACAACAACAGCAGCAGCAACAACAACAACATCAACAACAACAGCAACAGCAACAACTATATGGACAATAACAACAACAACATCAACAACCAAAACAACATCGACAATAACAATAACATCAACAACAACAACAACTTTAACAACAACGGCCGAAACAACATCGACATTAACAACAGCAACATCATCAAAAACAACAAAAACAACAATAGCAACAACAACAACATCAACAACAGCACATCATAAAACATCTTGATGGGTCCGTACTGCCTCCTAAATACTGAACAAGAGCGATAAAGTATTTTTTAAAGATGTTGATTGATATGGATCGATTGCGATAAAAAATGTAAGAAGACAAATACTGAGACCGGCCATTGAAATACCATTCGTCTGGTAGACTTTTCTATTGATGTCTAGCCAGGAATGACCTTAAAATGTTATGGGGACTATTCCTTCTATTACCTTACCTAAGTCTGAATCTTTTAATTAATTTTTTAGTCCAAGTTTTATTTTAGATTTTAGCTTGTCTCTTTCTTTTCAGTTTTGCAGTGTTGCTGAAGGTCATTACTTTCATCTACGTAAAACAAAAAACCCTTGCTTGCCCTTCTTTAGTGATCCTACTCTTTTCCTTTTTGTTACCTTTTTAGTTTTATTAAGGATTGATTACTGTAACTCGCTCTACTATGACCTTCCTGATTCTACACTCTATGTTTTAAGTGAAGCTGTTAACTCTGATGCTCATCTAGTAATTCGTGCCTCTTTCTTTTTTTATATATCTCCCTCCATATCTTGTTCTCTTGCCCTAGCTACCTATAAAAAATAGAATAATTTTTATAATTTGCACATTAATGTATAAGTTTCAATTTAAATTATCTCCTAAGTACTTATCAGATATATTAATTGAACCTAAACGTGCCGGTTTACGATGTTTTTCTTGCTCCCACTTCTTTTTAAATCCTGTTAAATACTTTTATGTCAAATCTGCGTTTGCTTGTTTTGACCCTTTTCTCTGAAACTTTTTATTTCAATCTCTAATTACTTCTCTATCATTTATGATTTATGAAGTTTACAGCGGATCTCAAGACCCATCTGTTTGTTAAATTTATTGAGGGCACTGTTGTCGCGGGAACGACGCTTCAAAATCTTATTGACTGATGGGAATGATTATTGTAACTTGCTCTACTATGGTTTTCCTGACTCTAAACTCTATCCTTTAATGGATACTTAGTGAAACAACAACAACAACATCCACAGCAACAGCATCAACGACTGCCCGACTTCAGATCGGTCCGTGAAAAAGAGCTGTTTATTCACAATTCAACTTTTTAACGCCCTGAGCTAGAACCACTTAAATAGATAATTAATTAGAATAGTAAGAATTTGACATTTCTATAGATGGATAGATGTGTTAAATTTTACATTTTCTATATTTTCGAAATTTTCTTGCACTTGCCTTATATGCATCCGATAAATTATGTCAAGAGGGAATATTTCTTGAGACAAAAGATTTGAATTATTTTATATTAAACTTTAAATTGATAAAATTTTTTAATGCGTTTTCTTTAACAAATCGAAAAGATTTAAGCTAAAAGTTCATTTTCGATCAATTAAAATTTAATTTTAAATTTCCTCTGCTTGGCAAAGAGCGCAAACTTTGTTGCTGCACGGAAAATCGTTAGCAATCAATTTGCCATCCACTGAGTACATATGCACGCAATCTTCATTGCTCATGTAATCATCCGGTTGGCCGGAAGCCCAGTTCAGTATGTTAGCTACCTTTCCGCAGTCGCAGGTGTTAAAAGCATATATCGAAGGTTTGGCCGTGTTCCAGTAGAAGGTTTTAGTTTTGTCTTTTCTGCGACCAGCTGTCCAAAAGCCATACACACTACCTGTACATTTTCCTGTCAAATTAATTTAAACAAAAATTTAAATGAAAAAGTGTAATAGAGTAAAAACTAACCGGTGAAGTTTTTGTTCAAGTAATTGTTTAGACTATTCACGAACGGCATCGTATTGACGATTGCCAGGTTAGCGTTCAGATTTGAACATGCTGTGTATGCTTCCTCAGCCGTCTGCGGATTCGTCAGCATCTTCATACATCTTCCTTCCACACCCTCAAAACCCTTTGGACAACCTCCTGTGTTGGGACAAATTTGTTTTGCATATTTTTTATGAAAAATTAAACTTCAACTTTAATAAAAAATGATGGAATGGCTAAAATAATCTACAATAAAATTGGTATAAAATTGAATGTTTTTTAATAGTAATTTATTTAAAAGTTTTAAATAGTAATTTATCTAATTTATCACCAACAAATTAACATCAACTAATTAACATCACCAACATACCTTCAATGAGTTCTGCAAACAAACCAAAAACCGCCAACAAAGCTAAGAATTTTCTTGAACAAGACATCGTATTTGAGTTTTCAAGGAATGATAAAACAACTTGAAGATGATGCATCCTAATATAGTGTTTTAAATGATAAATAATCAATAAGTTTTTTCTCTTTTTGAAATGTAAAAATGACTCTTCTGAAGTTTTTCTCGTCTCGACGTTAGGGGATGGCGTGTAAGATGATTGATGTAATTTCTCGCTTGAAAGGAGTCAAGACGACAAAATGAACGAACATCACATTTTCGATCGATAAGTGATATTAGAAGAAAATAATATTTATATGTTTAGTTTTTTATTTTTACAACATTTTTATTCTTCTTTTCCGAGGTTTTTTTAAATAATATCTGCTAAATACTTATGAGTAATAACTACGATGTGAAATACAATCATTAACGTGGTAATGGGTATAGTGTTACTACTGTTTAAAAAATCTCCCAGTTACCATGCGTGTTACACTTCCAAAGCATATGATCAGTTATTTTGCTGTAAATTTACAGAAATTTGAAGGTTTGTTGAGGGCTAACAAAACTTTTTTTAAAGTCAATCGGCATTACACATGTATTTGCATGAACTCATCTGCGAATGAAGTAAAAGTTAAAGTTCTACAAATATTTCTAGGATTAATTCAAACGGAGCAATTTTTAAAATAAAAGTTGAGGAAAAAATTATCACTTCATATTTCTTAACAAACCATCAGCCCTGAAATTTTCTCTCATGGCTTCGTTGAAACCCCTCTGCACTCATCTCAAATTTTTTGCTTAAGAAAATCGACTACGACGAAAAAAAACTACGTGTTTACCATTATGAGTAAAAACATGTTTTCAAGAAAATAAAAACGACGCTATAATTTTTATAAGACGTTTAATATTATTGTTTACTTACAATGATAACAACATTTAAAAATATGACATGGGACAAATAACAGTGATGTTGAAGACAACGCATCACAAACTATCTCGATAACAACAGCTGCGTGAAAAAGACGTTGAATGCGATCGATTAAAATAACACGACACGTGTTTCATGGTACTTCACTACTGACCATACAGTGAAGCACCAATGATATTAAGATTATCACGCAATGAAAAATGTTGATGAACGCATTAGAATAACAAGAAATAAAAATCAAATATTGTCAATCAAGGTAGACACGATGGTAATATCGATCATTCGGATCTGATATCAACTATCTTCAACCATTGATTTGAAGCAGCCATCTTCCTTTTCACACGACGTACACATGTATTTATGTGCACGCGCAAGCAGCACATCATATACGCTGAGTATGTGATAGCCATTGGAATGTTTTGACTCAGTGCGCATTTGGACCACTTGAGCCATCTCGCCGGCCAACATGCGACAACTTAAGTCGTCTACTTATTTACCAGCCTCGAAAGGATGGACGGCTGGGTAGGTCGGGGGTCGGCTACCTGAATGAACCTTTAGAAACTGCAGGATTCGAACCCGGGTCGTGGGAGTGATAAACGGACATAATCTTCGTTAAGGAATTTACGTTTAAGACAGTTCGTCGGTGTCTTTGATTTGGCCTAGATGAGGTTCTTAAGTTATTCCAATTTAGGCTACATGTCGCCAAATATTTGCATCAAAGTATTACAGTTCGAAAAAATTTCCAACGGAAAACTTTAAATTGTTTATTATTGCATATAAGAGAGGGGAGATGGATCATTAACTCTTTTATTAAATTTTAAATTCCAATAAAAATTTCTTAGTACGAAGCTAGCAATGAAATGGATTTTGTTTTTTTTTCATAAATGGACAATTTATTTATTTATACAAATAATACTAGATTACATCAAAATAAACAGAAAATAGTAATGATCAGACATGAAAAAATGAACAAATCATTTAATATATTGATTACATATTAAACGTTTATAGTGAGTTGACATAAAAATATAAACAATGACTAATCATATTTCCACTACATTTATTTACACACACACAGACAGACACGCACACGGACACAAACACACACAATTAGAAAAAAACTCCAAACGATCACAATCATTAGACAAAAAAATACTTTATTCATTTACCGAAAAAACTTGATAAATTACAAGCGATTTTTTAAAGAACGATAATGATAATGAAAACTGAATTAATGTTTAAAAATTATGAAGAAAATAAATTTTTTTCAAAATAGAACACAAGTGAAAATAGCTCAGACTGTTAGTTGGCTCATTAGGCTTTCAACAGAAAAAGACTTGACGTTATCGTTTGGAGAAACTTTTCACGTTTTTTGTTGCTGAATCTTAACAAACCAAATCTCACCCAAAATTGATAATTAGATAAAGTATAAGTAAAAAAAAGCACAATAGATATTTTAGGAATAAGTTAAAAACAAAATGCCTATTTCTTCAACATCAAATTTTAAATTGATTAATAGTAATTAAATTATTATTATTAAACTGTCTACCCACCTATAAATTTATTTATTCGTCTACCGTTCATCTATTTAAACATTCATCTATTAACCAACTCATTCACCCACTTATCCATCCAACCATCTACAAGCTTTTCAAGAAAAATAGTCCAAAGACATTAGTTTTATTCGTTACAATATGATTTGCAATGCGATAAAAATATCAATGTAACAAAACGAATTATTATCAGGTGTTAAAAATGTTAAACAGAAAAAATTCCCAATTTAACCTTAATTCCAGCCAAAAAGTTATTAAAGTTGATACAACATAATGACAAAGTAAAGGAATTTATAGCCATATTTAATATTGAGTCACAATAGATGAAAAAATATATAAGATCTTGTTTCGATTCTAAAAGAAAATAAAAAAAATAATATGTTTATTTGAAGTTTTTTGGTAAAGTTACCAAATGTACCACAAAATTCTGATCTGATTAACAATTCTTTTTTCATATATATTTGGAAATTAATTGGAGATAGGAGATTTCTTCAGGCAGTTAACAACTAATCCCCTAAAGACCGATGAAACTATAAAATTTACTGGTCCGTTTGCAAATTACGACAAGACGGTTTCATTTGCAACGCTTTAAAATTCCCTATCCCTTAAACCTTTACATCAAGCCTTTGTTAAAATACTCTTAGAGATATTTCGCTTCAGATTAACTTATTTATTAAGACTATTTGATCAAAATGACGTCATCAAAGGAGTACCTAAATAAAAAACAAACAATGATTACTTATAGTATACATTTTTTTTTTACAATAATTAATCCTCCGAGAACTGTTTAGGAGTGAATTGTAGACTAGGAAATAATTTATACAATGTCTTGTTGAATATTTTAGATTTCAAAACAAAATGCTATACGACAGCCATGGAATTTTGAACAGGAATTGCCCTATCGCACGTAGTCTTTCCATCACAGGCTCTAAACAAAAATAAGACTAACTAACATTGAAGTGACATCTCCAAAATATTTTATATGGGAATTCATCGAATGACAGAATAATAATTGCAGATATTTTTATAATGACAACTAATGCTTCCCGGTCAAGTTCACTTACTATAGTTCAATCCCTACAATCAAATTCCATTTTCTTCTTCGTTATGCAGCTTTAGCTGACGTGCGCAGAACTATATACACATAATTCCATACTTATATCTAGACTTCCAGGCCAAAAAGCTGTACTATCCACACCACTCGACGTACAAATATATTTCGCAGGCCCACTTAGTTATATAATGCGAAATGAAAAGAACTACCTTATATTTTGTTACCGTAAGCAAACAATGGATCAGCTTCGAATGAACGCTTACGTTAAGCATTATATTTTAAAATGCTATGGCGATTGTAACTTGAAGTTTTATCAACACAAACACACAGACACCACAAACACACACACGCACACAAACAATCAACCACACATACACAACGCGCACAGCATACATAAACTTATCGACAAGCCGCCTAAACCCAACTTAGCGCTATATGAAAATTCAGTCTAATCTAATGAAATCTATAGTCGAAATATTCAAAAGAGTGCAAATTTACATATCATCTACCTACATCTATTATGATGAACTCGATCGAATTTACCTGGTTGTTTTAGTAAAGATACATGATTGTTTCATTAAACATACAATCATCATTTCAAAAGACTGCATAAGAATAAACACAGAACATTAAAACAGTTGTTGAATCACATCAAAATTTAATTTTTTTCACCAAAACTAAAAAATTACGGTTAAAATCCGTACAAATATCCGCATTGTCACAAAAGTTTAATGAATATTATTGTTTTGTTTCTAGATAAAACATTCATTTCCGCTGCACTTATTTCAATAGTATTTTCACTCTCCTGATTTTATTGAATTTTCATTATATAAGTTTGTATGAGGTTTCTTTTTTGAATAAAAAGTTAATTAAAAGAGAATATTCAGTACAATAAAATTTTAACATATTCAAATACTAATAAAATAATCCATATTGTTTTAATGAGTCCTGTTATTACAGCCGTTTTACGATTACTAACCGCATATCACTACAGAATATTGAATAGTTGTAAAAGTAATTAACGTTGCAAATTAATTAATAATCAACAGTGATTAAAATATTACGATTCTGCTGAGTTTTATTGATTTCCAAGCGTTTTATTGGCAGGGTCGTAATGTGTTTTACTGGACGGCTATAGTTAGAATATTAAAACATATGCTAAACATGTGTGTGGTTGCATATGTTCTATTAGATCAAAGAGATTCAAATTGATTTTTTTTACAATTTTTATACAGTAAATTCATTAGACAACCGTCGCCTATATAATTCAGAGATTCCTATTGTTTAACACTTTCAATGAATTATCACTTTGATTATACTTCCTCAAGATAAAATTTAACACTTAGCTTTGTTGCTACTACTATTGGCTCTAGATATTGTACTACTTTTAAAATCTCATTGATGTATTTGAAAAAATTACAAAATTCAAATATATTGAAGATTTGACGACTTTCAAGAATAAGAATTTGAGTTGATATAGAGTCACGTATTATAGGTCAACAATTCAAAATAGATACAAATCATCAACGTTTCAAAATTTCAACGTTGCAGGATTGCGCATGACCACATCATTTTGTATGCCTAAAATCCTAAACTAACTAAACTAAAACGTTTTTAGAATTTATAAATTTTCATTTTACAAAAAAATTGTAAATACTTTCAATTTTTTGATATCTATTAAGTTTTTGCATATATATTTAGCTTGCTGACTGTGAAGTGAGTTACTTAACATGGCTCATCTCCCTACATCCTTTTCATCATTATTAATCACGTCATCACTTTTCTCGTCAGCTACATCACCCACTCATATTGATTTCAATTCCCAATCCAACTACATACCGCCACATAACTGCAACTACTCGCTTCTCACTCACAACGGTTGCTGCAACCACCAAATGATGCTGCACCAGCAACAACATCAACAAGATGTGGCTATGAATCTTCAACTACAGCAACAACATGATCCACATTTTTCACAGCAACAACATTCAAACCACGACAACAACAACATGAAACTAGAACTTGAAAACTGCGACCTCTGGAACAGTTTTTCGAAACTCGGCACCGAAATGATCGTAACGAAATCTGGTCGCCGAATGTTTCCAGCACTTAAAGTCAAACTAACCGGTCTGAAACCGAATCTCAAGTACGCTCTCCTACTTGATATCGTACCGTGCAATCGAAACCGATACAAGTTCACAAACGGACGATGGTCGGTTACGGATAGAACTGAACCTGCAGCGGATCTGAGCTGTGGGAGGATGTTCGTTCATGGGGATTCCCCGGCAAGCGGAGAGCATTGGATGAGGCAGGTCGTATCATTCCATAAGATGAAACTCACAAATAACACGACCGATCAACATGGACATGTTAGTTTCAATGGGGATGCTTTTATTTTTACAATAAGAATTTATGAAAAAATAAGTAAAATTAATGATGCTGCTGACATGCCAAACAGTTTTTTTTTTATTTTCATAAAATTATATCTTCCTAGATTATAAATTAACAACTATACAGAAGAATTTTATTCATTTTTCTACAGATAATCCTGGCAACGATGCACAAATACACACCTCGCATCCACGTAGTTCAGACTGACGACCTGCAAAGTCTCCATAGAATTCCATTCAACACATTCCCATTCCAGCAAACGTCCTTCATAGCTGTCACTGCCTACCAGAACGAGATGGTCACCAAGCTGAAGATCCATCATAACCCATTCGCTAGGGGCTTCAGGGAAACGAAAAATTATAAAAGGTATGTTTGGTGTCTAAAATTTCATACAAAAATTAATTTTTCAGAATGAAGATTGGCGGTTAATTACGAAATTAAAAAATTTATAGAAAGATAAAATATTTTTTCAACTAAACAAATTAAAAACTTTTAGTTTATTTATTTTTTTTCTTTTATGATCAAGTAAACCAAAAAGACATGCTTCTTCATCTGACGACGACGACAGCAACATTGGTGTTAGTGAAAACAATCATCAATTAAACCATCAACAACAATTTGAACGGCAACAACAACTACAACTACTACATCATCAACCGCTACAACAGCTGCAACCACAACAACCACAACCGCAATATCAAAATAAGCGAACATACTACGATCAGTACGATGAACCCGAAACATTTACAACTGTAACGTCACAACAACCGCTAACGAAACGAAGAAAAATAGATATGCAACATCAACAACTACTACAAAATCGACAATTTTTCCAACCACAATCTTTTTCGCAACCACATCAACATCAAAAACAACAACGGCATCAAATGAATTACTCCAAATTTGAGAACACCACTAACAACTTTTCTTACACATCACTCTTTACAACTTCAACTCCAATCAGTTACAACAACAATAGCAAGCGTTCAACAAGCAACGTGCATAAAAATAGCACTGATATTGCAGTGAACAACAACATAAACCTGACCAACTTAGATAACAACTCAAATTTTTACGACATCCACAACAACTCATCAACATGTTATCATCCAGCCACTCAACGAACGACATTCAACAGCGCTGCCACACCACCATCCGCCTCACTACCACTTCCAACAAACACGAACGACAGCGGCTACCACACGTACTCCTTCAATTCACCACCCAGTGCATGGACGCCAAAAATTACAAAACAGCTCAAAAATTTCACATCACCGTATTATCGAAACCGGCATCAAACCGATTCATCAGTCGGTAACAATACGTGTCTTACTCCGGCTAACCACTGGTCGGTTAATTCGTCGATAAATGTTCAGCCGTTCAATTACGCAACAAATTCTATGTATCAAAACGATTCGATGCTTCGTCAGAAATTATCGTTCACCGACACGACGAGTCCGATCGAAACATCCGTACCTCCGACCTTCCCAACAAATGCATCAGCATATTTCACCAACCAGCATCTTTACAACAACGATAGCGAGGTTGACCACAATGACCACCTTTTTTTCTCGACAAACTTTTTAAAAAATTACCAATATCCGAGAAGCATTCTGCCTCAAAGCAGCCAACCATTCATTCCAAACTGCTTCAACTACTCTGCAACAATTTCTCAAAAGCCGCAACTGAAAAAATGCGATTGAGACATTTTTTTAAAACTAATTTATTTTTTATTAATTTTTTTTAATTTTAACGGATTGTAAATAATTTTAAATTGTACAGTTTGTGAACATTGTGTGTATGGTGAATTGTAATTTTTAGAAACAGTTGTACATAGTTTATTATAACTACATTTTTTCGTTATATTGTAAAAATCGAAGGAAAGAAAACCTTTACAATAGTTTAAATTCAAATTATTCGTTGAATGTGATGAATCATGTTTCTGATTTATTCAACATTTTACAACAGAATCTGTCTAAATAAATACATTTTGCTAAGGTATCGTGTGTTTATTTTTGTTCAATATCGTTCTTCATCACTCGATAGTTTTTTATTGAATTCCATTTTACATAAAAAATCGAAGCAACTACCATTGCAGAAGAAATCTGACAACGAAACAGACAACCGGATAGTAAATAACATTCATTCAATGTTATTCAATATGTCAATGTTATTCATAACGTCATTAATTATTGGCATAAACAAGTTACCTCCTTGTAACAATACCAGGAAGAGTTTTATTAATTGTAATGGGTATAGATGCAGGTGAATGTTATACTGGTCCGTGACGGTTTTCAGACAGATAGAATTAGAATTAGGTACTAGGTAGGTGCATACTGCGGTATAATGGCGCGAGATGACGTTTTCTCTGGGGACTAAGTCCAACCAAATCGCTAATTCTCCAAATATCGTGGACAGCTTCTGTGCATCTTGACTTATATTTACCGAATTTTTTTACTTTTTGTATTTTTACTTTTTTACATTTATTTTTTGTCATTCATTAACGCTTGACTCAATGGTGGTGTGTACAATATGTGCGTGCCTGTGTGTACGCCTGCGTGAGTAAATTTTATCAGTTTTTTTTTCTCCTCAAACTTAAAAAATGAAGTAAGAAAGTGGCATTTTGAAATTAGATCAAAATTTATGTTTGATTGCAACGCTCTAACAATGAAATTTGAAAATGTAAATTATTCAATTTTAGCGTCCCATTAATTCCAAACACATACAAAAGTATGACGTTTCATTGTTCCTCGCACTTTTAATTATCTTCTGATTCATGGTTGGAGCGCGAACGAGTCTTTAACAAAAAAAAATTTGTAAACGATTTTATAAAACTTTTAATTTTATTTCATTTATATAAATAATATCCGCATAAAAAATACGTTTAAAACAAAACACAATTTAAAAAACAAACACGTGAGAATATTTGTAATTATGAACCTGAACGGCATGACGTTTTGTACTTTGAATCCAGGCGTACGTAACAATGGTAGCCAGGTTTACAGTCTTCTCCCTGTTTATGGAATAAAATTCGTCTATATTATTAGCATCATGTAACGTCTAACGTTTTTAAAACAATTTGAAAATTTTAATATTAGAAAATAAAAAGTTCACTACTCTGCCTAGTTTCATTTTTGAATACTCAGCGGCTATTGTGGGCAAACCCGACGATGGAGCCCGGGTCACCAAAGAGGAGATAGTCACAATAAAGAGAATCCTCAGAGGCTTGTAAGGGTGTCTGTTAATAGCGAATCGCATGGTGGAGGCCCAGTCACCAAAAGGGAAAAGCAACTTTCAAAATAAAGAATCTTCAGGCGTGCCAAGTAACAACTACATAGTTCCCATAGTCGAAAAAAATAATTAAAAACAATAATAGTTACGGTTCCCAAAATATGCGCAGGGCGAGAGTCGGATGGTGGACTTGGGCAGTCCTTTTGCAAAGCGTTGGTATGGGTGGTGTTGGTCTGTGGGTCTTTTAAACGTTACGATTAGCCAGGTAAGAGTTTTACGTATATCTAGAGTTGGCCCTGCGTCAGTGCTTAGATGGGCTTGGTTGAAATTTTTCCTGTCGGTGGTGATGGTTCTTGACACACAAAAAATAGAATTAATAAACATTGGAAAATAATAGTGAATAATTAAATTTGATGGATAACGAAATAGAAATATAACGCACGAAGCAGGAGCACATTGGACCACTTGAGCCATCCGACCTCACTTTTCTACAATCATCGCTTTGAGCTAAATTAACTATTTCAAATTTTTCGATTGTTTGATAATATTTATAAATGCAGGAAATTGATCTTCTGATAATATAATAAGTTAATTTCCGTTAGTTTGAAATAAAAAATGATAAACAAACCCATAGATAAAATCAACAACCCCGCAAAAACAGTGCTAAAACCTTTTCTCATCGTTTAGCTAATTGTAGCTATGAACAAATCTAGAACGGTCAGTAAGAGATTTGGAAAAACAACTTCGAACAAATCTGTATATATAAGCGCGTATCTCGCTCGATTCACATTCTTATATATTTACTAATGCGTTTGATACATTTATTAAAAGTTAAATATCCAAACAATATACTGACTATGCAGAGTTTGTTAAAACGTTTAACATGAATTTAATAAAATGCTAGATGCATCTCGCCGGATTAACATCGTACGAGAAAAATAAATCTAAAAAATTAGGTTTAAAAATAATTATATGATTAAATGAATCAACATCACGTCGTGAAGGATTAAAACAAAATAGATTACATATAGGAATGATTGTTTTTCAATTTTTATGGAGCAAACTTTAATTTTATCTATTCTTTAAAATGATAAAAGGTATGAGAGGTTGTTGATTGAATGAATATATTTCAAACAAAAATTAATTTTTTTTAATTAATTTAAAAAAAATTATACTGGCTTTTAAAGCAAATTTGTTAAAAAATTGTGCAAACACAAAATTAAGGTTGCCAATTTAGTTAGGCTACTGCAATAGACTGTTAAGATGTTGAGAAATACACACTGACGTGCGCAGGTTTTTATTTGAAATTATTTATTTATTCATATATTTTTTCTATTTTTGTTAAAATTTATCAAAATTTCATTACTCAAAATGCCAACAATCTGTGTGTTTATCAATCAGAATATTGTTATTGTACGATCTTTAACGAATGTTAAGTTATGAAGTTATCAGAGGCGGTGTTGAGGGAAGACTCAAGCTAGGGAAAAAAGAAAATATTGATAATTTCTGTGTAATACAAATTTGACGTAAATTAGCAAAAAATAGGTCACTAACTTAGAAGTTTCAAAAATCCTCTCCAACCAAAACTGGATTTAGGTGAGTTGGCTAAAAAGTCATCTGCTATAGAATTCTAAAATCATCCCAAAGGCAAATTGTTAGATAAGCCACCGACTGTTATATAGATATATTACTCATCTAAGATATCAATAAAATTGGTCGATTAAGATTTGTTTAATGAAATTTAGATTTAATTTCATTATTGTTATAGTTTACATAAGTATTGGTAGAAATGATCCAATGATGTAATTTTATTTGCAGAATCAGGTGCGATTCAGCCAGGTCAAACTGAAAATTAAAATGTTTCAAGATAAACAAGAAGTTAAGTAAACTATTATATTATACCCAAAATTCGTTTTAAACTTTAAACATTTTGTGATATGAAGTAATATTTTAAAAAATGTTGAAACTCACATAACAATTATTACATAAATATTTCAATCATCGAAATTTTCATCATTATATTCAGCATTTAATAAAAAACATTTAAAAATCAGTTTTTCAAGTTAATTTTAATTTTCAGATAAAAACATTACCAAAAATATTGTTATAACCGCGGAAATCATAGAATTGCGCTGTGTTATTTAATATTTGACTATTGTTGCCTCAGCAATATTTGTAATCTTTTGATTGTAAAATGGGTTATATATACGTTCTGCTTAGTCAGGTTCCCAGCTGAAAAAGCAAAGTCGCAAATGTGATTTATGTGGTTACTAGGATTAGTTTATTATTTCTAATACTTTGGCATTCAAATAAACGTCCAACAAAGTTTGCGTTAGAAGCAGTTGTGTTCATCTATCGGAAATCTTCAACCTACGGACTAACGATAACTTGACGATCGTTGGAATCTACAACACTGGCGTTGGAAATATAGAGAATATTGAAGTTAAAACATCGGTGTTGGTAGTTGCGAAGTCAAGGGTCAACAATATAATTATCAAAATTTTTTCTTAAGTTATGTGACTTAATGGGTAGAAACATGTATCCACTCAAAACATTTTAATTCATCGTTCACATTTCCAATTTTTAAACCTTTTATTTAACAAAAACTTCCACAGCTTCAGCATTCTTCCACACGTACTTTTTTCTCGCGGAAGCGATTGCGAAAATTAATTTCTCTTAGTTTCCAAGAGAAATTAATCGTTTTAGTTGTTTTAAGTCGAACTGACAGAAAGTTTGTTTGAACATTTCAATTAATGAAGCAGATATATAGTAAATTAATAAACGCTAGATAGCTGGAATTGAAATATAGTATGTTACTGAACCCTAAATTAGCAATCTACTTTGATGGTTGTTTCAATACAATCGTTTCCCGTTAATTTTCTAAACTGATTAGCAATTTCGTCAAAAGATTTATTTTTTGTTTCTGGAAGCCTGAAAAAAATAAAGATCAAGCAAGCTATCATGATGGCCACGAAGATCAGGAAGACGAACTCCCCTGTGGCTGCCTGGTGGGTTTCAGTTGATTTGACGAATTAACATGACACATCGATCAACGTTGAAATAATTCACTAATCGAAACTATTAATACTAACTTAATAAAAAATAAAATTTCAAGATCATCACACTGGTCATCGTGACATTAAAAAATGAGGTCGGTCCTTATACTACAGATCAACAAATCTACGGGCTTGTTGCTTGTTTTATTTAGGACCTCAATTAAGTTATCCGCTCAACTGCAAGGCAAAATCATTGCACTCGACCTTTTAGTTGTAAAGTCTACCTTCCATTAGCGGCGGATGGATAACAAATTAAATAAAATCTCTTTTTTTTCACCAGACCTCGGTTAAAATTGTTGAGTTTTTGTACATTCGCTACAAAAGTTTGCCGTACTAACTTGTGTGATTTCAAAACACATAGCTACAACAGCGTTTGATATCCAGTTAGCCAGTCCAGTTAGACTCATGGCTCTGGCTCTGGGACCTTGTCTGAAGAGTTCAGCTGTTATCATATTTGGAATCGGTCCTCCCCGCTGGCAAACATTATGGTGTAAGCTATGACGCATCCAATGCTCACGTAACCCATTGCTGGGTAGTTAGGCTGTGGAATTGAGTATTTCAAAAATTTCCGTGTTGTCAAAAAAAAAGCTAAATATCATAATATGCGTAGCACAAATTATTAAGTTATTTCATGTTATTTATTTCACAGTTCTATTTATTTATTGAAATTTTTACATTAACTGCAGGCATAAATTTAATTCGCCAACGTCACCGAAATATTTCTGCCATTTAAATGGACAGATGTTAAAAATGGTAGGGATTGGATTTTATACATCTTCCAAAAAATGAATAAAGTATCACGCCATTCAAATACAAAGGGAGGTGGATAACCATAAAAGTTAATAATTTCATGAAACTTTTTTTAGTGGTTTCAGCGTTTCTATCAAAATTGAATTCACAACTTTATTTTATAACAAATTTAATTAAACTTTCTTTTATAATCAATCAAACTAATTTAAATAATGTATAATTGTATCGAAACCTGTAAATTTAAAGCCACTGTTATAAGCGATAGAGAGAGAATCATGCCGATTATGGGCCCCATCAGCAAAATTCTCCTTCCTAGTCTGTCCATAAAAGGAATCTTACAGGCAAATTATCGATTTTATATTAAATTAATTATTAAAATTTATAATATAATGAGAAAAAAATTTGGTGATGCATGAATGAATTGATTCAGTATTTGCTATTTTAGCGTCGTATCTTATAAATCCATGCTCATAGGATTAAGTGCTTGGGGTTTATTTAATTGAAAAAGATAATTTTTGGTTTTTTTTTTTATATTAAAATTCAACAACTACAATTGTTCATTTTAATAAAAATTTGTGGTAAGAGATTTGGCGAAGTTTGAAAGATCTTAAATTAAAAGGTCAAAAAGTAATTCTGAAAAAAAACTTACGTCAGGAAGAATGTGATAACTCAAAAATATTTGAAATTCACGACTACAAAATCAATGAACCAGAACAGATGTAGTTTTTCATAACAACCAACAAGTGAAAACCAAAATAATAACACTAATATTAACGAAATTACGAAATGCTCACCACAAGAAAGGTCATAATGACGCTGACTATAGAGGGTCCCAGATTAGCATACTGGATAACGTTCGCCGAAAGCCCAGCGTTTATATAAATACTAGAAGAGTAATAAGTGATGGCGTTTATGCCGCAGAACTGTTGCAGCACTTGGAGAATCAGGCAGACAATCAGAGGATTGATGTATTCATATGTTTTTAATATTTTCAATATTGTATACGAGTCATCTGGCCCTTGGTTTCTTGATTCTACTTCCATTTCGCCAATTTCGTCTAGAACATCGTCACGCCGGCGCAACCATTGCAGAGCTAAGAAAACATTAGATTTATAAAGAGATTCACCCTCTAACAAATTATTATTTCATAAAATAAATCATTTAAATTTGGCCACTGGAGTTATAACTTGACAGTTTTTTAGCTTAAAGAGTTTAAACTGTTCATTCGTTTATTCCAATTTTTAAACATTGAAACAGAAAATTTTCACAATTTTTCAAATTAAAACTACAAACAATGTAATAATATCTTTCACCTTTAATGGCACCTTCTTTGTCCTCCCTAGCTACCATTAGAAACCTCGGACTGTCGGGGAAGAAAGGGAAGATGAACAAACTGACGAAGCCAGGAATTGTATTCATTAGGAAGAGAATTGGCCACTTATCTTTCGTACCTTTTGTCACAAGGAATTCAATTTTTATTTTTATTAATTTAAATTTATTAAAATCAATTTTTTGTGCTCTGATCTGAGTTTCATTTTTAAAAAATGGCAAAAAATAACGATTAACACTTTTTCAAACTCTATAAACAATCGACAGAGCACCAAAAAACTTTTTTCTCCTTATAACCCACACCAAAAATTACTTGACGATAAATCCAATCGAATTACATGAGGTTTTGACAATTAAATCATAACGAAAACCAAAAAAATAAATAAAAAAAATTAATGAAACAAAATGAAAAATTTTAACGAACCCAATAAATTACTCAACCCAAGTACACTACCGACGACGACGCCAATCGAAAGGATCGTGCCAAATAAAGTACCCATGGCCCCCCGCGAACTGAAAGGTACCATTTCAAGCATGTACATCGGCCCGAGTTGTGTGGCAGCTCCTTTTTAGTGTGTGTGTGTGTGTGTTTATGAGTGTGTGTATGTGTGTGTGTGAGTGTGTATGTGGTATGTGTTGGTGCGTGTAGGAATTTGTGGGATCAAACAATTGTTTAGCATCAATAAATAAGACCATCAACGTAGTTGAAGTTGTTTTGGGAAAATAACAAATAGTCTGAGATCAATTTAATTCACATCCATTAAACAAATAACTTCAAACAACTGACCAACCACAGCTTATTCCAGTTATGAACCGACCAATCAGAAGTAGGGTAGGCGAACCAGCATAAACACACGCAAAACTAAGCACCGCTCCTACCATGGTTGGGACAGCGTTCAACATGACGGTATATTTTCTATTCAAATTAATGATTCCATTTTGTATATTTAACTTTTTATTTTCACAGCTTGAAAAGTCTGCAACCAATAAACAATCATATCATTATATCGATTGTAATGGACAAGTTTAAAATAATTTCATTTTTTTTTAAATTTTCCTGTTATTAATTTTCAAATCTATCAACAACAAACAAAAAGTGTATAGAAATGCACGTGAATCAGCGCTTCACACACACTAACACTGCACGCGATAGTTCGTGGAGCTCTTCGCATTCAAAGCTAGTTACTGCAGTAGCATTGTCAGACGCCATAACCATTATACTATCACGTCGCCGAGATTATAAATTACTTTTAAGAAATAAATAATACTAAACGAATGATTTTGTATAATAAAATAATTAAATTGAATTTTTATCCGAAAGCAAAACACAAAACCTGCCCAGTTTATCTGCTACGAAGCCAACGGCGAACGCACCTATCATGCCTCCACACACAAACACGGCCGTGCACAGTGACCAGATAATTGTCAGAAAGTTTTTACTGACTCCATCATATTCGAGATTGGATGTGTTTTGTGGTGGTAATGATGTCAATAGTATTGATAATGATGATGTTGTCGATATTGATGATGATGATGAATTATATGATGGGGATGATGACGATGATGTTGAGTTCGGTAAGACCATTGCCGGCGAGAAAGAGTCATTTAGAAATTGTTTGACCAACTGCAAATCCCAACAATTTAAATGATTCAAATTTAAAATTAGTTATGAAACTAAATGATGAGTTAGTTATAGTCATATGATGAAATTGCTTTTTGTAATGGTTAAAACCAGCTCACCAGCATAGGCTGATTCAGAACGCTGATATTGTACCCAAACTGAAAGGCCGTAGCGAAGGCTATCAGGAGACCTATCAGGGCGGTTGAACATGTCCAAGCCTGGGGTCAATTTTGGGATGATATCAATATTTAATTAATGATATCATTACGAAATCAATCTGAAGATACTATCAAACTGATATCCTTACGTTAAGTTAAGTTATAGTATTAGTTCGGGATGGTATCAATTAGATATCATCTCGAATAATAATAACAACATACAGACTATATATTAGATTCCATCCATTTTATAACCATGCCAGGTATAGAACGAAACATATTTTTGGAGATTAAACGTTAAAATATGACAAAAATCAAAGCAGAATTGAGTTAGTGCCAGTTGCATGAAGTAACGTTCACATATACCTAAAACAGTAAATTAAATAAATGAGTGCAAATTTTGTTATTAAAAAAAGCTGTTTAAACTTACCATATTGAACTAACAATCAGGCTTGTAATGGTGATAACGAATGTTTAAATTACTTTACTCTTAAGAAGTTTTCAGAACACTTGAATTAATTAAAAGTTAAAAATTTAATACTTTAACCTCATAGTTGAATTTGTAATACAAATAAAAATTTAGTGAAGTTGAAAAAGTGTTATCTATTCTGAATCGATTTAGTTAAAGTTATTCATTTTTTGGAATTTTTGCTCTTTGTAACTATCTGTGGTTTTTTAAGAATAATTGAAGGCATTGCATTCATGATTTAAACCAAATGGCACTGTTTCTTACGATGTTTTATTTTCCATCACATATGGGGAGCACGAATTTTATGTTTTGTCGCACTTGCAGTACTTTTATAGATCCTTGGTCAGACAAAGTATGAAAAATTAAAATAAAATTTTAACCAGCTTCACTAATTTTATTTAATTTGTTGAAATCAAACGTAAACCAAAACCATATTTAAATAAATTCTGACCAGTCAGTTTATCTAACATTTTAACAGTCATCACGAAAACCAACTAAATGTTAGTTTATAGCAAAAATTGATGAAAAGTTACAAACTTGTTCATATAGTTTTTAAAAAATTTCAAACGAGTTTATTGAAATTTAATCCAAATGGATAGGATATCCCCAAAAACCAGAGCCGACTTCTTTTATAGCTGGAAAGCTCAACCAGCTTTTAGCATCTTTGAGTTCACACAGACAGCCACCACTGCTACCAGGAGCCACAGGTCGCAAGTTGAAGCCGGCGCACATCCAGTTTTGCATGCACTCCAACATGCAGTAGCCTGGCGAACATCTCTTGTTGTACACCGCCTGAAGACTATCACTCGCTATGTAGGCGTCCATCAAACGTTTGAAAGCATTTCTTGCACTAAGCACTGCCAGCAAAATAAAAATAAATTTCGAAGTAAACACTCGTCAGTTGCTTGTTTTATTTTAACAAAAAATTGAATGTTCTCACATTTCAATGCGGGCCTTTCACATATGTAATAGTAGCCTGCCGTGATACAATTTCTATCTTTCCAAAAGCCGGAATCAACAATTAGAGCACAGCAGACGTTTTCATTAGGATCACCAGATAATTTGTTCCATTTCGTGAAGTTGAAGTCACTTCCATCCAGCTAGTAGTTAACTTGGTTGAGGAAGCATTTCACGCGGTACAAGCCGATCCAGTAGTTGGAAAGCAGGTGGGGGCTGAGGCAACATTCATTTTTGGTTTTTATGCTATAAAACTATTAAAAAATGTAGTGATTAGTCCACAATTTTGATATTTCATAGCCAATTTGTTTGAAATTATATAAATTTATATATAATTATATATATATATTTATATATATAAAGGTTGATGGCAAAGAAAACAATGTCCTATATATATATATATATTTATATAATATTTACTTTTTCAACTTTTCCAATGTTGTGAATTTAAATAAGTTATTTTTTCATTAATAAGACCAACCCGTTTGCAATGATGAAGTTGGTTTCGTCGTCCGAACCGATGCTGACCAGCAAACTGTCCATACTCTCGCAATTGTTGAGAGCATCATAAAATGACAGTGAATATTTAGTGGAAAAGAAGTAACACGATTGGTTAAATTCCAGCCAATCGGGGCTAAGGCATGCTGCAGTACCTTCTTTGAAAATTTCATTTCAGTTAGGATGTTTGTAGTGAAATTTCAAGAAGACAATCAAATCCTCATTTTAAATCACCTCACATCACACTGGACTACAAATTCCAGTCCATGGAAGCAACATTACTGATATCATGTTAATGATTACCCACATAGCTGATCTTAAAAACGCACGTTTTCAAAATGAAGAAAGAAAGTGTTCCTTTATCTCAAGTATAACATAAGTAAATAACAGATTTTTAATGAAAATTTTTTAATAAAATCGTAACTTGGTTAGTATAACAAATTTAACCAACTTTTAAAATAAAAGACAAGTTGGAGAACTCTGACGGTGAACAAAAGTTTCATGACTGTCGTCATCACGAAAATCAGTCAGATTAGTTAGATCAGTTGTTTCTTCTCAGGCTCCGTACGTATATCAATAAAAAATATATAATAAACGTTTTTCTATTTGTGTTATCTGTTGATTCAAACGTGAAAAACTCATGTAAATACTATACACAAACTATATATGAATTTATATTACCGTATATATCACTATATAACTATATATAAGCAATAACACTATATAACTATATACAAATCTATATAACCGTATATATCACTATATAACAATATATAATCAATAACACTATATATCTATATATAAATCTATATAACCGTATATATCATTATATATAACTATATATAACCAATAACTCTACATAACTATATATAAATCTATATAACCGTATATATCACTATATAACTATATATAATTAATAATTCTACATAACTATATATAAATCTATATAACCGTATATAACACTATATGACTATATATATTCAATAACTCAACATAACTATCTTTAAATCTATATAGCCGTATATGACACTATATGACTCTACATAACTATATATAAATTTATATAACTGTATATATCACTGTATAACTATATATAATTAATAACTCTACATAACTATATATAAATCTATATAACCGTATATATCACTATATAACTTTATATAATCAATAACTCTACATAACTATATATATGTCTATATAACCGTATATAACACTATATAACTAAAAATAATTAATAATTCTACATAACTATATATAAATCTATATAACCTGCTAACTACTACTGGACTAAACTGGTTTATCTAATCGCCTCAGTGGCTCTAATCTATTAAGCGCTAAGCGCATAAGTTTGGGGATTGTAACAAACTATATATAAATCTATATAACCGTATATATCACTATATAACTAAATATAATCAATAACTCTACATAACTTCATATAAAACTTTATAAACGTATATATCACTATATAACTATATATAAACAATAACTCTACATAACTATATATAAATCTATATAACCGTATATAATCAATAACACTATATAACTATATATAAATCTATATAACCGTATATAACACTATATGACTATATATATTTAATAACTCTACATAACTATATATAAATCTTTATAACCGTATATAACACGATATAACTAAATAAAATCAATAACTCTACAAAACTATATATAAATCTTTATACCGTATATATCACTATATAACTATATATAAACAATAACTCTACATAACTATATATAAACCTATATAACCGTATATATCACTATATATTTATATATAATCAATAACACTATATAACTATATAAAAATCTATATAACCGTATAAATCAATATATAACTATATATAATCAATAACTCTACATAACTATATGTAAATCTATATAACCATATATATCACTACATAACAATATATAATCAATAACTCTACATAACTATATATAAATCTATATAACCGTATATATCACTATATAACTTTATATAATCAATAACTCTACAAAACTATATATAAGTCTATATTACCGTATAAAACACTATATAACTATATATAATTAATAACTCTACATAACAATATATAAATATATATAACCTTCTAACTACCACTAAACTAAACTGGTTTATATAATCGCCTCAGTGGCTCTAAACTATTAAGCGCTAAGCGCATAAGTTTGGGGATTGTCACAAACTATATATAAATTTATATAACCGTATATATCACTATATAACTTTATATAATCAATAACACTATATAACTACATATAAATCTATATAACCGTATATATCACTATATATATCTATTTAAAATCAATAACTCTACATAACTATATATAAGTCTATATAACCGTATATATCACTATATAACTATATATAATTAATAATTCTACATAACTATATATAAATCTATATAACCGTATATAACACTATATGACTATATATATTCAATAACATTACATAACTATCTTTAAATCTATATAACCGTATTTAACACTATATGACTATCTATATTCAATAACTCTACATAACTATATATAGTTATATAGTAATATATACGGTTATATAGATTTATATATAGTTCCGTATAGTTATTAATTATATATAGTTATATGGTGTTATATAGGGTTATATAGATTTATATATAGTTATGTAGAGTAATTGATTATATATTGTTATATAGTGTTATATACGATTATATAGATTTGTATATAGTTATGTAGAGTTATTGAATATTTATAGTCATTTAGTGTTATATACGGTTATATAGATTTATATATACTTGTATAGTGTTATTGATTATATATAGTTATATAGTGATATATACGGTTATATAGATTTATATATAGTTGTGGAGAGTTATTAATTATATATAGTTATACAGTGTTATATACGATTATATAGATTTATACATAGTTATGTAGAGTTATTGATTATATATTTTTATATAGTGATATATACGGTTATAAAGATTTATATATAGTTATGTAGACTTATTGATTATATATAGTTATATAGTGATATATACGGTTATATAGATTTATATATAGTTATGTAGAGTTATTGAATATAGATAGTCATATAGTGTTATATACGGTTATATAGATTTAAATATAGTTATGTAGAGTTATTGAATATATATATAGTCATATAGTGTTAGTTAAAAGTTACTTTGAAGCAGTCTTGTAACTTCTACAATTTCAAAGACGTTGAATCGAGCTGATGCAACGAGGTGTATGTGTGTGTGTGTGTTTGATACTTTGGTGAATGGTAATTATAATCACAAATGCATACAAGTAAAAATTGTGGAATTTTATTCGTACCTATAAAAATTACTTTAAATAAAAATAATTATTATTGAATAAATAGGAAAACTACATGGAAATCTGTCTCAATGTAGGACGCTACAATTTGTTCCTCTTGCATAATGGATCGCTGGCATTCAATGGTCTCTCTGTATTCATAATGAAATAAAGGCAAAAATTTATTTAACTTATGATGCAATGCATAATTAATGATGACTGTTGGATGGAAATGAAACGAACTATGTAACTCATTCAAATGAACGTTGCATAAAACTTGAAATATGGACAGCCTAGTTGCACAGCACACGTATAATACTACAATTATAATGCGAATATTTGTTGTGTGTGTGTGTCTGTTACGCCAAAACAACAGCGAAATTTTAAAATAAATTTTTTGTCTTTTAACGATCGATAGTTGACGGTAATTGTATGCATGGATTAACTTCACCACATCGCGTTCACAATATGTGTTGTTCTTTAAATTTTCAAAATATTACAAAAATTATTATTTGAATGATACCAAGCCGTGCAACACATTTGGAATTTTAAACTGATTTGCCATTTGGAATCCAATCTTTAAACGATGGCAGTCAATCATTTGTTATGTGAGAATCATATTTTTCATATAGGACTCAAAAATTTCAAACAATTTTGAAAACTAGTGAGAAAAGAATTCGTTTTTTATCTTTTTATTCCATGGTACAATATAGGTTCTGAAATATTTAAACATCTTTTACAAATTGCGTGTTAGTGAAATGGTCAAGGTGCCTGACAGCTCTGTTGCAGTCACCCTGTTCAATTTCAAAGACATTCCCGCATATCGCATGCAATGGATGTGATGCGTTGTTAAACGCATCTTCATTTGCGTTTGCGTCGTTGTCACTAAAGTATACCCTTTAAGAAATTTCGATACGAATTGTGAAAAAATTATCTATGAATTTTTGTCTATAAGATGCTTTATGAAATGATTCTTTACAAGTATATGTGTAAATTTACTTGCAGACATGACGACTAAGACGTTTAAATTTTCTTGAGTTAAAAATTTACATGTTACTCTATAACAATTTAGATATGATTTTTAGAATTATTTTTCAAATTAAAACAAAATAACGGCCACTACTAATTTACAATCATTTATTTTTTTGAACAAAATTTAAAGTTATTAAAGTAAAAAAATAAAATAAGGGTTAAAATTCAACTTCGTCATTATTCAAACTTCAGATAGTAATTGTAATTTTCGATTTGTGAGCTATTCACGATTAGGTTCCCGTGTGATCGCATGAGCAAATAAGCATTGAAATAAATAATATAAATAAATTTCATCAAACTGGAATGTTATTTTAAATATAAAATTTCAAAACTGCAACGAGATTGCTCAAATATATTTTCATTCACTCACTCTACACCCTACTAATCATAACTTTAAAAAAAATCTTTCTCAATTAAATAGATTAAAAATTTGAAAAATAGCTCAGGCATTCGTTTATTAAAAATTTGTTTGGCTTTGTCGGCGATTGTTACAATCAATCAAAAATAAAATAGCATTTATTATGATCATTACAGCGTTATGTATTTACTATTAGCATCATATTTTCTTGAAAATCATAAAACAGAGCCAAAATATATATAATAACTTTAGTGTTATATTAAGTTGTTGTAAACGTGAATTGAAATTGTATTCAAACCGAACATTTCAAAAACTTGGAGTTGCAGTTTATGAATTAACATAGAATCAAATCAATCGAAAGATAGATAGATCATAGATCAACTTTTACACGGTTTTTCCAATGCTTTATCAATTTTTTTGGTGTAAAACATCGTAATAGGATATTTTTTTATTAGAAATGAAAATTTTTTAAATGAATGTTTTTCAGGATTAATTTTTATCAGTTTATTTGATATTTATTCATCTCTGTTTTACTGTTCATAGCAAGCTCTGTTTGTTACACATGAAATAATGTCTTTATATTTTATTAATTTTAGCTTTATTAAAAAAAATTAAAATGACTTCTGTAGTTAAAGTCAATTTATATATGAATATTCATGAAAAAAAACAATGATAATAATATAGTGATGATATCAATGTATAATAATTTATATAGAGTAACATAATTGTTACTTTGGCAAATGTTTAATATAAAGGATTACGAGTAAAAATAATAATGACGAAAGTAAACAGACAATTTAAGAGTCATTTTTGATGGTTTTGGTTAGATTTTAAAATGAAAAAATTAAGGAAATATTAGATCGATACTGAATTAAAATTAATGGATTACAGATTTCTTGAAAAAATAAACATAGCAGCAACAAAAATTACACCCTTCCTCCCCAGATAAATTATTCAATTCTGCCCGCAAACAATAAAAATAAAAAAACTCGAAACGCGATTTCTCGATCACGTGATATTGCTTCCGTAGAGGTCGGCTAATTTTTTAAACGCAGGCCGCTGATTGGTCAGTTGGCTGATGATGAATCGCCTGTCGACCGCCCGTCCAGCTGTCATGTGATTTTCATCATTACCGACGATGACGTCATCGTCGTCGTCGCAGTTTGAAGCCAACGAGCTAAGCGACCCGGCGTAGCTGCCACAGCCTTCAAAGGCGTACTCTCTGACGGTCTCGAACGGTGGAGCTACCGGGTCGGCCTCAATTTTTTTCAACTTTTTCTTCAAAACTACCAGCATATCATCTGAATGTACACGCGGCGATGATGAAGAAGATGAGGGGAATGATGACGACGGAAGCGGAAGTCGCGATTGTGGCGTCGTTCTGTTGCTGCTGCTGCTGTACAACTCTTTCTTGCCTTTGACGACTAGTGACGATTTTGGAGGTTTTTTATCTGCGTGTCGATTTGCTTCATATCAATTATTAATGATCAATTTCGCGCTGTTTTTTAACACCCATTATTAAAATTTTCAGTTTTTCTGAAAAGTTTATCAAAAATTAGATCTATAGTCTTAAATAACCGAACGTTAAAAGAATCAAAACTGGAAAACAAAAAAAATTAACAAGTGTATCCAGAATTTCACCACCAAAGTAGGTTTAAATAAAAATGTTCAACATCTTACCATTAACAAGAATGGGAACCGTCTGCATCTCATACATCACCTTATGGTTGTTAAGGAGATCAATGTTATTGACAGAAGTCAAGTGTTTGTTAGCAACTTTTAATTTATTGTTGGCGTTATTTTTGTTAATGTTGTTGTGGTTGGTGCTGTTGTTTTTGCTGTTTTTGTTCGTGTTGTTGATGTTGTTGTTTGGCTTGGCGAGGCCATTCCCAACAGGCTGTACTGGTTTCTTTAACTTGGATATGTCGTATTTCTGCTGGTCTTCCTCGCCTGAATTAGTATATGTAAGTATATTTTTTTTACTCAATTTCATTTGTTAATGTTTAATAGTGCATGAATGTGTGTGTGTATGTTTGTGTGTGATCAACATTGTTGTAAACGTTAACACTCATTATTACAGACGCCGATGTTATAACTTCTATATTTGCAATACCAGTGTTGTAGCTTCCAACTTTGTTGAACGTTTACTTGAATGCCAACTGTAATAGAAACACTTATATAATAAAAATAATATAAATCGTCGTATTTACGATTTCGTTTCAAACCTCGCTATTCCCTTCGCTACACCTGCACCTTCTATAGCCTCTATGGTATGAAAATATTCTATGGTTTGCAATCGATTGCCAAATAGCGAAGATAACAAATATAACAAGATAACAACAATTAATTTTATAGCGTAACTCCATCGTTTCCGCGATTATAACATATAATGCTTCTTTTTAGTTAGAAAAATAGCTCTAGTAGGATGAAATTTTCTGGATAAACATCAGTAACACCAAAGACATCATTAACATCGACAACGTCAGCAACATCAATGGCGTCAACAACATCAAATCAAATCAAAATACTTTTTATTTACCAGAACAAAACACAAACAAAAAGAAAGTTCGAATAACATTCTGGCTTGGAGACCAAAGACATCAACAATATGATACATAACATCATCAAAAACATCAATGACAAACATCAACAGCACGAGAAACAGGAATAACATCATGTAGATCGAGTGACCCACCAATGCCCTCTTCATCGTGACGTATGATGTTGTCTCTGACGTCATCGCACAGGTCGACATCACTGTATGACGTGTGTGGCCTTCTTCGCATGACCAAGATGGCCACAAATACGATCACTGTTGTTTTGCAGTAGACGTATAAATCGAATTATATTTTCAAAATTTTGATTTTTTATTAAAAATTTTATTATTTTACAATGAAATCTGAAGAAAAAGTTGAACGAATGGGGTTGGATGCGTTCAGCCAGCGGTCAAACTATGGGAGTTTTCAATTTTAAAATACCTATCATTCAATTCAAAGAGTAATAAAATCAAAAATTGAAATGACTCAACCTGAACATGTAAAAATATTTATTCAATTTTAATTTCTTGAGATTTTAGAGCTTTAAATATTAAAAAAAACAACACCAAAAATGACTCGTTTATTTTTCTATACAGTGTTCACAATTTAACTGCACTTAATTACTAATATTCAACTTCAAACGCAAAGAACCATTCCGTCAGTTATATAACTGTAGAAAACAATCAGACCATTCACAAAATCAGCCCACACTTTTATCTACACACCCATCCACACATAAAAATTAATATCTAGTTTTTTTTTTAATTTGTGAAAACCAAATCTAAATTTTTAATTTTTTATTAAATTCTAAAAGCAAACTGACCAGTGACCACGGTGAATGAAAGGACAATAGCAAGAAGCGCTTCAGGCGTCATAGCGACGAACGAGGCTGTAACAGCTTCAGCACATATCGGTCCTGTGTAGCCAGAGTTGCACAGGCAGTAAAATCCTAAGTGGATTGGAAGCAAATTATAAATGGAAAACAAATTAAAATTATAAAAAATGAGAAAATTGAACTAATGATTAATAAGCTTGGGTAGATAAGCATGTGAAAAAATAAAATAGCTTTCAAAAATCTTAAATTAAAATAAAATGTGATTTGAGCTATAAAATTGAAAAGAAATGATCTAGTTTTTAGTATAATTGAGCGATTTTGATTGATAAGTTTAGTGAACTTTTGCCAAAAAAAAATAATTTATTAAATAGACACATCTGATAAATTTTTAAAATAATATGCAAAAATTTATTTCGAAAAACGCAAAAAAAAATTTCAAATTTGAGATTACCTTCCGGCGTATCTTGGCACTGCCCATGAAGACATGGAGTTGATTCAAGGCACTCGTTGATTGGTTCACAAGCTAGTTGTTCATCTAGTGATTGTCGTTTCAAGTGTTGCGAGTATTGTAGATTTTGTTGCTGCTGCAGCTGCTGCTCCTGCTGGTGGTGGATGTGGTGCTGGAATGGTGGCTGGTGGTGGAATGGTTGCTCGTTGAAAAGAGGTTGCTGGTGATGTATTGTAACTGGCCTGCTACCAATTGGACATCTTTTTGTAGATGGAAAAGTTTTATCAAAAAATCATAAGTACAAAACATCAATTATTTTTTCAAACTTGCCCAAGAATTCAAAATATTTCATATTCACATTTCACGGCAACCCCTAAGCCCAAACCTGCACTCAGCTCTCCGCCAGAGATCCACACAGACGAGTCCGTCCTGACAGATGTCGATTTGGTTGCAAGCCTCGGACGAACATCCAGCCTCGATGTTCTGACTCCGACTCATGACTTCGGCGCATTCGCTTTCGTCGTTTTCCTGTGGCGTCATAGGCAGCCACATGCCATTGTAACGCACGTCTGTTAGACATCCTGCGTTGAGATGAATAATTGCTATATAACATGCTAATATATAAAACCGAGATTTGTCAAGAAGCCATACAAAAGGTTTTAACACAGAAAATGCCATGAATGTGGCATATTTGAAGCGTCAACTGTGTTACTTACAACTGAACAATGTTTGATACGAACGCTACAAATATTTAAATAAAGTAAGTTTCAAACAATGAATGCAAGATAAATCTGTATCATATTATTATTTTGATATTTTTTCTCTTTGAATTATTGAAAATGTTGCTAAACATTTTTAACCAATCATCCAGCAGGATAAAGCAATCATAAAATCACATGAAGAGATACAAAATTTTTTCAAAAAAAATTCTGAATATTTGTAATTTAAACACACGTGGGTGGTTAAAAAAACAACAGACCAACCATCGTTGAAGTCCCGGCTAACTAGAGGATCAGATCCAAACGAGGGAAACTTCACATCACCGCCCAACACTATTGACCTCTGGCTGACCTTGAAGGCAACGTGATGTTTATCAATCATAGGAAAAGACCTGTTGCAGTAGATTCCTTCCCCCCTGTCAACTATCATTTCAACCCAGATCCCCCTCCTCTCGACTGCAATGGAGTGCCACTCCCCGTCCGATATGTTGAGTTGAGATAGGCTTACTTTACTCTCTTCTGATCCGATATTGAATCGATACGTTAGGCGACTGTCAATTATCTTGAGTTTCAAGTGTGTTTTTATGTTCAATGGTAAAGCGATTTCGCAAAATACATTTATTTCAAATTATCAAAATATATATTCTTATTTAGTTAACTACAAACAATAGAAGTCCTGTACAATTTAACCGTTACCATATATTACCTGGTGATTTACACAACTAAAACATTCAAAATTTCATAGACCAGCATCTCAACTTCTAAGCAAAATGTATAAGTAAAATAATGAAATCTAAAGATGCTCATCATATTTTTATTCTGACGCCAACCAACTCATTTCTTTTATGGATGCTACTAGATAAGATCTCCTCTGATTAGCTCAGATAAAATATACGTTCACAAGTCACAGCAGTTTGTGCAAAAGAAATTTTCACTATTTACCAATAGAGTCATTAACAGAAAGTAACTTTTCAAAGAAGCGTCTTAAAAGTCTACCTCTAAAGCAATGAATTCAGATTTCTGGGTGTTGTAACTCTTGAACAGTAGAGCCGACGTCTGCCTGGTTCTCACCATGACCTTTAAATCACTTTCAAATCCATTTTTCCTGTCCATGTCTGCGTACATGTCGTCTTTAAAGTCCAACTCCACAAAACCTTTTTGCCCGAAGTCCAGGACAGTTGTGGCTTCATGGGAAGTTGAAGTATTTTAATCAAATTTTTTACATACAGTTGAATAGTTTCTGACTATAGAAATTTTATTCCAACATATGAAAATGAATATAGGAAATTTATTTATCTTTATTCGTCATTTCGAAACTATAATCTGTCCCCAACAAACAATAAAAACCAATTTACTACAAACAATAAGTCAGTGTAACATTCACGCACATATTACGATTTACATGAAGAGCTGAAGTAAAAATTAAAATGCCTACGAATGCTGCAACCAAATCCTCTCCAGCCAGGCTTGCATACACACTGCACGTTTGAGGATGGCACTATGCCCGCCAAGCATTCCCCCTCGCTACCACATCTGTTCTTGCCGCTCTGTCTCGCCAACTTGTCGCTACTTTTGCTGCTGCTGTTGGGGTTGCTGCTACTGAGGCCGTGGCAGATGGCCTCCTCCTTACGACATCCGTCTTCAAATGAATCGCCCTGCCCTTCCAACCCGACGTGGAGATCGTACAGCTTCAGGGGTTGATATAAACAACGTTTTATTTGAGAGTAAATAAAACTTTTGATTAGAAGTGTTCTAATGAAATATAAAACTTGAATGAAGGTATCACTTGATGTTGTATCAATAATTTTGTTTGAATTTAATAGGTAAACGGCGGAATATAATTGTGGCCACTTGTAAAAAATAACAAAGAATGAAAATTTTCGAATGTTTTGACAAAAAAAAAACTAATTTTCATCTAGAAATAACTCAGAATCTTTACTTGATTATTGATCACGAGGTGCTTAATGCAGCCTTCGAATGCATCGTCAGTGATATGCTCAGGTATGCTGCTGTCCGGGTGACTACCGCCAAGACTCAGCGGTCCATTGATGTGCATCATTCCTCTATCTTCGCCGCTCAGGTTGGCCATGGATTCGCAGGAGTTGGTGAGAACGATTGATGACGACTCACTCTCTGATTCAAAAATTGAAGGACCTCGCTCGCATCTGTCCACTATCAACCTGACAAACTGTTACAGACGAATGTAAAAAAAAAACTATAAAGTTGAACTAGCTTGATTAAATCAAGTGACATAAATATTTTATATTTGAAAAAATGCATTATTATTGTTCAAGATGAACATTTATAAAAGTTTTCAACTGATTGTAACAATTTCAACGTTGCGCGAGGTTGAATTTTACCTGATTTTGAATGATGATATCAACCCTATGCCACGCTCCGTCATTCAGTTTGTTCATCTTGTTGACGATATGTAGATCGACTTCCACGAAACTCAACACGACCTCACCCTTTCCGTCGTCCATTCTTAACAACGGGTAGCCATTCCTTAGTTCCAGTGCGAGGAATGGGTTGTTCTTCGTGTATGTTATAGGTCCGTAGTAAAGTATCAGTCCGGTTGCCTAGAAATGGCAATTGTTTTCTCTTAGTTGTTTTTAGGCAGTCTTTTTGAATTTTAATTGTACTTTAAATTGTTTTAAGTTTTTACAATTTGAATTGCTTCACAAAGTAAAATAAATGAATAATTTGTTAGAAAAATATTAATTTAGATGCCAGTAGAACTGATATCTAATCGAGTACAGAAGTTCTGCCATTTCAATTATTTACGTTTTTATAACTTACTTCATTTAAAGTTAATACAAATTTATATCATCTACTTATAAAAAAATTTTCTTGGAAAAATTGCTTTAAACAACTCAATGATTAAAAAAAATAAAAAAGAGTTTATAAACTCAACTTCAGAATAAATAAATTACAAAGTAAACGCGATAAAGTGGCAGCATACATCAAAAATTATATCACTTAATATAATATTCAAATTTACCCTGGTGGTAGCGAATTGAAAACTGATGTGATTATGACGGCAAGCTTCAAACGGTTGAAACCACGCATATCCTGAACCAGAAAAACTAATGTGCGTCTGCTGACACCGTGGTCCATTGAAATCCGGCGGGCAGAGACATCTGTTTGGTTCGAATTAGTTAAGGAGTGGTTTGTTTGTTTGTTTGTTTGTTTGTTTGTTTGTTTGTTTGTTTGTTGGAAGTTAAATTTAGCACTATTTCAAAAAAATTTAAATTTTCACAGAAAAAATTTAAAGAATTTATTTGATTGATTAAATATAATAAAACAGATTTATTGTAAAAAAAATAGATAACGATTAAATGGTTTAATAATTTTAAAACTAAAATATTTTTTTATGACGAGAAAAACACTTAGTCAGAAACTACAGTTAATGTGAAAACTTACTCAAGAGTAGAATATTTCTGGACACAAGTTCCTCCATTGAAACAACTGCTCGGTTGGCACTCCCTACCCAGGCTTTCAAGGAACGACGCAGCGGAAGAACATGAACATTCAGCTTTCGATTGAGCGATGACACCAACGAATGAAGATGAATTCGTGTTGATGATGAGAGGTTCGTGTTCACTGATGGTCACCAGAGTTCTGCAACCATCTGTCACGTCTAGGCACTTCTCTATCATGCATTCGTTGATTGGAGACATCAGTATGCTCCCCTCCAAGACACTCTCAAACTGCCAAAATTTGACAGTTGTGATAAATATATTTTTTTAAATAATGAAAATACCGCATTAATAAATCAATTTTTCAAAAAAAATACTCAACAAAAACTATTTGATCTTTGGCGATTTTTTTTAATCATGGTACTACAAACAAATATAATCACAATAAAATCATTTTTCAATGATATAATCATAGAACACAAATTTGCCAAAAAATTATCGAACAAACCTCTTGCTTGTAGACATGGATCAACCCGTTGAGTTTGGATGGTTTTAGATAGAGCGAACCGTGTACGGCAAACCAGACATCTATAACATTCAACATGGTTGCGTGGTTCGTTACACTGAGAATCTCCACGTTACTAGCCCGGTACTCCTTCCCATCCAACTTACTAGCCAGCAACATCGCAAACAACTCCATCCTACTGTGATGTTCATGCTGAGCGAAGACGTTCGATATTTTTTTGGACTTTTCAGGTTTTGATATGAACTTTTCAGCGGTGATTCCTGCGATGAGATTGTAATAATACGACAAATAATTTTATGTCGAAATTATTATAAACCAAAGATAACTATCAAATTTCAAAGATAAAAATTGAAATTAACGATAGCCAAAAAGAATCAAATTAGGTAAAAACGTTTGAAAAAATATTTTGCGTTCACTTATTTCAACAACAACAACCTTGGATTCTGAGTGAAGCCATATTCTGCACGGCGTCATCAGCAAACGAATGCACTTCAATCCTCACAGTTGACACGACCTCCTTGTTCCACACCAGGTCATGAACCCTGACCTTCAAATTGTATGTCGTTTCCTTTAAAGGACTCTTCGTGTATAACTGTCCAGTGTTTTTGTCTACTCTGCAAAAGTAATGCAACATAAAAAAATTTATCGTGGAAGTTTAGAATGTACTATCACTTTAGCAAACATTATCAATCATTGTCATAATAAAAAAGTCTGAAATAATCCCACCTGAAAAGTTTGTCATGATAATGGTGGTGAACCAGTTGAAATGTTTTGTTCTCCAAGTCCCAATCATCTTCATCTTCCGCGAACACGTTGCCCAGCGGGTAATTATCGAATTCTCCCTTCCAGCCTTGCAATCGAAAAAGTTTTAATTAGTTAATCACGCTTACAACTGATTGAAAGATTAAAATTTTGAAAAAATTACCCAAACATAAACTGAATTTGGAATGTTAAATGTCGAAGTCAAGTCTTAGAAATTACAAACAAGTTACATTGAATAAAACTAAAAGACGTTCATCTACAATTATAAACCGGAGTAGTCAACAAATTTTCAACAGAGAACAAATTCATTTGTGCCTGACTCACCAACGTATTTGTTAACGAGAACCTCTTTATGACCAGGGAAATGTTCGTTATCATTGACGTCTCCGATGGTGACTGTCAGGGTGGACGTTCCACTTACAGAGGGCTGACCACTGTCCCTCATGACTATGGGGATCTCGTACTCCTTCTGCAGCTCTCGATCAAATGACCTTAGTGTTTGAATCCGGCCTGCTCCGTTGCCGTTCAATCCGCCGCCTGATTTTTTGAGCGAATATTGTTCATTCACTTTAACGATTTGAAATTTTTTTTTCTGATTCAGTTGCCCGTTTTAGTTAAAAATTGAACAAATTATTGTATTATATTCTTGATAAATGGTTTTAAACGTTGAGATTATTAAATTTATCCTTAAATTCAGAATGCAAATTAAACCTCTAGTGACGTGAAAATGCGAGGATTTATTTCTCAACAAACCCACAGCTTATCAAATTTAAATTACATTTCACAACGTACAATACAAAATAAAAATTAAACATTAAAATGAAAATAAATTTTCAACAAAAAATTTAAAAACAAAATGAAAAAAGTGACCTGGTATGAAAGTGAACCCAAAGTCAGCGCACGTTGGGTTAGCCTGACACGGACAGGCCCCACCACAGGGCAGCCAGAGTTCAAACGGGGCACCATTGGCTGCACTATCCCTATCTACAGCACTGACCATGATGACCATCTGCTCGGCCGGCTTGTTTTCGTAGACTACAGGTTGATAGATGGCGGCAAACTCGGGTGGATTGTCATTCACGTCTAGAAGACTGATCATCAGAGTGCCTCTGCCAGTCTGAGGAGGATTGCCTGCGGAGGAAGTTTGAAAAATGTAGCTGATTTATTGGCGTAATTTTTTTTATACAATACAATGAAATAATTAAATCAAAACAAGGAATGCAAATAAACTATTAATTTCTATCGACATTAGATAGAATGGCATTGTTGTGAAAAACTTAGTCATCCAATGATTATGTTCACCTTTATCAATAGCATGGATCTGTATTCTGTGCGCTGGCATTACTTCCATGTCTAGAGGTTTCGATACGGTCACCAAACCGTTCGCATCCACTGCGAACTGTTTTTCCATGTCCGTAGATCTATCTATTGAGTAGCTGTGTGATTCAGTTGGGCCCAATTAAATGAAATGGCAAGTTTTTATTTTTGAATTTGAAATTCATAATGATTATATCACTGTTGACAATTTCAGAAAAATACAAAAAGTTTCAAAATATTTGTTAGAATTTAAAAAACATATTTGAAATTTGAATAAAAATTTTGAAAAAATATAAATTTCAGTAAATGTTTAATAGAAAAAAAATTATTTGAAACCCCAAAACACAAACCTGAATTCTGCGTTGATACCAGTGTCAATATCAATTGCCGTGAACTTTTTTAAGGTCGTTCCAACAGTAGCGTTCTCAAATAGCGTTGCCTTTGAACATGGAAAACAGAAGAAGTAGTAAAAAATGGTGTCACTTATCATTTTAAAATTACATAATAGTGTGATAAACAGTTAGACTATTGTAACTTTATTCGCAACTATTGTATAATAATACTAAAGCAATGAAATTTTTCTGAAAAAAATGCATTTCTACGATGCGTAGATTATAAAAAAATGATAAAAAAAAATATTAAATTTTCAAAACAAAAACAATAAAATTATTTTTATGGTAAAATCTCCCCAAAAACCTTTTCAAGATTAGGATTAAAAACAGGTGGGTTATCGTTGGCATCTGTGATGGTGATTTCGACGAAGGCAGTGTCGTTATGGTTTGGGTTGGAGTCACGAACGTGTACCGTCAAGTTGAAATAAGGTTTCTCCATTGTGTCGTAATCTAAGGGCTTGAGAAAAATTTATTTCACCGTGATTTTCAAACTTTTTCACATTCTTACTATCAAATTTTAAAATTTTTATTGACAAAGTATTTTATTTAAGGTATACTGTCATACATATTGTGGCCGTTATTAGTGAGAGTTAGTTAAGATTTGAAAATTGTAGTTTTAGTGAAACATTCGATATTCTGAAACAGTTTCATGTATATGACATTCAAACAAATATAAATTTTTATAGTTGAGCACAGCTTTAGATTAGAAAATTAAAACAAATTGTGATTCAAAACAGAATAAATATTTTTTCCAATCTAAATCTCAAAACCTAAACCTTAAAAACTTTGATGACACCAGAGTTGGTGGTTTCGATGGTGTCAATGTAGAAGTGCGATCTGTCCTTTTCCTTCAGTGAGTAAGTCAGTTTGGCGTTGTTGCCACTATCCTTATCTGTAGCTGATACTGTGAGCACATGGTGTCCTGGAAGATGAAGTAGAAGTTGATTTAGTAAAAATTTTAGCATATAAACTCAAAAAACACCACCAAAGTTTTTGATTTTGAAAAGTGGCTGAACGGACACTAACAAAAATAGTTATCAAAATATAGCAAAATGCTATTTTAATAAGCATTTTAGTTAATACAATAGTTATAGCTTTTACATATCGCGCTAGTTAAATGAAAAATGAAATCATGGCATATAGTTAAGCAAATTAATATTAAACTCAAAGCGTAAACGGTGGAAAATGAGATGATAAAAGAATTTAGTATCGTAAAAATTATTTTTTTTTCTATTAAGGTTTATATTTCTATATTTTTCGGTGAAAAATTTAAAAAAAAAAAATTTTTGTTTCATTACCTTCTGGCTCACTTTCGCTAAGAACTGCTTTGTAGAGGAGGTGACTGAATCGAGGCCGATGATCGTTAACATCGTCGACGAGGATCGTCACCGTGGCACTCGCTTTCGAAATTTTATAATGTGATGAAAGAAAAGTTTGAACGTTTGGATTTAAAAAAAAATTTGATTGATAATTTATTTTTTTTAATCATGAATTAACTCAAACATCAAAAATTAAATCAATAAAATGTTTTAAAAATCAAAATAGAATTAATGATTGGTCAGTAATCTTTGTAAAAATGACTAATTCTAAACAATGAGTTATGTTAGTTTATACATATTTCATGAAAATTTAAATAATTTAGAAATAAAGTAAAAAACTATTAATGAATTTTAATGAGAATAAATTGTAAAAAGTTATTACACATAAGTGGAGGGATGCCCCTATCCCTGGCCTGCACCAGGACCTGGTACTCGGCCTGCACCTCCCTATCCAGAGCGTTAGGGATGACCGTGGAGATGAGTCCCATCTGGGTGTTGATCGTGAAGAGTGGTTGCTGGCCTTTCATGGGGACTTGTTTCAAACTGTAGGTCACCGAGCCGTTGTTTCCGTTGTCTACGTCTGTTGTTATGACTGTCAGCACCGTTACACCTAGTTTCGTGTGGGATTGGTATCTCAGTGCTGTTTGTTTGAAAAACACTTTTTGCAACTAAAATGGTCGAATATCTAGAAAAAGCCTTTTAATCAATGGTTGTTAAGCAACTGAAACTTTTTTATCCAAATGACAAACATTTTCTTAAGACGATGTAACTTTATCTGTTTAAATTTTGGTCTACCTGCTTTAGAATGTTCTGGAACTCTTCCGATCAATCTGTTTCTATCAAAGACAGGTGCGTTATCGTTAATATCACGCGGCATGACCCTCACCTCAGCGTACCCCGTCAGTGATGGCTGGTCGTCCCGTGATTCGTCGTGGGCTAGCACGTTGAAGTTCCATACGGGTCGACCCTTTCCCGCATCTCGGTCCAGTGGACGAGTTAGAGAGATGGTACCTGAGAAAATTGGCAGTAAAGTTAATTTTTAAAAAATTTTAACTTTAATTAGAAATAACTCAATGAAAATTTAAGTCATTTTGTTACGTAATCTGCAGTTGCGATACAAACAGTTGCAAAAAATGTAAAAATGTATCACGATTTAGCTACATACAGGTGAAAAATCGTCATCAAACAACCTATATAACAATTTTCCAAGTTGACTCAGCCTTATATTTCAATGAATTATACGAAATACCAAAAATAACAAAACTTTCATAACCTGAACTTTCGTTGATGACGAAAGTGCCATCGTCCGCAAACTGACCAGTGAGGCTGTAGCGTATAGAGGATTTTCTGTCAACATCTGGATCCGTTGCCCGAACCTTCATTTTATTTTTTTTAAATATTTATGCAATTATTTTTAGGACTCTAAAAAAAGGACTGATTTTTATTGTGATAATTGTTTTGAAACATACTCAAATAATTAAGAATAACATTTATAATCTTGGAATTTTTTGGTGGGTGATAATAATGAATAAAAATTTGGTCGGGATGTTTGATAACCGTTCATCAATAAATCGCATTGAAAAAAATTAGTAATAATTCACACCTGAAAAGATTTCAAAAAAATTTCGAAGTTTTTATAAAATAAAATATAATTTAAAGAAAATTAATAAATGATCAGTGAAAATCTTACAGTGAGAAGGTACTTCTCGTTGTTTTTACTAATTCCAGGTTCTTCCTCATTGATGTCAGTTACGTTGTATATGGAGTTGTCAAACTTGGGTGGGTTGTCATTGACGTCCAGAACTTGAACAATCACCAGAGTAAAATTGGTGAACTTCTCATCAAATACTCTGTACATTAATCTGTATTCCTGCAAAAAAGATAACAAGTTTGCTTGTATTCCTAAAAAAATAAGATCCTTTTGCATTTGCAATAATTTCTTTTAAATTCTAATCAATAACTCCAAATAAAAACTTTACCGGATCAAACTTTATTTAAAACCGAATTCTTCACATCAAATTATTATGACTTGCGTTTGCCTACTTTCGACCGGTGAATTATAATTGTATACCTTTTTACATGTGCGGTAGCGCGTGTTAAATTAATCACAAAACTCCTTTCATTTGAACAGTCAACTATGGAGCAGTTGAAACAGTTTTTTTAAAGTTAATCATGTACAAAAATAACAGTAAAAAATATTAAAAAACTTTTTTTCTGCACATAAACAAATCGAAATTGTTATTTGTGTTGAAATTAATCTGATACGATTTTCAAACTTTAATTAATTAATGAAAACAAATTCAACCCTCGGTCCATTTTCATAATCCAACTGTCCTCTGACTTTTATCTCCCCATTATCTGGTGTCACTTCAAACGCATTGCCCAAATTGCCATCTACTATGGAGTAGAACAATCTGTGATCTGTGTGGTGTTTTCAAGAATTGTTTTTTCTCACAATTCATAGACGGAATATTATTTTTAAAATGAAAAAGTTAAAATCTCTAAATCTTATTAACTATTGAAGAATTAAATATCAATAATCGTATCCCGACAATGTGATAATCAAAAGGTAATACCTTTTATAAAATCCCAAAATTCACTATTTTCCCAATTCACTAATTAATAATTAAAACGCTTTAAATTTCCTAAAACTATCATAAAATAAACTTTTCTAAATAACAAAATGAGATTTCACAAATTTGATTGATATCAATGGGTATAAAAAAAAGTTCAACAATATCTATTTCTTCAGAGATAGATATCAATTATTTCAGGGATATCATACATTTCCAGATTTCCAAAAACCTTCATCGTTATCCTCTGCAGTTACGGTGGTGATGACAGTTCCAGGATCAGTGTTCTCCGGGACCCTCGTTGTGTAATTTTCATTCTTGAAGTACGGCGTGTTGTCGTTCGTGTCCGTCACGCGAATTTGAACTCCAGCTATACCTGCACATTTGAAACATGTTTTCTATTAATATTTTTTTTTTCAAATAGTTTACTTTATAAAATGTTTTATTAATTGTTGGTAGAAAATTTGAGATTGAATAAGAATCTATAAACAGTTTTTTTAGTTGTAAGTCTGCAAATTCTATTCCAATCCGATTTTGTACGTACATGTCTATCCAAATATGACTTTATAATCGAGTGTTAACCATTCAACTGCACACAAATACAAATTAATTTAGTCGCTATGAAAATTTAAAAAAAAACACTTTCCAAAACACAAATTTAGAATTTAGAATTATAAACCAGAGCGCAATGATTTTTTAGTAAACTAGGTGGACATTAGTGGAGTATAATGATGGAAACATCAGTGGAATATAATGCTAGAAACCTTGGTTGGGAGTTCCCGGCGGATAGTGGTTGGTCCTTTGTGACGGCGCTCCGTCTTCAGCAATCACCTCCAAATAATAATCCTGCTTCACCTCCCTATCAAACGTTGCTCTCGACCTGATGACACCCGTATCTTTATCTATCGTGAATTTGTCGTAATCAGTTCCTTCTTTCTTCAAACGATAACTTATCTGAGAGGAGAATTATATTTTTCTATTGGTAATAAAGAAACTATTTTTACAATTGTTAAAAATGCCAAAAAAATATAATTTTTACAACCGTTTAGTTTTCTCTATCAAACAAACTTATTAAACTTTATTGATTACATTTTTTAACTTGGTTTAAAAAAATACATTAAATGGTTTTGAAGTTTAAAAAAGTCTAATTAATGGAAATGTTAACAATAATCAAACATAAACTTTTAAAATAAAATTTAAAAGTTAAAATGTATACAGAGATATGTGCATCGTATTAAGGGAACTATAATTATCACTATTGAAAAGCAAATACAAACTTTGCTGTAGAAAGGGTTGTGATCCTTATCGCAGGCGGACACAGTGATGACATCAGTTCCTGGTTTCATGTTCTCAGCAACCGTTGCAGAGAACAATCCGTTCTCGTTCAGTCCAACAAATTGAGGAATTTCGTCATTTTCGTCGATCAGGTTGATCAGTAAGCGTGTATCGATGTGCAGAGAGTTTGTTGCCCGGTTCTGTTGACGATAGTGTTTGGTTGCTACATTTAGTGTGAATAATTTTTCCACTTATAATGACGATTTCACAAAAATATAAAAAAAAATCAGGACATTTCAATGATTTTAGAGGAATCAATGATTAAAACGATTTTATTTTTTTGAGAAACTGAAACTCACCGCTGCTTTCACTGTGATGAAATAATGCGGAATAGCTTCAAAGTCAAGCGCCCGGTATGTCAACAAAACCATTTCATTATTTTTTTCATCAACCAAGTGATAAAAACTTCTTGGTTCTCCATTCTTTTCCGGCACGTCAGCGGACTGTATGATGTAGTTGACGGTCGAATCAGGAATGGAAGAGTGAGCCCGCAACCTCGTGATGATCGTGTTCTCAGGAGCGTTTTCGCTGACCGTCAGCGGTATTTGGGAGTAGTCTTTATCCCAGCTGGGATAGGCGTTAGATTTTTGTGTTATTTTGATCTCCATGTGGGATATGCTGGACTGCGGCGGGACGCCCTTATCCCTTGCTTCTATGACAATTTTAACCATGTCACGCTGCAAAGGATTGTTAGGTGTGAAGACTAAACTCGTCAAACTTTTATTGCAATGTTCGGTTAAATATATTAATTTTATTGCAATTATCACTTTCACAAAAGTTAATTTAGAGAGAAAACTAACTCCCGACATAGGCTTCGCAATTGAGACCCAGCCGTTGAACTGATTGATGGCGAAGAAACCTGACGGATCACTTTTCATGTAGTACTCAATCTTCCCATTATCGCCGATGTCACGATCGGTTGCATACACTTGTTTCACTCTCTTACCGACTGGAAATTTTTCTTCGACGGACGTCAGGTAGGTTGAAAGACTGAACACCGGTGGATTGTCATTTTTATCTCCGATTTTTACCCGGAATGAACAAAATCCTGGTTTGAAGTTTCAAACAGTAAGTCACAAATTAACATAAAAGTTAAAGAAATGTTTAGCAGATTAATCTTTCTATCGCTAAAGTTCAGTTGCTATTTTGGATTTTTGCATTTTGGTTTTAGTTGAGATGTAAACTCTTAAATCAAATGTGTTGTCTAAACATTACTTTCAAAGTAGAACTTTGAATATTAAACAAGTTAGACGTTTAAATATAACATCACAAAGGATATATTACTTTTTTATATTAAAATCAACATTTCATAAAAGGTGGGTGCTATCAAAGCTAAATGTTTTCGTGCGAGTGATTCAATTAAAAAATGTACTAGTCGGAATTTGAAAAATTGTAATAATAACCAAACGTGACTGTGCTTGTTGTATGAACTTCAAAATAAAAAAAATTTGAATAGCCATAAACAAAAGTTAACAAACAAACACACACGCACACACACACAAACTCACACACATACAAACACGTGACAAGAACCTGCTAATGACTGAGAACCCTCATCCTCCGCTTTCACAGTGATCCCGTAATCTGTTACACCTAATTGTGCCTCTCTGTCAAAAACTTCCGATGTCCTTATTTCACCGGTTGACGAATTGATTTCAAATTTGTCGCTACTCTGGTCGTTTGATTTTACGATAGAGTATGAAACTTTTCCGTTTTGTCCGGCGTCTAGATCTACAGCCTTAACCTTTAAATTGATTTTGTGATGAAGTTTATACAATTTTAATTTTTCAAACTATGATTTTTGAACGTCTTATTTTCATTTTTTGTAATTCAGTGTTGTCTGATCAATTAGTTGATTATTTCATGCAAATTTAATTAACAATTTCATTACATTTTAAAAACAACGCACAATTTGTTTTATAGAAAGTAATAATTAATGAATTTTTCACCAAATTGAAACATATTACGTTGCAACATTTCACAACAATCCGATATAAATACCATTTAATTGAATTTACATTGAAGAATATAAAACAAATTTTCCGAAAAATTATTAACTCAATTAATTTAGTATAATTTTATCAGTCTACATCTGTACCAACCCGCACAACAAACGTCCCAACGTTCTCATTCTCCATGATGACTGGATTGTACGAGGCACAGTCGACGAACTTTGGGGCGTGGTTTTTTACGTCCTTGACCTCGATGATTAGTTGACCGTGACTCTTCCTCGAGGTCGTTCCAGGACAGCAAGCTCCATTGTCGATTGCGGAGATGTTAAGATGGTATCTGAATTTGGTTTTCTCCAGCGGGGAGGCCAGCGTTATGACACCACTGCCGACGTCGATGCTGAACGGCCCATCTCTCAATCGACCTCCTTTCCATTCAGTTTTTATTTTTGGTTTGATGTGATTTGAGAAGAAATGCCATAAACGTATGATCAATTTTTTCAAACAAAAGATTAAATTGAGTAAAATGTATTTTTACATAACAACACAACTATTACCCGCATGCAATATTGAGCATAACAATAAAAAGGTTTGATGACAAAAAATACCATGAATCATTGAAAAAAAGTAAGAAAGATCATTCGATTTGTGTATGAGAGTGGGCGGTTCATTCCAAAGATGTATTATGCACGCAGAAAGCACACGAGTATACAGTTCAGCGTTCCGTGTGCATGTTCAAGTGTGTCTGTATATCGCTGCCGTGTGGAAAAGAGTAGAAGCATTGGACAATTTTTCATAGAAGCGAACGTTGTTTCATTATGCTCTAGTGAAGACTCGTGACGTATTAAACAACTTAAATCAGAAAAGAACATGAATAGCGACGTGAATAAAAAAACATTTGCATCACATTAATTTTTTCACAATTTTATTCTTTTGGGTGATTGAACTGAGGAAAATATGCACATTAAAGGTGAATTGTTCGTCGCAATCGAATATAAAATGGCGCCATTCTTGAAATGCTATTTTCTTCTTTCTTTTGTTATATGTAGCATTAAATAGAATATTTTGCTCCTTCTTAGCACCGTATATCAAGGGATCGAGTATTTAAGAACTCCTAAGAATGTTGTCAATCCTAGGTGAAGTTTTGTCACGCGTTGACAGCAATTGTTTGAAAGCTATTCACTATGAAAAAAAAACAAAGCTAGTTTTTAAACAATAAACTGATATGAAAAAAAAGAGAAAAACGTTTGAAAAGTAAAATTGCATCATAAGTTGAAAGGATATTGTTTATAATATTGAAAGGTAGTCTGTCAAAAAAATCAAACAACGATGAAAGGTAATAATCTTTTTTCATGTGCCTTCCAACTACTTTTAAAACATTGAAGTTAACTGAACAAAAAGAAATTTTAACAAAATCGGAAAGAAAAAAAATTTTCAAACTACTAAGAAGTTTACTGGGAAATTTTTTTCAAGGACTTAAAAAATAATCCCGCATAAAACTAGCCAGCAAACGTGTAGGTAACTCCATCCCCGTCTGGGTCGAAGGCTTGAACGACGTGAACCACAGTGCGCATGGGAGCATCTTCACTCAGTTGAACCCTCTCAACATCCTTCACAAAGACTGGGTCTTCATCGTTTACGTTGGTCACGCTGACCCTGACCGCGGCTGAACCTTTGTGTGGTGGGTCGCCGTTATCTGTGGCCACGATGGTGAAGTTGTACGTGTGGTCTGGTATACGGTCGTAATCTAATCGTCTGCTCGGGGGTGTTTTGTAGTTTTAGTTTTTTGAGGTTTAATTATTCATTAATGTAATTTAATTTTTTGAATGTTTGATTTAACTATTACGTGATATAGTTTTGTATATTTGCAGTTCGAATATTAAATGTTGTCCTCAAGAAATGTTTACTAAAACATTTAAAAATATGCATTCATCTGCGTCTGACCTGCAGTTTTTATTTATTTTAAAAGTCAAACTTAAAGCAGCCATAACAGTGTTTAACATGACGATTAAATTAAATTTTTTTCGGTAAGCATTTTTATAAGTCAATTTTAATGAAATTTTAAAAGATTTTTCAGAAAAAATTTCCCACTGAAAACTAAGTTTGAGTGACGCAATTGTTATTAAATTACCTTAATTTTTCTTAACTATCGCTGGAGTTGATGTACTTCAATTGAAAATGACTGAATATTCATCATCAATTTGCTAAACTTTACAAATGTCAAACTAAAATATAAAGTGGACATAAAATTTAATCATGTTGTTTGTGACAAATTTAAAAAGCACGGTTATAAATTATTTTCAGAGATGTTCAAAGACAGGCATTAATTATTTAGAAATTTTGATTGAATTTCATTTCAAGTAAACTCCGTGACATTTTCTTCTTCGTGCAATGATGGCGAATTTTTGATGATGCCATTTTGAAAATTCTTGAAAAAAATCAGAATTAATTTTCATTTAAAACAACTCTAATGGTATAAATTATTAACAACTCATAATAATGAAATTAATGTTTTAGTTTTGTTCAATTAAATTTAAAAATTCGTTTGTGTTTCCCAACGAAAACATAATTTTTTCAATTTCTGTTTTTCCTGCCCAGCTTGTTTTTCAAACCCACATCTAGAGCATTGAAATAAATTTTTCTGACACGTGACTTGAATTTGTTTTTAGAGTTTGTTCTTTCTTTCTCTTTCTTTTTTTCTTTTTTTTCTCTCTCTCTCTATCTCTTCCTCTCTCGTTATTTTTCTCTTACTCTATTTCACTATTTTTCTCTTTCCATCTTCCTTTCCCCCCCATCTCTCTCTCTCTCTCTCTCTCTCTCTTCCCTCTCTCTAGTTTTTTTATTATATTTTTCCTCATTTTTCACTGGCTCTCTTTTTCTTCTTCGTAAAGATTCTTAAAACAATCTTTTCAACTCTCTAATGACGTTTATGTTTCTTTTTTGAATGCAAATTTTGTAGCAAGAAAGGATTTACGGGACATCGATCAGAAGAAAGATGATATAAACGTGATTCGCTGACTTCCATTCAACGGTGCTAAGTGATTGATGCCCTTCGTCTATCTATCTGATATCTCGCTGGTCATCCATGTTGATGTATCATTTTGGCTATTTTTTTTCTGAAAAAATATTACCGTTCTTGGAATGCTCCAGGGGATATATAGTTTTCTCAAAACTAAGTAACACTCTTGAAAGGCTTATACTTTTGATGGTACATCTATTTAGAAATGAACTTGAGTATATTTTTTAAATTTTCAAAGAAGTAAATGCAGTTTTATCAAAAATCTAGAGTAGAAATAAGTTTGTGAAATTAAAACCTTTTGTTATAAAATCAATTTCGAAATTATTCAATACTCATTACATTTAATTTATTCTGGAGGAATACTCTAAGAACGCATTTTATATAAAAATTTTATTTTTTCAAATTTGATTTATTTAGTAATTTAGTAGAAGATAATTAACCATTGAAGAAAAAAGAAACAATGAGACCAATGCAACGAATGAGTAACACCAAGAATAATGAATTACGGAAAAAAATAATATTATGATCATTAAATTATCAAAATGAAATGAGATTAAAACTAATCATTCACCAATTCATATTACATGATTAGCACTAACTTTGCAGTCTTAACGTAGCCAATATTGTTGAGAGTTTGAACGGAGAACGTGCTGTCGCTAACTGAATAGGTCAGCTGGGAGTTTGTTACTGAGTCGATATCCGTAGCCGTCACTGAATGGAGGAAAAAAAATTAATTTAATTTAAATTAAATTTCATAAATTAAGAATTCAAATCGATTAAGATAACATTTTCAATGATTTTTTTTAATCTTTATAATTTGGCATTGTCAAATGCAGAGCTGCCACGTGCTATTCTAGACTTATAACTAAACTTTCGTGTCACAAAAGAGTTTCGGCCAGACAACACTCAAACCATGCCATCGCCCAACTGTATCGCCAGAATTGGCACTTCTACCGAATGAACTAACTCGGTGTTTTTATTTTTGCAGACAGATATTAATTTAATTTAATCCAAAACAATATCTACGTCAACCGGTTCATCAACATGACATTATTTTAATCACCATTTTAAGTTATCGGTTGGAGAAATATTTTTTTCAAAGAAAAATTATTTTAGTTGTAATATAAATGTAAATGTAACCACATTTATGTATTTATTTCATATCTATGATATTCAATATCTTTGTTATATGTTTGATCTTTGTTTGGGTTTCGATAAATGTGCTTCGATAAATGTGCTGCGATGAATGTGCTGCACCACGTGATTGACATATTTTATAATTTATTTGATTTATGAGTTTCGTATGAATAAGCCTGTAATTGATTACTGTTTTACAGGTATGTTTTCTTTAATTTATATCTCTGTATTATTTTATATTATTTGATTATATGACATTTAATTTGTTTGAATAAACTGTTTTACAGATTAATAAATCAGGTTTTATTTAGAAACAATCTTACAAATCAATTACAAGTTATATTCCAAAAAAAAAAAAAAGAAGAGAAAGAAAGAAAGAAAGAGAAGATGTCTTCAGATAAGTTATTTTTTTATATTATAAAAAGAAACGATAATTTCGAATTGACGGCTTTGTCAGAAAATAAATTAGCGTGGTATAATTTGCCCGATGATTATAAAGATTGGC